GCTGGACAGGTCACTGTAACGGTGCAGCAAGCGAGGTTTTCTGGCTGACAGACTTGGCTGCTGGTGGGAAATTCCCTGGAATGAGCATTTGCGTTGGTCGGAGCCCTTGCGGATCGGCCTTCGGAGGATCAATATGCAACTCGAATGTGTTCACTTCGATTGCCACTTTTCTCCAACACAGCAACAATGCAGCAGACTGAGCCGCAAAAGAGCATGCGAAGTCTCAAACGAGGTTGTCATTCAGGTATTCAATGAAAGAACTTCGGATCCTGGCCTTGGGAAGATTATGCAGCCGATTGAGTGATATAAATTGGCGTCTAAATCTTTGCAGTTGTGGCAATGAGACCGGGTTTGCAGGTAGTTCGATGGTGCCCTCGGCTATTGCAAGCTCCCCTCCTCCATCGCCCGGGTGATCCTTCTGCCATTCCATAATCACGTTCAATACTCCCTGCGAGATCTTGTCAAGCTCGTAAAGGTAATCTGACTCGGTGGCGGGTTTCTGCGATGGTAAATGAGCTTCTTTTTATTGTACCTGTGGGGAAATTTGCAACCCTACCATCACGGTGGCCGGATTCGGCTTGACTGTTTTTGCTTTGCCCTCGGAACCAACCATAGCGTCCCATATATCCTGGCATGGTGGAGCCTCGTCATCGTAAGGGACCGTGAAGAGCGGACTGTCCCACCTCGTCATGCCGTTTGGCTCCTCGTACCTATAGACCAGGTTGTCGAAGATGTCCACCGGATAGCCATCGTCTTTGCTACCGCTTTCAAGGATCCTCGTGTTGATCTCTCGACATGAACTAATGGGCGTTCCTACGTGGACCTTTAGGTTCATCAGCCTAAGTCCTATGAGTCAACGCTTGAGCGAATGCTGACCACGCAGCTTGGGGTGTGCACAGCTTTTGCTTCGCAATACAGCTGATAGCGGAATCCCTTTATGTAGTTCAAGCTATCGGCGATGACGACGGTATCCTTTCCCAAAGCTCGCTTCACCGCGGAGTATTCGGTAGCGCGGGCATCCTTCTCCGTTCGAGCCTCTCGGTAGACGTGGCGATCGAGGCCAAGAGACTGATGATTGATATGGCAGACTTTCAGGCGGCTGATTCGTGCATCTGAAGAAGCTTGGATCTTGGACTTGAAGGATTCGACCAGCTGATTGGAACGGTAGGTCTTTCCTGACGCAGGGTAGCCTGAGATGAGGATCAGCTGCATCTGTCAGTGATGCGTGCGAGTCAAGAGATGGCAAGTCTACGTACAGGCATTTCCGGGTGATTGCTCTATGTCACCATAATGAAGGTTTCTGTGGGATGTTGGTGATGGTATTGTCTTAGATGATGGGAATGTCACAGAATCTCATGACCTTGACATGCCCCGCTACGTCAGCCAAGCCCTGTCAAAAGACCCTGGTTTCTGCCCCACCTGCCCCTCGCTTCTGCGAGTCAAAAGTAAACACGCCCGAGTATTAATCTCTTTCCTTTCTCTTTCCCATTCTTTCTTGCCCTCACTATTACACCTACTTACGGAACACAAAACAACTTCCATCTTCATCACCACCACTCTACCAATCTTCCCAATCCCTACCTTCAACACCAAATATGTCTGACAACCAAACCTCTTCTCTCAAATCGTACATCGACTCTGCCACTGGCACGGTTCAGAGTACCTTGGGAAGCCTCACCGGCAATACTGCTGACCAGGTTAGTGTTACAATATTCCATGTCCTCGAGGGTTTCTTTTCGGCTACTGTACAGTTTCCCCATGTAACCCACGAGTCCGCCAAAGATACTGTCTATTCTGTCCCTTTTTCGGTCATCACTCTTAAAGAAAATATTATGAAAAAACACAGCTGACACTTTCTGTAGGCTAAGGGCGATGTTACCAAAGACCATGCAGCAGCCGAGAAGGATGCCTCCCACACCATCGGCAAGATTGGCCCGTATGCAGTATCCTCCTCTGGCGGCATCTCATCCGACGACCCACGCCGTACCGAGGGCAGCTACGACCAGACCATGGGCTCTGCTAAAGAAGCTGTCGGCGGCTTATTTGGTGCCGAGGGGTTAAAGAAGGAAGGCCAGCAGCAGAACGCTCAGGGAAAAGGTACAGAAGCTGAGGGCCAGCTTTCAGACTACGGCCATGGATTGAAGGACCGCGTTGGTGGTACGGTTGGAGGAATAGCTGCTGGCATTACAGGGGATAGTGAGAAACAGTGAGTCTACTTTCTGTATTGATTTTGTCTCAATTCTATCGAAATTCGGATTTCAGGACATGTCTCGACGGGATCTTAGTCTCCAAACCTGTCTTGTAGCTTGAACCCCATCTTCAAATTAAAATGCTGACACTGAAAAACGAAGGCAAGAACAGCAGTTGAAGCATGATGATGCTAAGACGAAGCAGAGGAGCGCTGAGCAAGATATCCAGAAGCAGGCAGATGCTTAGGCGAGCGACATGGAATTGCACGCTGAGACGATGAAGGAACCTACATGAATGAATGCGGCGGGAGCGTTATACCAAGCTAGATCAAACATTGCATACGGAACCCAGAGAGCATGTGCACACAGATTCCACCTTAGGTTCTCTATGCCGTGACCATTGTTAGCGTCCAACTGCCGTACTTTTTCCCAGAGACGCGTAAAGAACTCCCAATATCTACCTAAACACCCGAAAGGCAACAATGTCCTCTGATGAGGAAGAGAATCTTAATAATGCCATGTTTCAAGAGCCCGATGACTACTTCCAGCCCGAGAAGCCGTATACACACACCGACTACACCCTGCTCTCTGGACAAAAGCTACGCCTGCGCCTCGTAGGGCACAATCCCTTGTGGGTACCTACACATGACCGACCCTTCGACTCCTCAACCGCTAAGCTGACCGACCTGCCATCCAGGGCCACTACCTCTGGAACGGCAGCCAAGTCCTCTCCACCTACCTCCAACAGCATGCCCCCACCCTGGCCCACGGTAAAACGATCCTCGAGCTGGGCGCTGGCGCAGGCCTCCCGAGCCTTGTGGCAGCCATACTCGGTGCCCAGAAGGTGGTCGTGACAGACTACCCAGATGCAGAGTTGATCGACAATCTCGCACAGAATATCGCTACCTGCTCTCTACTGCCGCAGCCTGCTACTACCGTTGCCGCCGAGGGATACCTCTGGGGCTCCTCCACCGAATCTGTCCTCGCACATCTACCGCTATCCCATCAAAGATTCGACGTCCTGCTATTAGCAGACCTACTTTTTAATCACTCCTGCCACAACGCCCTCGTGTCAACTATCGTTCATACGCTCGCTCGCACCTCTGACGCTCGAGCTCTGGTCTTCTTTCACGCCCTACAGGCCATGGCTACTCGAGAAAGATATGGCGTTTTTCGATCTATGCAGAGACAAGGGCCTGGAGGTGGACAAAGTGGTAGAGGAGGTGATGGAGAAGGTCATGTTCGAGAAGGACAAGGGAGATGAGCTGCTGAGGAGGACAGTGTTTGGGTATGAAGTGAGGTGGAGGGATTTGATTGAGACAAAACGATGAGCTGAGTCCACAGCAAAACCTGGGACTGCTATCATTCTAGGGCGCTCCGGATTACAATGTGACCCAAGGGTTGGCCTTTATCATAGGGTATTTTGGCAAGCTACGCGGAGACACCATCATGCAGGCTTCTAGCCCAGGGAATCAAGCGTTCCATGCTTCAAATCTTGGCTGAATGATACTCACTACTTGGATGCAACCGTCCCCTTACCGCGAGGACAGCACTTCATTTTGACCTTTCGTGAAACATGTGAAGGGCCCACAGTTACACATCATCTACCCACGCTCAGCTCTGCCCGGCTTCGTGATACTCAAATACCATCTAAGCTTTTGCCACAGCATATACGCGTTGCAGCCAAAGATATATACACCCCAACACAGCCATAGTCCAAATCAGACCAAATGAATTGCAAAATGGCAGTCCTAGCTCGGTGTATATAATCTTCCTCTCCTAACTAGCAATAATGTCTATACAGCCTTTTCATGACAACCTCGACCTTGCGTTGCATCACAGATTCAATTCTTACTCAAGCCTCCGACAATACTTACAAACCATGGGTCATAAAGGTATAAAGAATCGCAGCCAGCTAAGGACGAACGTGAGCGACTCGCTCACATTACGCAAACCCCATCATCCTCCCACCAGTCTTGCAAAAACCTCAGCCTCGCCTCTCCAAGTCCCGCCTCACGAAACCTTCACCAAAGACACCACACACGCACCTTTCAATTCTCCAAGCCACAGGACCATTCCCATTCCGAACCCTCCGACCCCGGCGACGCTGCCCCATTTCGACGACGGCAACAACAGTCGACTCCAGCAGTCCTTGAAAAGAACCTGATGCGTCCTCGGTGCGCTGATCGAGCCGAGCAATCTAACATCCAGGTAGCAGGGTGGGATCGCCAGAACCGACGCCGGAATGGCCGGGGCTGCCTCCCCGGTGACACGACCGTTTTACGTTTGGGAAACCCGCTCGCTGTAGACACAAGTAGCCGAATACGGTGGCACATATTCCGGCGAGGGACCTCGAGGGGTTTTCAATGCTGGTTGGGGTTAGGAGAAGCGGTCTTCGCTTCTTGATACCGAAGCTAAGAAATTTGCACAGTAATGGTTGGGTTATCTGCAATTCTCGAGCTTGTTTTTGGCTCCGCTGTTGGTTCTATCCTTCACAAATACATTACAAGTGATTGGACAAGAGCAGTAGAAAGGGGATTCTGTTCGGGACCAAGCCCTGACTGTTTGCGCGTTGGAGCTAAGCTACATAGATATGTTACTCGATATATTAATGCCAGCAATCGTACATGGCCGTCAACAGCCAATAAAAAATTAAAAAAGTTAAAAAAAATCACGCCCCGTTCGTAGAGGATGTGCCCACCAGGGGCACCACTTCAAAACCACAGTCCAGCGATGCTCACCAGCCCACCGCCGCCCATTCACCAGCCAGCCAGCCAGCCAGTCATGAGAGAGAGATGAAGCAACCCCAACCTAACAGGACGAGACACCCGGCAGACAAACATCAGCACCGCCACTCCACTCGGAACAGTCCACAACAACCGCCGTCCCGTTAACCTGCTCCGTCCCCGAACTGCCGAAGAGGGCAGCCGCGGCGCCACTGTCCCGGCACAGGTCGAAATTGACATCGACATCTGAAAGAAACCCGCAATCAGCGACTCCGATTCCCCATTTCCAACTCAGGATTCGAAAAAAAAAAATAGGAAAACTCACTCTCAGCCTGCGCGCAAAGGGCATTCCCGTCGTCCGGGCACAGGTTGTTGACCTTGACCACGATCTCGTTCGCGCCGGCGTATTCGGGGGTCAGTTTCCAGCAGACGCCGCAGGCACCGCTTGGGCCGGAGCCCGGGTAGCCGCCGTAGACGGCCTGGGAGACGGCGGCGTTGTAGCCGGAGCTGCTGTACCAGGCGCAGGATGTTTTGCTGGGGTCGTCGCAGGGGGAGTATTGGGTGAACGACGCGGTCGAGGCTGCGGCACTGTTGCTAGAGGGGCCGGAGTCGGTGGCGCCGGTGCCGGAAGCGGAGAGTTGGGGCGCTGAGGAAGCGGCGGCGTAGGAGGCGTCGTCGCCGGTTGAGTTTGAGCCTGAATCGGAGTCTGAACCGGAGGCGGAGCCAGTATCGGAGCCGACGACCTGCGCGGCGTCCTTTTTTTGATACTGGTAGCCGTATGGGCGATATCGCTGGGCATTGGCGAGGATGGCGAAGACGGCTGTTAGAGTGTGTGTGAGCCGCATTGTGACACCGAGACAAAGACTGAGACCTGACGAAGGAGGGGAAGGCGGCTGCCGAGGCCGAGAGAAGAGAAACGAAACCGAAGCGCAGCTGTCAGGAACATTTTTGCGGCTTCTGGGAGTATCTTATAGACAATAGAGAGATGTGTAAATGCTACGAGTGAGCCACTATGGAACGTATCGTGCAGAAGCTCAAACGTCTCTTCTGTCCCTGGACCCACGGACGATGGGCATGTATTCCATCGCTTTGAACCCACAATCAATGGGGGTTTCATGAACCGTCCCCTTTGACTTGGACATATGTAAGATTTGAAAGGTTCTAACGCGACAGCGCCATGAGTATCTAAGTCCACAAGCCAATTGGAAGTCGACCAACCACGGAAATTCTTAGCCGCGAGAGTTGCCAGATTGCTGGGTACCAAATCGTGAAGGCAGAAGGCGATATTTCCAGTTGATATAGCACTAGGAAAACATCATCTTGTTGATTAAGCGCAAATGTCTCAGTGGACGCGCTTATGGAAAGTTCGAAGAAATAGGCCTAATGGCGCCTATACAGCAAGTAAATCTTCCCGAATATTTTGGAGCGGGAGCACGTAGAGAAATGAAACGCGCGCTGCTTGACGATCTTGGTAATGAGACGTACTCTCGGAAGGAAGACGAGATATGACGATGTGAAACAGTGGTCAAAGAGCAAAACGTGGGGCGGCTTGCGCAATGGGCAGCCTTTCCCATACCGTCTCTCTTGGACTAGACTATTGTTTGGACGTGCTTTTGGATGCTCACAAGGATGTTGCTCATCGATCATACCAGAATTCGGAATCTCTGGGCCGCCTTCCGGTGCCTACGTCCAATAGTTTCCTGAGACGTGCTTTGCGAGCCCGTCTTGTGCACGACGAGCAATAAAACGAAGGTTCGGTCTGTGGGATGAAACAGTGGCATCTAGCCGAGACTGCACTTGGAATAATATGGTATATCAAGTGTCTCCTCAAGACTAGACACGGGGCAAACCTCATTTCCAGATCAATGTCCGGTCAACGACACGGGTCAATCGGTTCAAATTGTCTGCGCCATTCCAGTCAAGCGATGCCACTAATTCATCGTCGCATTCCCTGTATAATTTCGGAATCAGCATGACACCTCGGAGGAAAGTTCATGGGTCATAGAACAACTCTTGCAACCTGAACGGCCATAACAATGAGAAGGACAATGCTCCGAAGACAGACACATACATTCTTGAGGATACTCCAGCTTCTCGATCTGGGCTTTACCGTCAGTCTCCACCATCAAGCAATGGTTCTTCTCGATAAGGTCCCATTCCTTCGAGTCGTACGTTGAAGGTTCGCTGGCAACGATCACATGGCTACCATGATCTTCGGCCTTTTTGTGTGCGAGAGGATTTTCTTTCCCGTCAGGGCTACCATTCCATTAGCATGTACCATCGCAAAGGCAATGCAGCGCCGAAAGCCGCCTCCACTCACTGATCGGGATATTTCCTGTTCAATGTAACGCCTGCCTTGGTAGAATAGTACAGCGAAGGTGGCTGCTCGGTCGCATGATTCCGAAACCGGAAAGCAACAAGCTGGCTGCCATCAGTCGCTGCCAGGTTCAGGCTGTTGGGTTCTGCCTTGTCTCCAAGTTTTTCTCGCTGCAGCTTCACAACGGTGCCAACCGCCTTTCTCATGGCATCTCGCATCTGCTTGACGGTGTATTGCTGTTCCCAGCTCTTCCGGCCTTTCCCATCTGTAAGGTATGTGATGTACAGTGCCGCAAAATGTTCAGAATCTGTCGACCCATGTACATTGCCGTACGAATCATCGTCCATTAGATCGGCCATGCCACGGCAGATCTTGGAGAAGTCAGAAATTTCTCCATTGTGCATGAAGGTGTGTCGACCGAAGACAAAAGGATGGTTGTTGACCGCAGTAACAGGGGTGGCTGTAGCAGCACGAATGTGAGCGAAGACGGCTTTGCTAGCTGTGTTTGCACAGATGCTGCGGAAGTTGGTGTCATGGAGAGGAGGCTGAGCGTTCTTGTAGAGGCCAGGTTGCTCTGCAGTTATACCATCGCTGTTGAACTCTGCCGCGGTCGCCGTGTACCAAGCAACCCCGAAACCATCGACATTGAAGAGGCGGTTGCGAGCTGTGATCTCATGCGCCGTGGTGATCTCGTTTGGGTCGTGTGAAAGCAGCTTGGGAAGGTAGCTGTGATGCAGGGTTAGCCTCAAGTCAGTGTGAATTGATACACGAAGAACATACTGCTCATGAACTTGTTTAGCGAGAGAATGAGACTAGCGGATACGACGAGTCAGCTACTGCTTGCGTGCAAACGTTCTTGATTGTCCAAAAATGCGTGACACACGGGTGCTATCAAAACATCCTCCAGAAGGCATTCCTCGCTCTCTGAGACGTACGCGAACCATCCGTAGTTCCAATCAGCGGGGGACCTCGATTGTTTAGAGCTCGAGGCGTTGAACTTACCGACACATTGTTAGGAAAGCAATTTAGCGGATGTGATCGATTGATGGGTTGAGAACTTGAAGGAGGAGGGGTTCTAGATTCTCACCTACTAGATACTATACACAATTAGATGCAGTGGTTCGGCTCGGTCCGAGGGTCTTTGCCGAGACAATTAGCGTTTGGTTCTTAAAATGCGCAAATTTGAACATTTCTTCAGGGTTTAGATAGAAAAAAATACTTCAACAGCAATCTGTTTAATTTTCACATCTAAACATCTACCCTCTCACTGAAGGCTGGGTGTAATAGGTACCAAAAGGGGTTCGCGGTTTTCTCAATGCCAAATACACCTGTACACGCTGAAATCCGCTGGGAGCTTATCACAAGCGTTTTACCAGCAATACGCATTGACAAGATAGTTTAGTGTGCCTGCATATTTACTCAAGCTTGTTGGAATACATGAGTTGACAGCGCTTTGTTAAGCAAGAGCCAAAACCACCACGTCCCTCGCTGTCGCAGTCATCTTGAATTGTGTTTCGTTGAGGGGTATCCCAGCTCGATGGCCTATCCGTGACAGCGATATCTTCGCCAAGGTGCCGGCGTCCGCGATTGTCATAGCCATTCCTGACAGCGGCAGTGATGATGATGAATCAAAGGGCGTAGCCGCGTAGAGACTCATTTTCGTGATGCGCAGTATAAGTCATTCTCGCTGACATCAGTGTCGATGAAGGAATGTCGGGAATACTTGACGCCCTTGGGCTCTCGGCCAATGCTGTTGCGATCCTCCATCTCCAACATAAATCCGGCTTTCTTTCTTTTGACCAGTCGTAGACACTTGAAGCTCTCGAACCGACGTTCCGGACCGAACCTGCTGAGGATGGGGAGCTCGATGTATCCACATACATCACATTTGCGCGTACAAGCAGGGCATTCTTCTTCTCCTGAGTGGACGTTCTTCTCCAGTCGTGTACCGCAATGTAGACACGTCATATGAAGTGTGCGGATCCAGCGCTCTCGTTCCAAGGATCGAGCCCAATTCTCCTGTTGAGAATCTCGAAATGTTGGAGAGTAGCAGAACCTCTTCGGCATATGAAGCCAACAATGCCGAATTTCTGGATCGCTTTTTGTCATATTCAAGCACTCAATCCCATATCCCACATCAGACCCAGGTAAGCCGAACATTCTTTGATGATGTGTGCGTTTGCAGAAGGCACACACGAGCCTTTGAGGTAAAGGAACGCCTTTAGCCCTCGAGTCTTTCTCTAACAGACACTTGACTCTCCACATTATACACCGGTGGAGCTGCAGCCTTTTGACAATGGCGAGATGACGCAGCCGCTGGCTGGTCATTCTAAGGCAAATGAGCGAGACAACGTCCAGCATCCCAAAGATGTGTCGGATTATTTCCAAAGGAAGCATTTCAAGCGGACAAGAAGCTTCAGGTATTTGGACATCCTTAGCCCGCAGTGTTGACTCGGTGACCTGCGTAGCTTTGTCCTGCGTCGTGTCCGAATTCGTTTCCCATACAGACTTCTCATCGATGTCTTCCTGTTCGGCGTAATCCAGTAAACATTTTCGTGAGTCATTTCGAATGATGCTTGCATCTGTAACATGGTGTCGGGAAAATCTCCGCATGAGCGACAGCATTTTTGAGAGACCAAGCAGTAATACACTGACGAATTTGGTCAGGAAATGCCGGAGGATCTGGCTCTCGAGTCACAGTATCTGTAGAGGTTGCTATTCGGTTTTAATGCGAACTGTCGAATGCTCTTTTGCTCAAAGGGTTGAGGGCTTGAGATTGAAAGGGTCCATTGAATTTTGGACATTGAACTTGAGGGAGTTGTGGCGCTCAAGAACTCTTGCACTTGCCCGGGAAAGCTTGACCTGCAACTTTCAATTTTTCAAACCACCGAGCCAGTGGAACTTAAGGAAAAGTATTGGCGAAGCGAACGGGATCCTTTGACTCTTCGATCATGGAGTCTACCGAGAGGACTAGTGGAACGCGGCAGCAATGGAGTCGAGCACCAGTTGAGCCGTCCGGTAACCTATAATACAAAGTTGGTAGATGGTACTTCTTCCGCACGAACACACTCAAATCAAAAAGAAACAAAAAGCCACAAAGAGGTGGTAAATGATGCAAGCAATCTGCTAAATCGAGGGTAATTTCAGCTCCGACTTCCTACCTGCGCTGTATTGTAGAAGTAAAAGAAACCCACAACATGCTCACAGTAAGCCAAACACGTACAGGCAGTGTTGCAAGTATTCGCTTCATCCACAGTCATTACGAAAACAGTCCGCATCCTAAATCCAGCTTGTGCTTTGAATGGACCTAGAGATTCAACAAAGAACGCAAAGGTCATGGTAAGGCTCGCCGACTTGGTCCCCAAGAGCCTTAGTTTGCCCCAATGGTCAAAGACCCAAAATGTCTAGGTGTAGATACTCTCCCCCCCTCTTTTTAACCAAAAAGGGGTATTTCAAGGCTTGAATCACATGGAACGAAGGCGAAATTACCCTGAGGGAAGGTTGCCGTTCCTGTAGGGAGCACATCCCTCCTGGATGCTTCTGATGGCCTGTAGTGCTTGCGTCCCTCTTAATTACTCTTTGCAGGATTGAGACGTCGTCCAAACCCTCCCGAGTCGAGGCTTGATGACTGAGCAGAAGGCTTTGTCGACTTTCGGGATCCCTTGGGCTTAGGACCACCCAAAGAAGTCATGACGACGGCTTTGGACCACTCGAGCCACTCAATTGCAGGGTATGTAAGCCTTGGCGATTAAGTAAGCCAAATGTGGCAAGTTGGCCTGAGCAAGCACGTTGTTGAAAGCAGAAAGTGTTTTTCCTGGATGGCAGCTGCCCTGGCATGTGGCTCGTCGGCGACTTGATATGAGATTCAAAGCAAGGTTCTCGAAGGGGTGTCAGGGGTGATACCACTTCTCTTTGTTTTTTATATATAAGGTTGCATCATGAGAAGAATGATGTACATACAACAGTGCAAAATCAAACGAGGTTGTCCACTCTGCGCAAGACACCAAAAACAATGCTTTGCCAACGCTGAAACAAAAATTGTCCTCCTGGTATACCAATGCATTCCTTGTCTTCAATACTTTAACGCCCGCACCCAGATACAAGTAGTGGCACAAGCAATCCTTCCCGCTGTAATGATCCCAGGATAACTCTTTCGAGGCAGTTTGTTTTTGCGCTTTGCAGACACACTCTTTCCTTCATTTTCGATCCATAAGGGTTTTTCATTTGTGTCCAGTTCTTGATGTGGAGTTCGAACCATCCGGAGGTATCCGCCTGTAGAAGTCGAGATCGGTCCATGCGAGGAGCTCCGAAATCGGACCCTTGTTATGCAGGCTCCTTCTGCGTAGAATATCCAATGATGTTACAACGCCACCTCGCCCATATCTCTCATCAAACAAGCCATCTGCGCTCTCTTCGCCGCCTCCGCTATCAGACAAAAATCCTTGCTCTTGCCTTGACTGGGATCCTGCCCATACTGCTGTGCTTGCCCTGGTTGTTGTTGTTGTTGAGGTTGTTGTTGTGATTGTGATTGTGATTGTGATTGGAGTTGTGATTGCGAAGTTGGTGCTTGTGATTGCGGTAACGAAGTTGAGGTTCGGTGTCGATGTTGTGGTTGTGAAGGGAAGTCTTGGGAGGGTTGGCTGGAGGGTTGACTGGCGGAAGGTGAGGGTAAGAGTGCGGAGGAGGAGGAGTATGTGCCGGTGGTATTCGAGGAGGCCATGGAGGTCAAAGTGGGTTCTTGTGACTTTCCGCTGTAGGGGTAGAGAGTTGTTGAAAAGGTTGGAAATGGTAGGGGCGCTCAGCAGGCTTGGTCTTATGGCGAAAGTGTGTCACGCGCGTGCGTGGGAGTGGCAATCAGTATATCCTTCAAACCATGAGTACTTTTTGGAATTGGAAGCTGCGGGCGGAGGAATGAACTTGAAGGATTTGAAAAGATGTGTAAGGTGGAAAGAGAATGTGGTTATAAAAGCTTTGTTGAGCAAAGCAACTCGTATTAAAGACTTACCTAGACAATGAGCATTTTCTGCCTTTCAATTCCAGGCGGAATTTGCGAAAGCCGGGGATACCTTAAACCTCGGCCTTGCACCCCACTATCTAACTAATGTACCCCACATTATAGGGCTGCAAGATCGAGATCATCATGGCTCTCATTTCGTGGAGATGCAGAGTAATCCAACTACATTACTTTGCTATAATTATCAGCTAATGGTGGTTGAAGAACTATTGGCTATGCTGGGATATGCTAATGCCGGGTGCAATAACCCGACCAAGCCCGAATGACGGATTCGATCTGTGGCGGTTCAGGCCTTTCCCAAAATCAGTCAATGTCTAAGCATGCGGTCTGATAACGTCAAGATCATAGCATTCGTATGTAATTGCCTGTGTCATGTTAGCATCCAGTACACTGCTGTAGACTCATTTGACTAAGAGCCAAATTACGTACCTGGAAATTGCCCTTGTCGGCCATCTAGACGCCCCGTCCACCATTCATTCTCCGTGGCCCCTTTCTCTATGATGTCTATGATATCTCCAGTCGCAAAACTCAGATCACCTGCCGCTTGTGCTTCGTAGTCATATAAGGCCTCAGCTCGATCAGCGACTGCGGGTGCTCCAGCCAATCGTGAAGGCTTTGGCTTGGGTGGAGGAGGGGCTGCTCCCTTGGCCTTGGCTGCTGCTCCCCAAGAACTACCGGTGCTGTTCGCGCGAGCCATGGAGCTGTCGCCATTAAGGCTGGGGGATCCAGATGCATTGTATGGTGGAGGTGGGTTCTCCACAAAGTCGTGGGTAGATCTTCTTGTTGGGGCATCGGATGATTTCCTTCCTTCTATTGCCAGTCGGCTGGTTGGACCCTCCAGTGCCATTTTACTGCCAGGGCCGTACTTCGGGGGTCCAGCTTTTTTCGCTCCTGTTGTCTTGAATCTAACAATGGAAAGGCCTTCGGTCTGTTCTCGAATATCTCCCCGCTTCGCATCAAAAGCCTCTTCGATGTCGAGGGTAAGGTTGAAGTAGCCAATATCGATGCTTTGCATTTTCTCGTGAAGCGTGTAGAAAACGTTAAGTTGCATATAGTAGAACGACTGGAATAGCGGGCGTATGAATTCGCGTTCGAGCTGGAACAGCTTAGGCAGCTCGTCTTTGAGGAGGTCATTGAAGTAGTTGAATTCTTGGGTAGCTTGCTCCGCATCGTTCTCGGCCTTGTATAGCGCCTTTTCATCCTTCAATGATTTGTCTTTCTTATCTTGAATCTTCTTTAGGGTAGCTCGGTGCCGATCGTAATCAAGCTGCTTGTGTGCTCTTTTCTGAAGCGACTTCTGCGCAACTTTTATGACGTTGAGAAGTTCGTCTGCAGGCCCTATTACCCTTGCTTGTATCATTTCCAGCTCCGGCGCCAGCGTTGCTTGTAATTCTCTAACAATGTTTTCATACTCCTCACACGCTTGGATACCTTCAGGATTCCCTTCCGGTATTATCGAATCCGGATCCGAGACTCGCCCTGATATTGGCTTGTAGATTTCCTGCACAGCTTTGGAGAACTCGATCTGGTGATTTAGCATGCCTGTACGATGGTAAGCCAGACGCAATGGAAGCGTTATGAGGGTTGCACAGACCATTGATGGCATCGAAGTATCTTCAATATTCAGCTTTAATTTATGGATGTTGGTAGCCAGATGAACTCACTTCTTGGATTCATCATGTAATTTCTTCGTCTCCTATGCCCACGGATGCCTATTAGTCGCAAGGACTTGCAGCATTTCATTGGGAGTGACATGCCTTCTCGAGCTCCTGAAATCGTCTCTCTGAATCGATGTAGACAGCGTCCTTGGTGTGCTCGCCCTATTGACCGAGGGTTAGACTCTAGCCAACGTCGTGGTTGGAATAGTCAAGTTGAAAATACGCACAACGTTGAATCTCTGCTTGAATGTTTGGGGCGCCTGGCAGAGATGACAGTGTCAGTATTGTAGGTACATTCCTCATCATCCGGAGATCTTTCCGTCAAATTCTTACCCGAACAGCTGCCTTCTGGAAACCCTTCAAACTCATTGTGCCCCGGGAATACAATCAGCTGGTCACAATCAGATGCACCGGAGGTTTCCCAATTCAAGTTCGACGGTACCGAGCAGCGGTCCTCGCGAGTTGTAGGTCTCTGACGGGCTGCGCACAGCTGCGATCTCGTATGCAAGATGATGTATGCTCAGAGGCTTGGCTTTTAGACCATAGCGCAGCGAATACGTAGGCTAAGGGCGGTGAGGATAGTTCTGGTTGGAGAATCTGTACCGCTAGCGATGATTCTTTGTGATGGTGTACTTCATGGTAAGCTGCTCTGCCTGATAGTTGGGTAATCTCGAGTGCTTTCTCTTACCGTTGACTTTGAGATGTGAAGAGGCTTGGCCTTCCGGATTCCCGATAGCGCGCTAAATAGACGCCAATATTATGCACAAGAAATGTATAACACACAAGTTATACAACGACAAGAAGCAGCCTCCATACCTGCACCAGCTGACACCGTACTTTTAGAGATTTTTTGGCAATGTGACTGACCTCCAATATTGTCACGGTATGAATTTCTATGTAAAATGGCTCCTCGTCGCTCAACGATTTGATTGTTGCTATTTCGTGATTTCAGTGGAACTATGACGTTGAAAATCGTGCATGAGTTCGCAGAGTCTTTTCTCTCTCTTCTGATGTGTATCTCTTAGCATCAATAAGCCGTTCTAGAAGGTTGTCGTCGTTGCTTAGGGTACCAGCTCGACTTGCTTCTTGTTCGGGTCGCTTTTTCAGATTCGAGAGCAACAGATTTCTCAAGAAAAAAGGTCTACCACAAGTACTCAGGGTCTCAAGTTCCCAAAATTCGCTCGCAGCATAACTGTGTGATCATAACAAGGTGTACATAATACAATGCAAAAGAATGGTTTTCAGATCTGGTTGCTACTCGTATGTGAGGATGCGATGAACTCTTGGCGATCCGGAAACTAGTTGACGTAAGGCTGAAGGCGTTTGCTCGCCTTCAGAAATGCGAGCATTGGCATCTATCTCACACCTACACCCATTCCTCGCACCATCGTAGAGCTCCTCACGATGGCAAAGTCAGCAAATGTAGCCTTGAGGCAAGTTTCACGCCTTTCATCAAGGCGGCCCTCATCCTCGAGCTCCTTCATCAGAAATGCGTCCCATTTCAGAGCAACCGTTGCAAATCAAGCAGCGCGTCGATGCTACGTCTCAGAGTCAAAGCCAGATAAGGCTCAAGTGAGCGTTGATACAGCCATCAGAGCAGACCAAAAGGCATTCACAGCTCAGACTGGTCTCCTACCAGAAAATGCAACGATGCCAGGAACAGGAATGTCAGCGGATGTCATGATGAGCCCGACGGCGGGTATCCTCAAGCAAGCTACAATTATGGACGAAGGAATACGACCAATTTATCTCGATATGCAAGCGACTACTCCTACGGACCCTCGTGTTCTTGACGCCATGCTCCCCTTCTTCACCGGCCTCTACGGAAATCCTCACTCAAGAACACATGCGTACGGATGGGAGACCGAAAAAGCCACAGAGCAGGCAAGAGAGCATGTAGCGAATCTGATCGGCGCAGACCCGAAGGAAATCATCTTCACCAGCGGAGCAACCGAGAGCAACAACATGAGCATCAAGGGAGTGGCGAGGTTCTTTGGAAGAAGTGGGAAGAAAAAGCATATAATCACTACGCAAACGGAACACAAGTGCGTGCTAGACAGTTGCCGCCATCTACAAGAGGAAGGCTTCGAGGTCACCTATTTGCCAGTGCAAAACAGTGGAGTGGTGGATTTGAAGGAACTGGAGGCGGCCATTCGACCGGACACGGCGCTCGTCAGTATCATGACGGTAAACAATGAGATCGGAGTCATTCAGCCAATGGAGGAGATAGGCAAGCTTTGCAAAGCCAAGAAAACCTTCTTCCACACAGACGGAGCCCAGGCTGTTGGGAAAATGCCAATCAGCGTCGACAAGTGGAATGTGGACCTGATGTCGATTTCCGCACACAAGATTTACGGACCAAAAGGCATGGGTGCCTGCTACGTTCGACGACGCCCCAGGGTCAGAATCGATCCCATCATCAGTGGAGGAGGCCAAGAACGTGGTCTGAGAAGCGGCACTCTTGCCCCGGCGTTAGTCGTTGGCTTTGGAGAAGCTTGCAGGATAGCAAAGGAAGAGATGCCTGTGAGTAGTGAGACTCACACCAACGTGAATTACTTTTACTGACTGTCTCTACTAGTACGACTCCAAGCGGATTCAAATGCTCTCCGACCGTCTCCTGAAGGGATTGCTATCCCTCGAACATACTTCTCAGAACGGAGATCCAGAACGTTTCTACCCCGGTTGCGTCAACGTTTCTTTTGCCTACGTCGAGGGCGAGTCTCTACTGATGGCACTGAAAGACATTGCACTGTCATCCGGAAGTGCATGCACGTCAGCATCACTCGAGCCCAGCTATGTCCTCCGAGCTCTCGGCAACAGCGACGAGAGCGCCCACAGCAGCATCCGCTTCGGTATCGGGAGGTTTACCACGGAGAGCGAAATCGACTACGTGCTTAAGGCAGTGAAAGAGCGGGTTACATTCTTGAGGGAGCTCAGTCCCTTGTGGGAGTTGGTTCAGGACGGCATTGCACTTGACAGCATCGAGTGGAGTCAGCACTAAGGGGTGGGTCCTTTGCATGTTTACGACTTGACGATTTTCGGGCATTGCGAGGTGTTGTCGCGGGCGTCTTGCTTCCGGTGGACTGCTTTCGACTTCCAACGTCCGGGGACACCATTTAGCACAGCTTGAGGTACATGAGCAAGAGAAGAGCGGAGTCAGACTGTTCCTACAAACCCCTGCGACCTGTAATTCAAAGCATCATAAACATGAACAATCGGTTTCCTTAGGCCTGAGCAAATTCGCTAAATGGCTTTTTTTCCTCTAATATAACCAGTGTCCATCCCAGTCTATCAACGTGCAAAATTGCGCCTTCTGTTCACACCATGTTTCTCAGTCCATGCATCTCCAGGCTAGCCGGTGGACAATTCTCTACAGGCGTCTCTATAGGCGCCGAAAGGGTTGAAACTGGGCTCTTCGCCTGCCCCATAGAAACCGACGCTCGAGAACCGTCACCGCAAATCGCGTTCCAAATTAGCGATGCGGTTGGGCCATATTTAAGGGTGTGGTTCCCCAGTCCCCCGGCTCTGCTCCATCTTGGGCTGTTAATCCAGAGCTGACTCCATCGCAATGCAGCATTTCGGCGAACTTTGGCTTGCCGTCCTACTCCAATTGTGTACTCTGACTTTGGCAGCACTACCGACAATTCCCATCAACGCCACTGATGGACTTGATCTGTTGTCCAATTTCACGACTTTGACTTCAGCATCCCTGTGAGCCAAAACCATCCCATCAACCCCCTACATCCACCCACCGATCCTGATCGCTAACATACCCACCCCCAGTTCCACCCTTCCTCCGGATCCCTACCGTACGTACATTTCGAAGCTAAGCCTTCGTCTTTGGTATCGAAATCGAGTCACAAGACAGAACTCCCGGGAGCAAAGGGACGATTCTACTCCCAACACCTGTCTTGCAACTCGAGGTGTCTGCGCCGAAGAAGCAATGCTGACGTCGAAATCTTTGTAGAAATCCGCGTCTACAACACCCCTACCAGTCTAATCCTCCACAACTACGGCCCAGCCATCGAGCGCGTAGACGTCCTTGATATCCTTCTTCAGGGGCAATCCGACGTCGTCGACGGCCTTGTGGCCAGCCATGGTAATGCACCAATCCAACGGTTGGCATTCACTTTCTGGTCGGGGAGTTGTATATGAGAATCGAGCCGGGAAGGGGGGGGACGGATGAAGTGGTTGATGATGGCGCAGGCGTTCAAGGGGATCGCGCAATTTATGGAAGAATTTGGGTGGGTGGCGGTGAAATTCATGGTATTGGATGATGAGGCTGGCGTAGTGGGAGCGGGAACGCTGGTCTTTTTTCGACCAAGGGGGGTTGGCGTGAATAATGGCTCGTCTCTGGTAGAGACATCGTGATACCTATCTGAAAACGAGAGGCAGGGTTTCAGGTCCTTCATGTTTGGCCTGCCGCCTTCGAATGAGCTGTACACATGTTTATAAGGCCTTCTCATCGCCCATCCTGTGCATACCCGTCTCCCAAGGATGCCTCACTGTCCCCTTAGACGTCAGTCAGCATATTATCAAGCGTTGATGGGGGCGGTCATAGTTTAATTTTAAAAAAACCAGGCAGAATTGTGATATCAAGGTACCTACTACCTATTAAGTCATGGCAACTACTCTCCTCCTCCCCACTCCCCAAACCCAAAAAATTTCCCCTTAAAAAAAAAAAAAAAAGACCCCCCCCCCTTTTTTTTTTTTAAAAAAAAAAAAAAAAAAAGAAAAATTTCGTGCGCCGGGAACCAAATATATAAATTTTTGAATTTTTTCGTCCGAACTATTAAAAGTTTTTAGACTTCGCCATTATATAGAGGAAGTATATTACTATCAGGCATAGAGAGGTTAATATCTAAAGTTCGAAGATATCTCAGCGTTATCGCTATAGAGAAAGTTGAGTATCTAAATATCCTTAATATATTCTATATCTATACGAACTCGTTCTAAGCGTATTAACCGCGTTAATATTATTTAAGATATATATACTATAATCCCTCTAACTCTTAAGCGAAGCGTATTCGAGTTAATATATATTTTTATAGAAGATATATCTCGAGTACTTAACTTTCTAATTAAGGGTAATATAATAAATCTATCTAGATAATTTCTTAATTCGATTCGTTATATAATCTTCTAATAATACTAAAGATAATATACTATTATCTAGAATTTTTCTAATAAAGATTAGTCGATTAAAGATAGATACTATAAGCGTTAGCGGAGATCGCGATCTCGAATTAGCTTATACGATAATAATAAGCTATTTAATTCTAATAAAAGACTTAAATACTTAATTAGCGACCTCGATAGATCTATCTCTCTCGTAATTAACTTTAAAGAATTATATAATAATTATAGAAAAATTATTAAAAGTCGCGAATTTCGCATTTCGATTAATTATTGCGAGTGCCTTATATAAAATAACGATTAATATAGCGATTTTATAGTTTTCTACTTAGACTCTAGAGAAGGGGTATATCGTAATAAGCTTTACGATATAATTAGTTCTCGAAGCGAGAAACGAGTATAGAGCTAGTTATAGGGTATCTCGCTAAGCGAGTTTAAATTACTAAGACTATATTAATAGTAGTCTTAGTAATTTAAACTTATAACTAGTCGAGATATCTATAGTTAGTCCTATACTCGTATCTCGCTTCGAGAATTAATTATATCGTAAGCTTATTACGATATATCTCTTTCTTAGAGTTTAAGTACGAAATTCTCGAATCGCTATATAAATCGTTAATTTATATAGACTCATCGCAATAATTATCCCGTTATCGAAAAATCGCGACTTCCTTTATTTTTCTAATTATTATTATATTATCTTTTAATATTAATTAAGAGATTAATAGATCTTTCGAGGTCGCTAAATAAGTATATAAACTTTTTATTATAATTAAATAGCTCGTTATTATTCGTATAAGCTTATTCGAATATATATTCTCCGTTAACGATTATAGTATTTATCTTTAGTCGATTACTCTTCGATAATTAAATTTTAAACGATAGCGTATTATATTTAGTATTATTAAAAGATTATATAACGAGTCGAGTATAATAATTAGATTATAAGTTTAATTATATTACTATCTAATAAAAAATCGAGTATTAAAGCTATTTTCTCTATATATAGATTTATTAACTCGAAGATATATTACTTAGAAGTTAAAGGGAGTATAAAATATATATCTTAAATGGTTTTAACGCGTTTAACGCGTTTAAAACGGATTAAAGCGGATGAGGAGACTGTGAGAAATACTTAGGTACGCGATTTTCTCTTTAACGACGATAGCGAGGTATTTTCGAACTATATATACTAACCTCTTTATAGTTTATAGAAATATCCTTCCTTCTAACGAATACGAAGTTTTAAGATATTTAGCGGACCAGTTCTGGAGAAAAGAAAAAAGTTATATATTTGTTTCTCGGGTAGTAGAGAGGAGAATATCATCAAGCGATATTCGATTAGCTCGTTTATAACGACGACGTAGACCTTCCTATATTTAAAGATGTCTTTTTCTACGTTTTATATACCCATAAGAGACTCCGACGTTATGCGAGATATTCTTATTCATCGATATCGCCGCTATCAATATCTAACTTTATATTAAAAAGAATGAATTATCTCCGCTTCGCTCTTCGCTCTACTCTCCGCAAGTTCGGTAGCTATATAATTGCTTATATGCATATATGCTTGCTTACTTATTTATACGTATCGCCGCGGCGACTCTCGTAAGTCTGGCCGTCTAAAAAATAGGGGGAGACTGCGGCGTCTAACCGAAGTAATGAACTGATTGGCGAGGCCACGGCATTTTCCTCAACACGCCGTGCCGTCGGTCCGGCGAGCACCATGGCGGTTACCCCGAGAATTTGTGTACTTTGGGGGAATTCCTGTATGGTGGTGTCTGCGCGTCTGTTGAGACGTACGGCGTTCTTGAGTATTGGTGCCGCTGCTATGGCTGAGTTAGCTGAGTTCTTTTAGTGGAATAGAATTGGAAGCCTACTTCTTAACCACTGCACCACAGCTCCTAATTTGACGAGGGCCTATTTGACTATATTATTCGGATAAAGGCTATATCACGTAGTTGCGCATTTTTGTTAAGGATCATATGTACGCAGGGTGTGAATATTACATATCGGGCGATACACCAAAAAATTAAGTCTTGGCAGGGTTTCCTACTCAGACCCACCTCAAGGCCGGTGGGGCCAAGCTGAGACTACACCAACAGTTAATTGAAATCTGATGATGTCATTAGATTATAAGAGATGATTGTTTCGACCCATTCAAATTGTCTCATGTAATGCGTCATCGAATGTTAACATATCCTCGAGTCAAAAGTTTGCCCGGTAAGGCTGAGGCAAGATGCCCCCGCGCCTGGCGCGGCACCAATGCACAGTTGACAGCAAATTAATTCCCGGTCTCCTTGGAAAACATCGACTTTATCTTTTCCACCTGGTTGGCTGGAATGAGATACAAATTAAAACATACGATTATGTATCCTGTCCATCCCGCTCTTTTCCGGTGGACATGTTCCCAACGGTCCCAGCCCTGCCGTGGCCGAAGTCGGGGCCTCACTCACGGATCTGCCACAATCTTCTCAAAGGCGCCCGACAAAGAGCAAAGGGACTGCCATAGAGACCTTCAAGATCTGAAAAGCTACTAGCCGTGTCCCTAGATTCCCCATTTTTGCTTTTTAAGCTTACCAAATCTCCGGGTCTCGTACCCAAGCTTTTTTATTGCCCGCTGAATAATGCCATAGAATTCTCGCTTCCTGGTCCAATATCACTGATTTTTCTGTTCACTGTACCATATGAATTAAGCCCCTTTTCCCTAAATTTTTAACAGACGCTGGGCATTTCGACACAACACTCGCCACTGGCCGCCTATTCTCTGGATATACTATCCCATTATCACCCTGAGCCACGAATGGTCCAATGAGCCGCTGCCATATCACACAATAGATTGGCCGCCTAGGTGCGCTAAAGCCGGAACTCACGAGCTGCAGCGATACAATCCCATTGCAGACGATGCTACCACCGGTCCCCTCCCTCGACCACTATGGCATTTCTGAATACGGCTTCCTTCCCAATACATTCCCGCTCGAGATTCTACCCGATCCGTATTACAGACGATGGGAGGCAATAGTGTCAAACCTACAAGCGTTGCTTCTCAGCAAAAGGTTGAGGCATGTGGTTGATGACCTGGATATTATCACAGCCTCGAGGCTACGGTCCCCTGCGGAATGGCGAAGAGCATATGTGCTCTTGTCTTTTATAACGCACGCCTACATTTGGGGAGGAGATAAACCAGCAGAGGTATGCAGAAACGCGATTCTGCCCCGGGTACTTTGTGCATGGTGGTGGCTAACAATTATCCCATTACAGCGAGTCCCTCCGTCACTCTCTATACCTTTCATAGAGGTATGCCGTTACTTGGAGTTACCCACAGTGGCAACATACGCAGGCGTATGCCTCTGGAACTTCAAGCCAATCTTCCCTGACGAGCCAATTGATACCCTTGACAATCTTTCAACTCTTGCCACCTTTACCGGCTCACTCGACGAGTCATGGTTTTACCTGGTATCCGTCGCCATCGAGGCTCGTGGTGGGCCTACAATCCCGCTCATGTTAGAAGCAATTGAGGCCGCTCGTGCAAATGACAGTCGTACAGTGACAGAATGTCTTCACGCATTTGCAGAAAGACTGGATGAGCTAGGCACCTTGCTTACGAAAATGTACGAGAATTGCGACCCCCATGTCTTCTACCACCGGATCCGTCCTTTTCTCGCTGGTAGCAAGAACATGGCCGATGCGGGACTCCCCAATGGCGTCGTTTTCGATACTGGCGCCGGAAATGAACCTTACCGTCAGTATGGTGGCGGTAGTAACGCTCAATCATCCCTGATCCAATTCTTCGACATTGTGCTTGGAGTCGAGCATCGCCCAACTGGCACCCAGAAGTCATCAGACTCCTCCACCGAAAGTGACACTGAAGGGCCCACCGCTCCACCTTCTCGCCACAACTTTATCCATGAGATGCGATCCTATATGCCTGGTCCTCACCGCCAATTCCTGAAACATGTCTCCTCTGTGGCCAATATTCGCGAATATGTCGAAGCCCATAAATCGAACCGATCATTGAGTATTGCGTACGACGCTTGCTTGGCTATGGTACGCGCGCTGCGGGACAAGCATATCCAGATGGTGTCCCGATACATCATTGTCAAGTCTCGCGAGTCGCGTTCACACTCTCGGTCGCTTTCCCCGAGAAATGCGCCAAATCAGCCTCAGCCACTCAATCTTGCCAATACGCATAAAACCTCGAAGACTGAGAAACCCGGCAGCAAAAAGCTCAGAGGGACAGGCGGGACGTCACTCATACCGTTCCTCAAGCAAGCGAGAGATGAAACTGGTGAACCTGCCATTGACGCTTGGGCGAGACGAATCCTAAGTAATGGGCCTGCCGAGAGCGGTAACATGTCTCCTTTTGCTCCCTTGGGAAAACTAGGGGAGAATGTGGATGGCGAAATGGAGATTGTGGGTCTCGCAGGGGTATGGAAGATGGACGACAGTGAAGGAGGGTTGTGCCATTGGTGATGAAAATCAAGGGCATAACAAAGTGTATATACCGTGCATGAACGGCAAATTTCTGCACATATGGGTCAAGGATCTCGGCACTGGACATGAAAGACCGCAAGTTTTGGCTTTAGCAGATGGCGCCGTTGGTCCTTTGCCAAAGCATTGGGTATTGTTTAGGGGAAGGGCCGGGGACTGGTTTTCCATCGTCGCTCCCCTGCTCTGAAATTGAGGAACTCTATGGTAAGAGTCCAAGACTCTTTGGTCATTTTGCTTGATGGACGCTGCCCAGAACGTTCGAAAAGTTGGGTTTATGTCTGTAATTATGCAGCGACTGGAGGCAACGACGCTGCTTAAGTCTGATGTAGTCTGGCCTGTGGGTCCAAATTCGACCACTCTCATCATACACATATGATCAAGTGCTGTTCCAAAGTCGTTTGAATATCTCTTAGATCATCATCAGCATCGTTCCTATTGGTGCATCGTTGTTTCTTGGCATTTGATAGGGCTAAATCCTTGCTAGCCTAGGTACTCGTACCTATCGCCGAAAGTGGGCCGAAAGTAGATTTGAAGACGAGGAGTTTTGGTGGGTAGGAGGTGTTGATTATTCTATAAAGCAGGAAGGCTGCTGCAGGATATATCCCACCAGGCCAAGCCGCTATTGCACATGTAGCTAGCTGCAAATGCCTGCAAGGAAGCCACGCCCTATAACTACTCCCACACAAAACTTTCGCACAACGCTTATGCTATATTATTGAGCTATAGAAAGTAGATATATATATTCAAAGCACTCAGTAAGGCCAGTATCTCTTTAATTGACTTTAGAGAACGTCTATATTTCTATAACTATATCGAATAAGACTAACTAGCTCTAATAAGACTATAGTAATTATAATTTCAAGAAATACGTATTTATACTAAAGTTGTCGATAAATACTATATTAAAAATAATAGATAAAGACTAGAAATTACTAATAGATAAAGTAGTTATTATTCTTAAAGCGACGATAGTATTTATAAAAAGAGCGAACGATAAATCTAAAATCTAGATAGTTTTAAATAAAATATATAAACTAGTTATTAATTTAAGTAATTAAGATAATAATATAAAGAAAAAGATTATATATATTAAGTATTAGATAGCTAGTCTAAAAAGTAATATATCGATAATTAGCTACGCTAGCGTACTAAATTAATTCTTAATATTCTTCTTTATTATCGAAGAAATCTCTATTATATTATTAATAATATTAAAATAAGATTAAGTATTATATAATAAGCTAAATAAGATTATTATAAAGTTATAAGATAAGATAGTAAGTAAAGTATTAAAGAAAAAGATATTAAGTAAAATAATTACGATAATTAATAAATATATAAAGAGTATAAATATTATAAGAAAATCTATTAGAACGATTAAAAGGCTAGCGAATAGCGATATATATATTATAATTATAAATAAGAAGAAGATAAATAGATTAAGAAAAAGTAAGAATTAAACTTTAAAGATAAATAGTAGCGTGAGAGTAATTATTAAAATATATAATCTTCTACTTTATAAAGTAAGAATTAATATATTTAATATTAAAAATATAACTACGATAATTAAAAGAATTTAGAATAAAAATATTAATATATTAAGTCTCGATATAATATAACTAGACTAATTCGACGCGAATAAAAAGAATTATAATAAGAGTTTATTAATTATTAAATTAATATCTCTAGAGAAAGAAAATAGAGTACTAGAAGAAAGTCTAATTATCGATTTAAAACTATATAATTATTACGTCTATAATAAGTAATATAAATCGAAGTAATACTTTATATATTAAAAATACGATTATCTATCGACTATATACTCTAAAAAGAATTACTTAGTATACGAAAAATGCTTAAAGAAGTATTATTATAAAGATTACACGATTGATACTCGTAAATATTCGATTTATAAGGAATTATATAAGGTTTAAAATAAGATATATATAGTAAAGAAGAGAAAAATAGCGAGAATAAGAATAGCGAGATAATAAACTTCTTTACGATTTATAATAATAAAGAAGATATCGACTAGCTATTAAATAAGCGATTAATTAAATAACTATTTTTAGAATACGTTTAATTATAGGCGAAATAAGAAATTTTTTTAAGATTAATATTTACGCGTAATAGATTAGTAGATAGAGATAGCTAATAGAATAGTTAGTAGAAGAGAAATTAGAGCGTTAAATCTTAAAAGAACTATTATATCGAATCTCTAGTTAAGTAAAAGAAGATATACTTTTATATTACTAATAAAGGTCTTATTTAGAAATAAATCGCCTTTTAAAGTAGTAAATAAAGTTAAATAATATAAGAATAATATAGCGATAAAAGATATTAATAATCTCGAGGATAATAGATAGTCTCTAAGTTAAAAGAGTAGTAATAAGAGAATTACGGTTCTCGTTAATAGGAATAAAAAGAGATATATTTAATTTATCGATAACTAAGAAAAGAAGAATACTTAGAAAGAGAATATAAATTCTATAAACTAAGCGGAGCGAGTAAGTAATATTAATAATAATATCGAGAAATAATAGTATACTCTAGTTAGCTATTAATACTATAATATAATATAAGAAAATTTAGAATAATTATAATAGAACTCTTTAATAATAAAAAGATTTATAATATCGATATAGTAGTAATTTAGAAGTTTTAAAGAAATACTAATATAAATATATTATATTATCTTCTAAAGAATAGATTTAATTTAATTTACTCTTATTATAATAATATATAAGTATACTTCTATATTAATAAGAGAATATTATTAAAGTAATAATATCTATTATATTATTTATCAAACCTCTATACTCTTAATATTAAGTTTAAAAATAATAGAATTATACGTATATATAATATCTATAATCTCGATAATTAATAAATAAACGAACTTAACGAATTATATAAGACGCTTATAAAGTCTAAAAATAACGAATAGATTATATTAGATGATTTTAATCTTTATTATATAATATAGAGAGAATTAAATACTTATATCGATAAGAGAGTAGAAGAACTAATACTTATAGCGGAAGAATTCGCTATAAAATAAGTATTATTAATAGAAATAGTAATATATAAAGAAAACTATTAAATAATAATAGATCTACTATTCGCTATTTTAGTATTAATAATAAATATTATTAATTATAATATCGAAAATAATTTTAAAAGCGAATTTAATTATCTTTTAATTTTTATAAAGTTTAAGCTAGTCGTAATAGAGTTAGTATTAATAATACGTCGAAACTTTAATAAATTAAACGTCGAGATTCTAAGAGAGATACTCGCTAAAGCTATAGTTGTTACGAGCGTACCCTTGACACACCACTCAGCCCTATGGCTAGCGGGCCTTGGCGGAGGCATCCCCTACTATATCATGCCTCCTTCCCACCTACATAGTTCGGTAGCCTTATTATCCTCGTTCTACCTCACCCTATACTGGTATCGCACCTATACTGGTCCTGACATTATAATAAGGCTCCTTCGTACCCCCCCCGGCGAAGAGAAACTTAAACGGACATACTCGAGGATAGCAGAGTCTAAACAGCTACCGAATATTTCACTTTCTGCTCGGAGCAAGCGACCGAGCCTGATAAAGAAAACGCTGGGTATTTCTACCATACAGAAACCCCACCACATATCCAAATCATCAGATACCTACATCATTCGAAAGAACCTACATCAAACAACCTCCATTATCAACGATAGTCCAATCCATCAAAAACCGAGTCCCCTCCACCGAATATAAGAAATCCTTCTCCGCTCCGCATCGATCTCTCCGCTCCGTTCTTACCTACATTCAAAACATCATAAATTCTTCAAATCCACCTACATCAACACCAAGATACCTCCCTCCGCATCGCCGATCACCTACACACCGCGGCCAGCCCTACCTTATATACGACGACCTACATAACAAACAAACACCCCCACACTCACAGTGAGCCTGCTACAATGGCAGCAAACGTTCGACCTCTTCACTGAGCATGTCGACAACACACTCATAGTGAGCCTGCTACAATGGCGACGGGAACAGCCCCGAAACGGCTACGATTCGACCTCTTCACTGAGCATGTCGACAACACACATAGTGAAGCCTGCTACCAAATGGCATTCAACACATTCAATTCTTTCCCTACCTACCTACCAAACCTACGAATCGACAAAGACAAAGGATGAAATGGAGGATAGACTTGATGGCAAGAGCATGGAAGACACAGGGCAAATCTACAGTGAAGCTCCCAGGCCAGGCTGCCAACAGGTGTTGGAGGATAACACATGCATGCGTTGGATTTTCTTCAGTTTTACCGATGGGATTGATGGCAAGAGCATGGGAGACGCAGGGCAAATCTACAGTGAAGCTCCCAGGCCAGGCTGCCAGTAGGTGTTGAAGGCGAAAAAAGTGGAGGACTATGGCAAGCAGACTGGGCAAGGAGAAGAATTCGGAGAATCTTGCTGGCACGCAGGCAAGATATGGCCAATATCTCCAGGATCTCTGAAGGACATGGTAGGCATGGCAGGCATGGAACAGTCAAGACCAGCATGCGATCCGGCAAAACCTCGGACATGGTGTTTTTGAACGAATTGAAACCATCCGATGTTTGACTGCTACACCTTGGCAAATCCTCTCCGGTCGAGTCCTACAGGAACTATGGATGTTTGGAGACACAGGGCAAGCAATGGGCGTGCATCTCCGGTCTACCAGCCATGGGGGCCATGGCTATTGAGAGGGGGGGGTAGTGTTACGAGCGTACCCTTGACACACCACTCAGCCCTATGGCTAGCGGGCCTTGGCGGAGGCATCCCCTACTATATCATGCCTCCTTCCCACCTACATAGTTCGGTAGCCTTATTATCCTCGTTCTACCTCACCTATACTGGTATCGCACCTATACTGGTCCTGACAATAGTATTAAAAGAATATTTAACTAATTCTTAGAGAAATAATAAAAACTTTATTAATAATAATATTAATTATTAAGTAGCGACTATTATTAACTCTATTTAAGCGATTATAAAGAAATCTACTTCGATTATTAAATTATTATTATAATCTAAATCGAGATTTATATTAGAATATAAGAAAGTATAAAAATATTATAAATCGCTAAAAAGAAGCTAGAGAATAACGCTTTTAAAAAAAGTATAAGATAAATATAAAGTTATTAAGAACTTTAAAAATAATCTAATTAAGAGAACTATTAGAAAGGCGTTTAGAGAGTTTATAATAGAGATATACGAGTTATTATAAATAATATAGAAAAAGATTAAATAAGTTAGAAAATAACTTATAATATAAGTATATCTTTCTTCGCTATTTAATAAAGACAAGTAAAGGCCCATGAATTAAATTCATGGAGTTGGATTTTTCTAAGTCAAATGGAATTTTAGCCCTAGCCCTAAGTCAAATCGAACTCTGATCGCTTGCTGTGCGTTTTTGACCTACTTCCACCACTACAAAATTGATTTAATCTATGTAGTATATAGGCATATATGTGTGGAGAGAGGCGCGCTAAGGCCTAATTAGAAAGGTATATCGAGTGTGGAGGATTGAAACAGAGAAAGGCCATGTCCTTATGGCAAGAAGTATCGAAATACCGGAAAGAAATGGAGACAACATGCTAATTAGTGGTGTGAATCCCACATTATCTCCTGCCGCAGTGAAATCTTTCGAATAATGAAATAGCTGTCAGAGCAAGACATCGAACGGTTTCAATTCGTCCAAATATGTATCGTCCGATGTTCCTCCTGCAGAGGCCTAATTGGCTATAATCGTCGCAGTAGATCCTCCTCTTGTGACGTTATTGTAGTTCCTCCTCTTGCTTCTTAATGCAGTGGGGATGATAGGCCAAGTTGCAGTGGTGTTCTCCGCTTGCTGAGTGATGATTTGATGTGGAACCGTGGAGAGCATGTGACGTGGGATCTTGGAGAGCTGAGCTGTGTTTTTGACGATGGTAGCCTTGTTGCCGCTTGGTTTCTCCGCAGTGTTCTCCGCATTTGCCTGTTGTAGTTCCTTCTCTTGCTCCTCCTCTTGTAGAGTATCAGACTGAGTGGCTAGCTGAGTGGCTGACTGAGTGGATGACTGATATGACGTGGGATCTTGGAGAGCTGAGCCGTGTTCTTGACGATGGTGGCCTTGTTGCCGCTTGGTTTCTCCGCAGTGTTCTCCGTAGTGTTCTCCGCAGTGTTCTCCGCATTTGCCTGTTGTAGTTCCTCCTCTTGCTCCTTAATGCAGTGGGGATGACAGGCCAAGTTGCAGTGGTGTTCTCCGCTTGCTGAGTGATGATTTGATGTGGAACCGTGGAGAGCATATGACGTGGGATCTTGGAGAGCTGAGCCGTGTTCTTGACGATGGTGGCCTTGTTACCGCTTGGTTTCTCCGCAGTGTTCTCCATAGTGTTCTCCGTAGTGTTCTCCGCATTTGCCTATTGTAGTTCCTCCTCTTACTTCTTAATGTAGTGGAGATGATAGGCTAAGTTGCAGTGGTGTTCTCCGCTTACTAAGTGATGATTTGATGTGGAACCGTGGAGAGCATATGACGTGGGATCTTGGAGAGCTGAGCCGTGTTCTTGGTGTTGGGGGCCTTGTTGCCGCTTGGTTTCTCCGCAGTGTTCTCCGCATTCGCCTGCTGTATTGACTTCTCTTGCACTGGCTGAGTGGATTGGTGTGAGATCGTGGAGAGTAGGCCTGTTGTGTCACTGCTGCTGATAACTGTCTCCGCAATGTTCTCCGCAGTATTCTCCGCATTCGCCTGTTGTAGATCCTCCTCTTGTTTAACTGAGTGCGAGGGTACCGAGGGTAAATGTGTTTATATTTGGTGGAATTGGTAGAATTGGTAGAATGGTGGAAGAAGAATGATGGAAGAAGAATGGTTACACAAATAGGTGGAAGGATTATTATCCGATCCCGGACGCGTTTGGTGTGACTACAATATTTGAATGTCAGTTTAGCCCACCTATCGCTGGCTTGGAAGGAGTATATAGGGGAGGACGTATCCGTTCGGGCTCTTTTTGAGGGCCTTCTAACGCGTTTATGAGTAGTAGTAGGTAGCTGTTGGGCTGCGGCCTCGATTGCTAGTAGTAGCGGATTCGCCGAGGGGTGGCCTGGGGGCGTCAGTAAGGGGCTCTAATTGGGCGAGGGGTACCGAAGACGATTGTGTTCATATTGGTGGAATTGGTAGAATTGGTAGAATGGTGGAAGAATAATGGTTACACAAACAAACAGGTGGAAGGATTATTATCCGATCCTGGACGCGTCTGGTGTGGCTACCATAACTACCATATTTGAATGTTCATTTCATCCACCAATAGTAGGCCAAACTTCATTATTTTTACAGCGTTAGAAAGCGCAAACTGAGCTCTATAATTTACGAAATTATGAAGTAACAGCATCCGTAGGGAGCTGATTATTTCAGAGTGTAAAACTTCTACACACAAATTTTTGATGAGGGAGCTCGGGAGAGCTAGCGGGCTGACTCAGCCGGTCTAACTAAAGAGCGTAGTGACCCTGAATTTATGATTGGCTGCACATACAAATTCAAGGTTTTGTAGCTCAGCCCTACCTTATTCTTTTATATATACTGATAAATAAGAATATAACGAATTAGACTTAAAGGTAGATCTTCTTATAAGAATATTCTTTTTATTATTAATATAAACGAAGTTAGATAATATTAGCGTCGATATAATATATTTATAAGCTTATTTAATAGATATAATTATTATAAATAAGATAAGAAAAGCTATAATATAAGTATCGTTAAAGAGAGTCTTAGAAGAAAATATAATCTCTAATCTAATTTTTAAGAAGATTCTAAAGTCGTTACTCTCTTATCTATATAGAATATTTAATATATATATAATAAACGACTATTATCTAAAGCACTTTAGAATATTAATAATAATTATTCTTTCGAAGTTAAATAAGAATTACTCGATTTCTAAAGAATATCGATTAATAGCTTTACTTAACACTATAAAAAAGGTAATAAAGTTTATTCTTATTAAGAGAATAGTATATCTTATAAAGATATATAAACTTCTATCGACTATATATATAAGAGATTATAGATTATAATCATATAAATACGATATTTACTATCTTCTAAAAAGAATATATTAAGTCTAAAACTCTAATAAAGTAACTATAATGTTATTATTAGATATTTTAAATATATATAATAAAGTCTCTTATTCTTAATTACTCTATAATCTTCGAAAGCGAAAAATCGATATAAGAGTAATTAACTAGATAGAATCGTTTTTATTTAATAGAATAATAATACTAAAAATAAGCGAATACTCTATATTAAAGACTCTTATAGTAATCGAAATTTCTTAAAAATTACCGCTATCGCTTATACTTTATCTCTTTTATAATTTAAATCTTATTAATAAATATAATAGTCGCGTTAATTTAGAAACGATAGTTATTAACTTCGTAGACGATATAGATCTTCTAATAATAAGAGACTTTATTAAGAAAAACTATAACGCTCTTTATAAAATCTACGACGAAGTTTATATAAAGTAGATATTACGATATAAATCGAAGTTTAATTTTAATAAATATCAACTATTATATCTTAGTAGAAAATAGAGATTTAGTTTAAATTATTCTCTATAACTTAATAAGAGATAATATATTAAGATAAGACACTTTATTCGCTATCTAGAAGTCGAAATCGACTTTAAACTTCTATAGAGTTACTATAATAAGAAGATTCGATCTAAAACTATTAAAAGTATCGATATATTAGCGAGAATTATTGAATTAATATAAGATAATAATTATAAGAGTATAAGATAGCTTTATTAGACGGTAATTATTCTATAAATAATATACTACTACTTAATATAATATTAGCTTGAAAATACTATCGATTATAATAAAACTTATCTCTTATTATTATAAAGAATTTAATCTTAGATAGAGAGAAAGATAATTAAAGTATTTAAGATTATATTTATTCTAGTATTTAATATAAAAGTATATCTTCTATTAGTTAAATAATAGCTAAATAAGATTATCTTAAAAGCTATCTTATAAATCGCTATTAGTTTAATATATAGCGAGATTATTAAATTACGATTCGAGCGATAAAAGTTTAAAAGAAAATCTAAGAAGAATAGAAAACTAAGTTTACTAGAGCGATATATTAATAGATTTAAAGAATAATATGACGATATTAATAAGATTAAGAAACTATACTCTTTTAGCGCCGCTCTCGATTAAGAGTCTTTTAAAATAATAATTTATAAGATTAAATAAGTCGCTAAAGAACTAGCTAAAAGATCGATTAATAAAGATTATATAATAATATATATAGACGATAATAAGATTAATAAAAAGATGAAAGCTTTAATTATATCGTTAGATATTAATTCTACTTTTAGTATCTATTTAGACTTAAATAACTAATATATAATATACTCGATAAAGCTATATAATATTCTTTAAGCTTTAATTATAGTAGTTATATATTAAATAAGATTATAATTTAGTAGAGTTATAGTAAATACGAATAATTAAATATCGATTTAGACTATCGAAGACTTAGATAAGTACTTAAGATAGATCTATATAATATAAATAATATAGATTATTAATTCGCTAAGATATCTCGAGATAGTAATAGAATTATACTGGATTTTAATATATATTAATATCGACGATAATAAATAAGCGAATAGAGAAGCGAAGAAGGTTATTAACTAGTAAAAGCGAGTAATTTATAATAAAAGAGTAAAGATAAATATTAATAAAATAGCTTAATTATTAATTATATAAATAAGAATAATATCGATAATTAAGATAGCTATTAGAGACTACGCGATAGAATAATAAACTATTAAATAGACTAATAAAAAGCGAGGCGATATTCTTAGAAAAATTTAATTAACACCGTCGAAATAAATATAACTTCTATATTTAAAAGTTAAACGCGCTAAGATATCGCTAATAACGTAAATAAAAATCGAGAAAATAGATTTTAAGATCTTTCTTTATAACTAATAAGTATCGAATATAGAGAATAAAGAATATAAGTATAAAGCGAAGTAGATAGCTCGATATATTCTTTATAAATATAAGCTATTTAGCAAGAAGCGAGGAATATAATAGATCGAAAAGAGAAGAAAGATAAAAGAGGGGATTATTACTTATAAGAATATACTAATAAAATTACGCTACGCCTCTATAGCGACGAACTTTATAAGAAATATAAGACTTATTAGATAATATTAAGCCCTTAATAAAAATTAATAATAAGAATTTACTAGAGTAAACGATTAAAAAGAAAGATATAATTAAGACGAAAGAGCTCTAGCGATATAAAGTATACCCCTTCTTAAGGATTAAGTATAATAAAACGTAGAATCATAACGATAACTTATATAATCTTATTTATTTGAGACTATATAATTGATCGAAAGGATTAGATAGATTACGTAACTCGCATAGTCGGCTACTAAGGTAAGACTTTAGGGTAGTATGATGTAATCAATCAATCAATCAATCAACTACTCCCACACAAATAAGACGGAGCCCCCGCGACTAACAAATACATGAAGCTATACCAACAAGGTAGCAAGCAAAGCCATAGCAAAACAAGCCCCTGAAAGATGCTACCTCTAGCAAAACATGCATTATAAACCAAATAGCATCGTAGCAAGCAGCTGAGGAAGCCTTCTGCGAGCACTGATAGGACCGCTTTCGTAGCATAGCAAGCTAACCAACCCCCATGATAGGCCAGAACCAGTAGTGTGGGGTAGTAACGGACTGCTGAGTGAGGTGTGTGAGTGTAAACGTGAAATCGGGCTGAGGTAGCTGCTGTGGTAGGACTGATGTGATAGGCTGCTGTGATAGCTGTAGAAGTGGCTGTTCTGGTAGCTGTAAAGTAGGCTTTGGTAGCTGTAGAGCAGGCTGCTCTGGTGTGACAGGCTTCTCTGGTACTTGTGGAGTAGGCTGCTGTGATAGCTCTGACAGCTGTGGTATGGTAGGCTGCTCTGGTAGCTCTGGAGCAGGCTCTGGTAGCTGTGGAGTAGGCTGCTCTGGTACTGATGGAGCTGACTGTGGTATGACGGGGCTGCTCTGGTAGCTGTAGGGTAGGCTGCTTTGGTATGACAGGCTTCTCTGATACGACAGGCTGCTCTGGTAGCTCTGATAGAACTGGTATTGCTATGACTGAAACCTCCCCTAAGGGAAGGAAAAAAATAAAAAAGAGGAGAAAAAAAAAGAAAAAAATTTGTGGGGGGGGGTTGCTTTCAGCTAGCAAGTGTGCTATATCTAGACAGGTCTTAGTCTAAGCTTCGGCGTCACCTGTAAGAAGTACTTGAAGCCAGATAAGATACTACTTTGGTATATACACGTGACCGGATAGCTTGGTGTTATAGTTTGTTGTAGCCATTGAGTTGCTGAGCTTTCACTGCTGCCGTAAAAGGCGTCACTGGGATTAAGATAAGGGCGAGAAAACGGCTTAGACTTCATAACTGAGCTTCGGATCGATCTGAAGGGCTGTAAAAGAAAAAAGAGGTATGAAAACAATAGGCACAACAAGCCTAACAAGAAGAACAATGATCACACTCCAAGGCCACTATAATTTCCTCAGCTCGGGCACCAGATTTGAAGACGAGGAGTTTTGGTGGGTAGGAGGTGTTGATTATTCTATGAAGCAGGAAGGCTGCTGCAGGATATATCCCACCAGGCCAAGCCGCTATTGCACATGTAGCTAGCTGCAAATGCCTGCAAGGAAGCCACGCCCTATAACTAAAGTTGAAGGCATCAGTCGCAAAACTGCTCTGAACACTTTGAGGATTCGAGATATGGGGGCAGTTCCTCAGAAAGTCCTCAATTGGCTTCATGGGGCGATTAACAGTGTGAGATACCTGAGTGCTATCTTCCAAGTTTTTGTCACTAATAGTATCAGGAATACCGAAATATCCCACGCACCTACTCAGATGTTGCCCAAACGCTCTCGTACAATCCCAACTTCGCTCTCCGAACAGACGTCTATAGTATGGAATAGCTTTTCCTGTGCACGATTCCAATCGTTCGTTTACGCCCACTGATCTATCGAAGCATACGAGAACGGCCAATCTTCCCTCCTTCTGAACCTACGAGGCACTCTACCTGTTTCTTTCCGGGGTACGACATATGCTTTTCCGATCTCGGTATGGGTACCTCAAGAGTACCCAAACGTGGGGCCCATCGGATTTGTCACGCCGACCAAAGATATGGCGGTCCGGCCTGGGCAATACGTGAGTGGGGAAGGGAGGATATATCATCCGTATCTGGCAGGGTGGAGAGATGATGTGAGTATTGTAGCAAGGATTCCAGGCCATAAAGTTCAAATTACGCTGGGACTTGGAGGCGTCGAAGCCGCACTGACTTGCGGTTTTAGAGGTCCAATCTAAATGAATTTTTCTCCATTCTGCAAAACATCTTTGCGCAGGAACCACCCGTCATCGCGAAGCAAAATTCGGCGTCACAGCAAAACGGTGCACCACCGCCAATTCCGCCGTTGCCACCAGAGCTGGGAAGGTCAGATAATAGTGTCAGACAATCCCAGTCTCCAGCAGGACACCAACGTCCGCCGCCACCGCCAAAACCATTTGATGCTCGTGGTCCGCCGAATGCTCAAGTTAGCGCCCCCACGCCACTCCCACCTCTTCCGTCTAGGCCAGAACCGCAGTACATTGGTTCCTATCTAGCCCAACAGAATGGGTACGCGAGAGCTCCACCTCCTATGCCCCGGAAGGCGCCTCAAAGAGGCAGCAGCTTACAACATGATAACGATGCACATTCTGAACCGAACAGAGCTTCTCATTACCCGAATCAGCAGCCCTGGCTCGACAACGTCAGCCCCATGAGGCCTGGCTCTCGGCAGAACACCTTCCCTTCCGATCAGATGAGCATTAATCAGCCCCGATACTCCCAGCAAGGACCACGGCCTTCACCCACTGGTCAGTATCAAAAGGGTTATCCTCCAGCATACCAAGATCGTGTTCAGCGACCTCCATCTCAACCCAGCTACCAACAACCACCCCCACAGTCGTATCAGGTTCAAAGGCACCCTCCTCAGCAATCTCCGCAATCATCAAAGCCTAAAGCGCCAGAAGATCTGCTTACCTCTTCGTTCGAAACCGCACTCCCAGCACAACCAACAAATGTTGCTCCACCTCCAATTCCACCCAACCCGCAGAAAGACGCACTACTCTCGGCTTTCTCCGAGACTCTCACCCAACAGATACACTCAAGTCATACTTACAACCTTTCTGCACTGCCTCCCCTCCGTGCTCAACAAGCCGCACTGACGCAAACCTTGAACGCCATCAACAGGGAAATATCGCAGCTGAATGACCTCGAAGCGCTGCTTTCCTCGAATGAAAATATTCTGCACCAGGCGATGCGTGATGCTGACAAGGTTCTCGAAGATGCGAAGCGCAGAACGGTACCCAATGTAGATGAGGTACTTGTTGCGCCGACAGTCGTAGCTGGGCAGTTGTATCAGAGTGTAGCTGAAGAGAAGGCAATTGAAGAAAGTAGAGGCGTCTTGGGTAAAGCTTTGGACAAGGGGAGGATAGGGGGGCGGGGTGTGGGCGAAGGTACGTGAGTAAAGCTGTTAATTTGGATTGGCGCTCACTGTGTCATCTGCAGCAAACAAGGAGCTTGGCCAGAGAAGAATTTTTGAAGAAGGCGCTGATCAAGAAGATATCCAGAGGTATGGCCATATCTGACGAGGGAATGTGGACCTGACAAGGAATGAGGCCATGCCGACTTCGGACTTTGGGTTGACCCTGTCCACATGCCAAATGTGATTCTGGTAAATCGCAGATTTGGCTGCCCTGAACGGAGATCCATCCTCTGTGGCTGTCAAATTTGTATAATCTCATGATTTAGACAGATTTCAAAGAAACGTTGCCACTCAGTCATTCGGGCTAATCCTGAAGGCGAACGTTATTGAGCGAAGTTATTGGACGCGTAAGGGGGAGCCAATTGGATTTTTGGCCTGTGAAAAACTTCATGTCAGAGTATTTACAGCCCATCGTACACACGTCTATCCTCTATTCTCCAGCAATGGCGCTCAATCGTCCCCAAACATCCTTCCCTATGACCTCACCAATCTCAACCCATCTCTCCCCATTGGTGTGCCTCCCCTTTTAAACGTAGCTGGATCACAGCCAAAGTCAGCGTCCTGGAATTCGCCGTCCAATCCCAGCTCTCGTAACATAAGCACATACCATCAGCTTCCTCCCAAGCCCTCCCAGCTCCAAATCCCAACCCTACCCACGCGGGCCATGCTCTTCGCTTGAACAGAAGAACGGAGAAGACGACGCCGAAAGAGAGGCCGATGGAGGAGCGGATCAGAAAGGAGGATAGAGCATGGTCCCACTACCATGCTCTTGTATCAGCAAGAGCTCGCTCCGGAGTTTACAAGCCGCAGCAGGAACGCGGCGATGGGTACCTTATCGTTGAGCAATGCCTCGCTAACGGGTTTCGCGGTTCGCGTTGCGGGCGTCAAGGGTGGGGGCGGCTCGTCGGCCATTGTGTGATGGACTGACTATGAAATTCATTAGCAGCCATTGTACACGCTCGAAGAATCGAAACTCACAGGATCGGTTGTTTCGCTAGTGAGAGCTGTTGTCGGCGTCGTGTGCCTCCGAAAACTTGGAGCTCCTGCGGATTCCGGAGCGGATCAACCTTTGGCGCCGGATGTTGAAATTCCTCGGCACACCTTCCGCGCAAGAAAAACATCTTGTTTGAACCTTCTTTGGTTCTGCTCGGCTTCGCGCTCAAAAATCGAACTGCCTGGCTACAATGTCTTCGGTAAGTTACACCCAGCTTCTCAGGACCGGACACTGACTCCACGAGGCAACAAGCCGCTGTAGGTCTCAGCAGAGCATTCTCTCCCTTGACAAAAGCGAGGAACCTTTCGCTGTTCAAATCGCCCAAGCGTGCGGCATCCTTGAGATTGACCTTGATGGGCACTGGAAAGCCTTTCAGAATTCAGTTGATGGGCGAGTGCTGCAGCAACACACCACCTCTGACCCACGAGCGGAATGGGCACTAAGATGGCTGCTCAAGAAACTGCAATACTCGGACTTATCTCCAGGCAGTCCGCACCTACAGCCCAAGTCATGGGTATTACTTCAGGAGCTGGTCATACGTACTCCACTTTCGAGCGTGGCACGACTACTCACCGCACACCAGTTTACAAGTGTCCTACGAAATACTTTGGGGTGGCTTCAAAAACAAGGCGAGCCGTGTAACGGTATCTCCGGATGTGGGAGTAGGAAATAAAGACTTGATGGACCAGCTCGAAGATAGCTCTGACACGGTGGAGAGCTCCTCCAGTAAGCGTGGGACCTCAAAAAAGCGCAAATTGGATGGAACAGTGGTCACTGCGTCTGAGGAAACGGTCAGTACTGCTACCGGCGCCTTCAGGGTGCTGTATTTGGCAATTTGCGGTAGTATCAGGCAGCTGGAGTTTTTAACAATGGACCCGGAAAAGACACAAGGGTTTGCGGTGGAGCACATGAAGAGTACTCTGCAAATCTCTCCGCAGGATGCGGCTCATGTATTGGGGAGCTCTTTCTACCTTACGAATCGTATCATACAGACACCTCAAAAACGTTCGCACCAGAAAAGAGTACTTACAGTGGGACTTCAGAAGCCATTAGCAGACACTGGCTATAGGTCTTGCATGCTCCCCGTGGTTGCCCTCTGGAACCGACGATCCCTTTTAGGACAGCACTCATCCACTTCAAGCAATGTACGCAATCCAGAGAAAGTTTGTAGAGAGTTCTGCTAATGCCATGCTTGTCAGAGTGCATTCATGGCTTCTTGTATGCTGCCCGTTCTCCAGCTCCTGCATACATGCCGTCAACGTCCGGCACCCGGGGAGGAAATGGCAGAAGTGATCAGATGTTTAGAAGGGTTGCTTATCGATTTTATTGTACTGCCGCTTCGCAGCTCTTTCCAGGACCTGGAGCCTCCAACTGAGCTTGAGAAAGAGGTATCTTTTACTTCTTTTGGTGATCGGATGGTCTCTTCGCTGAGACGATTTCTTCCGCAGCTCGAGAGCCCGTTTCTTCGGGCAGATTGGAAGACTGATAAGCACCTTGCACTCATGATATTATCGCTTCTGTTCGATATTGCAATCAGATGCCGCCCTCGAGATACTCCCAAACTACGCAGGCTTGAGAATCCGTGGCTAGAACAGCTTTTCATCAACCTCGCAAAGTGCGCTGAAACCCTTTTTCCCCCTTTCTCATCATTCAGAGCGCAGAAAGACCATATCCGGGTGATCAAGTGGATGTTGCGCAAAGCTGTGGATCATCAGGTGCAATTGAGCCCTTCCACTATTGAGGCAATTCTGGATCAAGCTTCAGGCCTATTCCAGAATACTGATGACAGTCACACCGAGACTCGCGTTGATGTTGAGGATGATAGTCAAATCGAATGGGGCCTCGTTAGCTTGTGCATACTCAACGACTCAAACACCTTTGTAGTTCCGTCTTCTTCAGCTAGTGACAACGGGACGTATGCATACCGACCCCCTAACAAATATCTATCTGCTTTACTTCGAAATATCACTGACGAAATGTGCTACGGATCGTTGGAAGAGGACAAGAACTACGATTTCAAGCTTCTACATGTCATGAAACCGCTCTGCAGCGCCTTCACAGATGCGCGGGACTTGACTGGATTTCTAGAGCATTGGAGGGAGCAGCTTAGCATAGTTCAAGGCCGACAAGAATCCAAGCGGAACTACTTCGAGCTTATTCCCAGTATCTGGGAAGATGAAAGACTACTCCTGCACGTTGCACAAGTGGTAGAATCATCGCTCACTGCAGGCCAAGTTGATCGAGTCCTATCAACAGCTACTCGTGATCTAGCGCCTTCTATCCCGAATGTACTCAGTGACAATTCGATGTCTCTGGCGAGCCTAGTAATACTCGACTGCGTATGTACCGGATTATTCAAGGACGAAACATTGGTCAAGCTTGACTCGATAGCCCTGTCAGTGTTCAGCTTGCTAGGGCTACTGGTCTCTAGACCCCCAAAAGTATCTTCGCCCCATTATTGGAGAGTCTGGAGGATCAAGGCGACAATCACAGATCGATGGTCATCGTTGCGCGACTCTTCAGTATTCAAACGCAAAGCCCATCCCGCGATATGTATGGCCTCTGAACTGATCAAACACATCTCCTCAGAACTAACGCTCCGCGACAACGTCGATCTAACGGAAGAGCTGTATGCTGTCAGGTTCATGCTCAAGTTTGCAGCGATGGAAAACTCTTTCTGGGAGGACCTGCAATTTTCATCGCGTCGAAAGATCGTATTAGCCGTGACGAAGCTCTTAGACATTATGGAGCCTTTTTGCCATCGCATAAGTCATGATCACTTTGGGACTATGATGCATTCTGACGCCAATTCTCAAAGCGAGAAATCCCCATCAAAGATCAGTCCTGTGGACAAATTTTACTTCGACTGTATTGAAGAGATCATCGAGTCGCCAGAAGTTCTCAGGTGAGGAGCTGGATTGGTCCTATTGCTCGTCATGCTGACCTAATATCTGTGTAGTCATCTCGATGGGGGCACCCAAAACCGCCTCGTGCAGCAGCTTTACTGGGCATCAGTCTTCCAGCAAAGGTTCTTGGGTGCCGCGAAAGGTCCATTTATCGATTACTCTTCTTGCTGGAAAAAGCTATTACGGTGTGATGCATTAGCTGAGATTGGATCTGTAACGAGTAGGCGTGTTCGAAGTGGACGACAAGTTGATTAGAGGCTAATATCCGTAGGTTGTCTACGAAATTTTCAGGTTGACCGCTACCTGAACACATCAGATTTTGGGGAACCCAAATATTGGGACATTGGAGCCGCGGACTACGTAATAGCCCTTCGAAGCATTCAAGTAACTCCTACCAACGCTTTCGATCGAGGACAGAGGACCAAATTGGCAAATCGTGTCCTTCGCATACTCCTGGTTGCAAACATGTCGAAACTCGCGAGGACCACAGATCACCTGATTTTACTGACCAAGCTCATCCAAATGCCCAACAAATCAATTAACATACTCACCAATGAGAACGAAATGCCAAACAAGGGCTCTGGAAAGCTTAATGATGAGATGGCTCTGATTAGTCTTGCGCGAGGGATTGATAGCGTTGTAGGGTGGTCAGAGGATAACGTGCACAGTGTAAAGGCTTTGAGACAGCTTACACATTCAGTGATGAGGCATGATCCCGAGAATATTGCCCTTGGTTAGATTCGCTGACCCTTATTTTCAGCTATCTATTCACGACGCTCGACCAGAAGAGCACCATTACATACCTCCAAGCATTCTATGGGCAGATGGCCCGCTCTTTGGAAAATCATTACAAAAATGACATCGCCTGTACCACGGCTTTCGCGGCTCTGTTCGAAATGTCGTTGACCCATTTTTCTCGTCATCGAGACGAATTGCCCGACTCTCTGAAGCCAGCGGGGTTGGACACTACACGTCAGTACCATCTACAGAGTATTCTCAACTGTCTCGATGGTTTAGATGAGACTAGTCTCACCGAACCGGAGCGTAGACACAGCTGTGGAGTCAACTTGGAGTGTCTGGCCGGCTACTCTGACCTTCTCGCCATTCACCCCAATCTACGAGAAATATCAGGTCGACTCTTTAGCGGTGACGGGCCCTTCCAGACACTGAAGGCTTTAGACCACCACGAAAAGTTCGATAGAGCAGAAATTACTTACAAAGACTGCTGCAGCATTGAATATCTGGCAGTATGCCTTGCCAAGGTGGAACTCCGTCTGTATACGTACGACTACAACCTGCACCCGAACTTGGCATATGAATCTGAACTATTGAAGAACTTGCACTCACGTCACGAGATGAATAACCTTCTAGGCCATTTCAAAGACGCAATACCAAGTCTTAGTTTACAAAGCAAGAAAGAGCTTTGTTTCGATTTTCACATCGACCCAAAGGAATATCTAGACTATTCCCACTTACTTCGAATTCAGATCGGGATATTGTCTTTGGGTGGTAATGCAAATCCTCGCCCTCTATCTAACAGGCTGACAGTCCACAATCCAGATCAACAGGTGGAAGAGCTTAACGATGATTTATCTCGACTTCTGGTTCTCCTATGTAGAGGCCTTTCCCGACGAATTGGGTTTCCTGAATGCATGCTATCAATGCAGTGCATCAACATGCTTTTGCAGAATCACACGCGCGTCATCTCGCAATGGCATATCGACGAGTTACTTGCTGCGATCGCTGTCAAAGCATCCAACCTAGATACTCAAACGGAGAAGAACTCAGGCAAGCTCTACATTGGTCTTTGCAGATTATTTGGCACCATACTCGCCGTCCACCGAGCCAAGATTGGAGGTCGCTACCACCTGGTGGTGTTGACATTGCAAGCTCTACTACGATGCTTGTTCGTCCCATACAAGGATAGCGAGGCAGTCGGACGCGAATCGTCAACTTTTGGAGAGAGTCACGCTGCAGCATATGGGCGAATTCTAACCATGATCTGCGATCCCACTGTCTCGTCTGTCACACGATCGAGGAACAGATTGCGACTAGAATTGAATGACAAAACGAAGAAAGCACGCAGTATCGCAGGACAGCATTTACCGTATCTGATTATGGAGTTTTGTGGATGCCAGCTCACAGGTCGTCTGCTGCCTGGGATGAGAGCGGCACTAAACGTGGGCCTGTATGCAGTCCTTGCGGTCATTTCGCCTGATATCATGCGGACAATGAATGCGGCTATGGATTCGAGCAGTCGGTCCGTCTTCAAGGCGCTGTACGATGACTATAGGCGGTTTGGCAAGTGGAACGGGGGCTGAAGGAAATGATCAGCGGTATCCACCAAGAAGATCAGCATGGTTGTCTTATTACCGTACGAAGAAATACGACAGGACGCCATATGAGGTCACGCGACATGGCGGCTTCAGCTAGCGAAACATTGACTGGATGGCGCCGAACCTCTGGTGCCACCATGAGTTCATCTTATAGGTCGGGGTTTTCTTGAGTGTCGAGGCTCCTCAAATATAAGCTCATGTTGCTTGGCAGGTATCGCTTCGATGTCTGGTTGTTTTATCGTGTGAGCACATCAGGTCAAGCCACAAACATGGTGACGGCACTTGGAGACCGATGTCTTTCAGATCGTTTATCTAGCATGGCCATGAGATATGCAAGGCTGATCTCCTGTAGAGACGTCTCTAGTTGCATGGGATGTACACGTAAATAACACCGTAATGGTAATCATCTAGATTTTTGTTTTCTTCTTCTCATTTTTTATACATGACTCCATTTTTTAAGATGATCAAGTCTTTTTCGCATCCAGTTGCTCAATCAAAGAGTAGTACGGTGGAGCGACAGATAAGAGATAACACTAAGCTTCTGACTTAGTGCGGGGGACATTGCGCTCGCAACAATTTCCCGCCGTCACTACAGACGAGTCCCCGCCCAAATTCCCCGCCGCAAATCGTCAGACTATTACTGCACGATTGCATCCCATCCTTTGTCTAGGAAGGAATTATCGTCGTCAAGGCATGCGCTATCGGCTTGCGACGTCGAGACACTGGCTTGTGGCGGCCGCTGGAGAACCCCACCATGCTCTCTCATCGGCCGGTGCCAACCGCGGGCAACTCTCTCAAATATAATACATCCTTGGCCCCAGATATGTGCGCCTTCATTCTTCTTCTCGCATTGCCAACTTCGAGCTTGAAAAACTCGGGGATAGAAGGCCAGAACACGCCAGCTCCTCCTCCGCAAGAGTCCATTTGTCTCCGGAGCACGAGACACAGCCTCTTATATATCAGCACCCTGAGCCCTCACCCAACGACCCGACAGCCAGGCTGAGAACATCAAGTCGACATCCCAGGACTTCATTCAGTCATAGATCTCGACAACATCAGGATCTGGGGTACATCACTGCTGCCATGGAGAAGCTAGAAAATTCCAGACTCGCGTACTTCGCGAACAAGATCGCTGTTTCGTCTGAGCCAGGCTTGACCAATGCCCAATTGATGTTGCACAATTTTGATCTGAAGCCTGGTTAGTAGTAGCGCCGGCGTTTGGGAGAAACCCATGCAGGAGTTGACAAGATCACAGTGGAACCTGAGCGCCGACAATGGGGTGCATGGAATTTCGTTGGTTTCTGGATTTCCGACTCGTTCAACATCGTATGTGGGGGACCTGTCAAAGATTAGACATTTATTGACAAATCTTAGAATACTTGGATGATATCGTCGTCTATGGTCGCCAATGGTCTCTCATGGTGGCAATCATGGCTCTGCGTATGGATCGGCTACGTGATATCGGCTACTTTCATCTGTATGACTGGACGCATCGGTGCAACATACCATATACCGTTTCCCGTCGTTAGCAGGGCGTCTTTCGGCATCTGGGGTTCTCTTTGGCCGGTGTTCAACAGGGCAGCCATGGCGTGTATCTGGTATGGTGTTCAGTCGTGGATTGGAGGTATTTTCTCTCACTTATACCCTCTTGAACGCCATGCTGATGTTGGCACAGGCGAATGCGTTACCCTAATGATCCGCTCGATCTGGACCTCTTACGAAAACGTTCCAAATAGCATGCCGAAAAGCTCAGGAACGGTCACCAGGGACTTTGTCAGCTTCTTCCTCTTTTGGGCCTGCAGCTTGCCAGCCATTTGGTTCCCCGTGCACAAAATCCGCCATCTTTTCACCGCCAAAGCATTTTTCGTACCCCCTGCCGGTGTTGCCTTCTTCATCTGGTCGATCGTCAAGGCTCATGGAATCGGACCCATTGTACACCAGCCATCGTCGAAGCATGGAGGTGCTCTTGGATGGGCTATGATTCAAGGGATCATGTCATCAATTGCCAATTTCGCAACGCTGATCGTAAGCTACCTTTCGGAACCAGTCTCTCCTAAGCCGAGCAGAACTTGGAGTTGCAAAGCATGATCTGGGAGTATCGTACTCTTGAGACTTGTTTTGCGATGCCTTCAGATGGAAATGCTGACTCCGAAATTTTGATAGGTCAATGATCCTGATTTCGCCCGCTTCGCAAGGAAGCCGAGAGATGCGCTGTGGTCTCAATTCATCACCATTCCTGTGGGCTTTGCGGTGACGTCCTTCATCGGTATTATTGTGTCGTCTTCCTCGGCGGTTATCTATGGAGACCCGGTCTGGAACCCATTGGATTTGCTTACTTACTTCTTGGTGAATCCTAACACTGGGAAGACGGCGAACGGACCTGCTAGATTTGGAGTGTTCATCATTTCGTTCGCCTTCGCTCTGGCTCAGCTGGGTACAAATATTGCTGCCAACTCCGTGTCTGCTGGAACAGATATGACAGCCCTTCTCCCACGGTATCTCAATATCAGACGGGGTGGTTACATTTGCGCTGCCGTTGGTTTAGCTATGTGTCCATGGTAAGTCTTTCCCACTGCCATACGCAAGCCCATCACTTGACACGTTCATCCACAGGAACCTTCTCTCCACCTCCAATAACTTCACAACCTACCTATCCGCCTACTCTGTCTTCCTCTCCTCGATCGCCGGCGTCATCATCTGCGACTACTACGTCGTCCGCCGCGGCTACTACCAGATCAAAGACCTCTACTCCGCCCGTAAAACGTCACCTTACTACTTCACTTTCGGCTTCCACTGGCGCGGATACACAGCCTACATCTGCGGTATCCTCATCAATATCGTGGGATTCGTTGGAGCCATTGGAAAGCCTGTGCCTCAGGGTGCCAAATACATCTACAACATCAACTTTTTCGCCGGTTTCCTCGTCGCGAGTCTGACGTACTGGATCTTGTGCAAAATTAGTCCGATCCCGGCCTGCAGTGAGAAGTGGATGGAGGTTGGGGATGAAATTAGGAATGTTAGTGTTGCTTATGGGGCTGAGGGGTATGAGGATGATAGTGTAAGTGCGGGTAGTGGACAATACAAAGATGATGAGGAAGGGCAGACCGGTATTCGAGAGAGGCAAGTCGGGAAGGAGGATTTCTAAAAGGTTGGGTGTATGTTTTTTCGTATATCTGGGTGGGATATAAGGATGATTACTCATGATTGATGAATGTTTGGTATATAGAGTAAAGGACTCGGGACGGTCTGTCCAGAAAACATAAGTCATTCTTCCTGAATAGATGGTACTCAACAACTCTTATCCTGTCTCCAAAAACCTCGCGCGTCGTGATTTGGCTGATAAGGTTCCACTTGGCAACATATCGGCTAGTCCATCTAGACCAACAATTGGCATAATACTCTTACCTAAGACAGCGCCATGTGCCAGTGACTCTTGATGTACCTCATTGACAGACCACCCGTTTGTTTGCTCGAACCTGGAGGGTGCCGTCCTCTCAAGTTCATAGATTCAGTCTCCGTAATTTTAAAAAAAAAGGGAAAAAATTTTAAAAAAAATTTCCCTTCCCCAAAAAATTTTCGGCACCCTTTCCAAACAATAAAACACTACAGCAACTGCGGTAAGTATGGCCAGCGACACCACCGTCTCCATTATAGCTCTGGCCGTCGCTTTGGTAGCGCTCGTCACAACTATCAGCCAAGTCCTCGGCCAGTTCTTAGCAACAGCAGATGGCTACCGAAGATGCCAGTCTTCCGTGATGGGATGTCTTCCGTGATGGGAGGGTCGGCCAAATTAACGCCCCGCAAATTCCGTTGGAGTGAGATGCGATTCGAGACGCTCTCTGTACGACACCGCAGTTCGGTCTCTTCCCCTACATGCCCCGCCACCTTGTGTCAAAAGAGACAGACGCCTACGGCTCAAAGGAAATGCATTACCAACTTGATGGATCTGCCGGGTCTAAAGAAGCCACATACTGCGACACTGCGCGCGGACCACATCTTGCCGGTACTACTGAGAATGTCTCCTGGTTAAGGTTTATAGAAGCCTTGCACGAGAACGAACTCAGGGCAGTCATTGAAACTCTTCGGGGTTGCATTCCATGATGTTGCGTCGAAGAAAGAGCTGAAGAACAGAAAGAATCTTGTGGCACAGGGAAACATATTGGAGGATATTACCCGCCATGCAGCTGGGTCGCAAGGCTATTTGATTGCGGACTTGAAGTTGCAAAAGAGATCTTGGGGCTTTGTACCGCCAGAGGTCGTGCGGCCTTTGGCATTGGGGACGGTTTGTGACCTCGCAGTTATGGCAAGACCGTTGGGCATGATATGGAAACAGTCCGAGCCTCTCGATGGGAACTTGCAGGGCAGAGGGCAATGGACACACGATCACTTCTACGGCCGTGAGATCTATGGGCACGGTTTTGTAAATCGGCGTTCAAGACTTTTTGCCAACCGCAGATCCTACAGAAGAATTGAACGAGCTCTACATCCCTTCCGTGGCAGCGGACAAAATGGGCTTCGGCATAGTACCAGGCGAAGCAAGCCTTGGCGTGCCAGACTACAAGCTAGGGACAGAAGAGGACGTGCTTGCAACATTACGAATCGTAGTGGACCCAAGCTGTGAAGCCGCAGAAAGAGTGAAAGACATACTAGGAGCAAATCCCGGCTGGACTCCTGGCATCTCAGACATAATAGGCTTCGCGGCGCCCATGATTCGCCAATCTTTCTCCTCGATCGTCCGCGTTCCCCAGCCCGCAGGATACGCAGTCAGGTTGACGCAGCAACAAGAAGGGTTCGTCGTCTTCCACAAGCATCTCTACGACCTCGTTGCTGAAAGAGATGCAAGAAATGAACCTGTGTCTAAACAGACTCGGTCGATACTCCATCAATACGCGGAACTGCTTTACCGCTATGGAGAGCAGTGGGAGAATCATGAGGTGTGCAATCAGAAGCTGAATGATCGCTCCCTGGAGTTCATGGATAATTTACACGGAAAACATACGGCTGCCACCAAATACTTTAAAGACTTAATGGCCCGCTATAATGGCACAGGCGAGAAATCGCAGGTCTTTCGCTACACAGACCTTATGTATGCTCACGTACGACACGCAGTCAACTACTTCCCTGAGGCCCTTGAACGAGTCAATGCTTCACCCTCGCGAGCAAGAAACCACTATGGACTGAGAGTGGCCGGATGGATCACCGAGGGCGCGCACATCTACTTCGACAATATATCAAAGGTGATATGGGACATGCGATCTAAGGGATTTGACCAGCCAGAAATTGTCGAGGAGGCTTGGTTGACTATGATGTGGAAAGCATTTTGATGGCATCGCTGCCATTTCATGGTGGAGGGCGCGCGGATACAGAGTTCCCATTGGGGATATTGCCTCACATTGGATGAAAGATGTATTCGCGTATTCGATGCAGAGACAAGTTTAGGGGAGGGAGGATTCCATACAGGCAGGCGTGCTGTTAGCGAAGATGGCAGTTTCCAAGGTACGAAAACCTCAGGGCTTGACAATTGGTCTATGGAAGAGCCGATTCCTGATCTGTCACATGCTCTCCTAAGGTCCGCTTTCCCGCTAATAGCCAACACAATGGGATGCAGAACAATCATTGTGCATACATTGAGTCATACCGACGCCCAGTGTGCCATTCTTCTAGCAACTCGCCTGGCAAAACGCCCGGAAAAGGAGTCGACATGATTGCTACCTCCGATACCAATACCCCATCGCAATACCAATCACCACAGCCGGCACAAGATGTTTGCCCAGCGCCATGCCCCCTGCCTTGAACTTCTCCCACTGAACCTCGCGGACTCTCGCCTTCAAAGCAGCAGCCTCATTGATCCTCGGAAAAGGCAGCCCCTCTGGCACATCTTTGCCCAAGAAATCACACAATGGCCCCCATCCCTCACCCAAACGATACTCCAGCAACCTTCCCTTCGGCGCAGCCTCTCTGATCCGCCTGTAGTGCTCTTTATAAACGCTACGAGCATTCTGGCGCAACTCATCCGGAGTATTGGCGTGAAAGTATCTGTAAAGTAGTTTCCGACCCATGGGCCCAATCTGGCTTCCAATCAACGGCTCGATGTAACCAACAATGACATCGGCGACTTTGTTAAAAAGCTCCGTGACAACGGTTGCATCAAAACTCCTATACCAATCCTCGACATCCCTTTCTACGAGAATGATCTTGGCCTCCGGATACGCAACCATAAGTTCCTTCCAAAAACAAGGATTGTAGCTGCTCAGACTTTCCTAGCAGCTATGTGACTGGCAGGACCATAACGGTTCAACGCAGTGCTCAGGAGCCAGATCACAATACCGATGTTGCTCCGCTCGCTCAAGAGAGCACCGAAAGCGGTAGGGTCTGGTCTTCGAGGGACGCTGAAAAGTCACGCCGACGACCGTGAAACATCGTCACTTGGATTACGAAATGGTACAGCCGACGAAGAGAATCAGACGCACGATCTCTCAGTCTGACCGCTTTCCAGACGACGACGACGCAGAAAGCTTCTACGACCTAGACCACGGGTCTGCGGAAGACCGGAACTCGATTGTAGACGCGCTCAAGTGCGACAGTAGCGACCCTTTCCAAGCCTTCGCTCATCGTTTCCACTGCGCTCAAGCCAGAACCCGGCTGGGATCTCATGGGCCTGGAGAATTCGTCTGCGGAACCTGTTCTCTGAGACGGGAGGGCTACATCAATGAGCCGGGGAAGGACAACGATGGGGGTTTTTCCTCGGCAATGCCTTTGGCGTTCCGGGGCAAGCTGGCATATGAGTGGTTCGGGAGTAGTATTCAACGGAGATCAGGGGAGAAGATGAATTTCAATATCTCGTGGTAGTGATTTGTGACATCTGGTTTTCTGTTCTAATCTTTCGATGAGACGGATGGCAAGACGTGCAATAGAAGGAAAGAAACGTCCGTAACGAGACGGCGGCGGCGGCGGAAACATTTACAAAATCACTGTATATCTGGTCCGGGGGACAGACAAATTTGTTGTTATATTCTTCCTCCAGACCCGGTAAGAATGGCCCTTCAACAGTAAACGAAGTATCTTGACAAAGCCACGAGGGTGAGTAGCAACACTGCTATTCTTAGCGAGGACTTTAACCCAAGTTAGATGACATGTCATAAAGAGCGAGCAAAGAAAGGGCCACCTCTTCCCAGCGAGAGCTTATTCTTAGAAAACGGATGTCTCATGAGAGCAAACAAGGGGTCATGTCTTCCCAGTTCAGAGGCTAATTAGATTTCGTAAAATAAGTGCATACAACATTGCTCCGTCAGGAAGGGGGCTGTGAAGAAAGAAAACATCACGGAGGATAACCAGAAGGTCATCTCAACTTTGACTTCTACCCCATCCTCGTCACGGGAGTCCTCGGAAGGGAGGCTCCACCCAGATATTTAGCAATGCACCATTCGTCCCGGATCTTTTCCTTTCTACAGCCCCAACCTGTGTCGTATTCATCTCGCGAAGTTGACCAGCTCCACGAAGTGGCTGGGCCGACTTTGTGAAGCACTGTATGTATTACTTGGCAGTAGAGGCCTGCTTCGGCAGTTGGGGGGAGGTTATACATCTCTCACGCAACCCAACTGCCGGTCTTAGCCGCGCTTTGTCGCTCCCTCGGTCAATTTACCTAGTTTTTACGTGGAGGCTTCGCTGCTGGCTCAGGGGTAATTTGTGTGGGATGTTTTGGGTTCGGCAGAGCTGCAAACAGTGTTTCATTCTTTGAGGACATGCAAGACTGTGGACGGCTTAAAAATGTGGCTAAAGCGTGTGCTCGGAAGGCAGGGTAGAGAACGATAGTAGAGATAAAGCACGGACGGCATCCCAGAAGAGCGAGTCGAAAAGTTCATGATACGGCAGGGGGTTTATGTTGAGGCAATTCCAATCCGCTTGGCCTCGCTGCCCACAATATCTGGGACCTCGGCCATCAAGGATCTTTCGTTGGGTTTCCAACCCAGCAATCTTGAAGCCCGAATAGCCTTTGCTCTGGACTTTACATTCCAAAGCGCCACGCCAATTGCCTTGAGCTTATCTTTCTCCTCAATTTCAAGAATCTTGGCCTCGGCAGACTTGATCAAGCCTTGCTTGTGCGCCTCGTTCGTAACCTCCTGTGCAAGTTCATTCCATCTATGCTCGCCGTTCTCAACAAGATAGTAGCCCTCGTCATTCCAGCTCGCTTTGCCACCACCCGCAACAGCTGCTTCAAGGAGCGACAGATATAGACGCGAGAGGTCGTAGATGTGTACATTGAACCACATGTAATCTTCCTTGCCAATAACGAATCCTGCGCCGCGTTCGAGAATCAGTCTACTGAGCTCGTAAGCTTGCATTGAGCGTCGATTGCCTGGGCCGCGGCCTTCTCCGTAAATCAAAGAGGGGCAAACGATGGCTGTTTTGATTGAAGACGAGGCGGCGGCTGCAAGAACTACTTTGTCGACTGGACGGTGGGGAGCCGAGTCTTGATCGATGCTAGTATCCAGCAGCTGTCTTCTCAAATTGACTGATATTGACGTACCGGGACGACCAGTGCATTGCTTAATCCCATCCCAGTCGTCGAAAGTCTTGACATCCTTATGACCTTCTGACGGCTGCAACAACAGGACATCCGTCCCACTGGTATGTATCCAATACCCTCCGCTCTTCCTCAAACCTCTCGATATAGCCTCAGCGGCTCCAACGTGATCAGAGCTTGCGAAGTGAAGCACGATCTCGGCCTTGGCCGCTTCGTCCTCGAGGATTTCCCCATCGTCGAGCGTACCGTAGACGAGTCGCAGGCCGGGGTATGTGGCCTTTAGGCTCTCGCCTCGCGCTTGGTCACGAACGAGACATGTTATGTGAATCGCCCATTCCGGATGGGTTTCAAGGAGAAGGGCGAGGAAATCACCGCCGACGTACCCGGTCTGTATTGGAATCAGATGGAGCTAGGGAGCTGGTATAAACGCGTAAGGAACACACTGTGCCTGTTGCAAAGAGTTTGGGAGCCATGCTGTTGGTAGAAGACCTCGAGGAGACTAGCTACGCGTGCCCATGAGCATCATCATTTCCTCACTTTCATCTCAGACCTGCCAAGCTCGCTAAGCCCCTTCCAGTTAGCTTGCTAATGTGCTATGATAAACGCCTTGTCAAATTGTCTGTGTGAACATGCGCCTTACCTCCTCAATACTATGGCCGGCCTCAAGGCGCATTAATTCTAATCGCATATAACATTGACTCTCGGTCAAGAACGATATGAGCAGGCAAAGACCCATCCCACCCGTCCAATTGCTGCTCCCTTTTGACTCAACTCAAGACGCCACCTCAGCGTTGCGAACCCTTCAACAAGACGTTCCCAAGACCTCCTAGTCTTTGATGGACCCAATGTCATGCTTCGTTTGCTCTTGTTAGATCTTTGTGCTGGATCTGAGGAATGGAGAGGATGAAAACCCGTAGAGATGTTCTCTCGTGATCGCTAGGGGCCATGCTTCATTCTCAACCTGCCCGTCTAGCGAGATTCTGGACTCAAATTGGTGCCATGTACTTTGGAAGCCAGCCGAGCAGGTTTTCCGCTATAATTATAGAAAGGGCAAGCCGTCGTCGGTATGCATGGCGCACTGGAGGTCCGAAATATCGTAGTCATGGAACCATTGTCGAAAGCAAGCTGCAGATCGCCGAGCAGCATGCTCGTCCCGTACCGTAAGCGCACCCCAACGCCGTATCTCATATCATACACCAAACTCGTAGTCACATAACGAAGCATATCTCGTACTCCAGGCCTGGCCAACAAGGTACATCGCATCATGCGAGGCGATACAATCTATCGCCCTGATTCGTGGTTTTCGCGTGCCTAGTATCCTCCGCGTTCACCCACTGTCCATCTCGGGGCTCGTAGGGCCCAACGCACCGCAGGAGATAAGAGCACTCGTCATGCTGCGTTTTCTGACTTCGCATAGCGTACAGCACCACGCCAGCGTCGTCTCGGACAACCTGTTGCCCAAATTGGTCTTGTCCGCTTCCTTCGCGATGATGGCGATTGGCGTTGTGCCGCTGGAATTGTCGTCGTCACTCTGTTCCCCTTGGTAGTAAGCCGGGCTTCTAGCTTTTCATTTCCCCGCTCGTTTTGATCCCGATGATGGTTTTTTTTCGGTCCTGGTAGGAGTTGGATTGTAAGGTGGATGAAGAGCCTGTTGCCCACATCGGTCTTGACCGCTTTCTTCGCGGCGATGGCGATTGGCGTTGTGCCGCTGGAAATCGTCATCGCTCTGTTTCCCCTGGTAGTAAGGCATGCTGCGGGCTACCATTTTCGCGCTCATTTTGATTCCGATGATGTGCTTTTTCCAGTCCTGATAGGTGGTGAATAGTAAACTGGATGAACTGAGGCTGTGCCTTGTCGAAAGGAGAAGGATTGGCGCTTGCCATGCCGACCAATGAGGTCGGCTTATCAGTCCAGCCTCGTCAGGGCGGTGTGGGGGTCCTTGGCTTGGGCTGATGTCAATACCAACCTCATTGTCAACGATATTGATGTCGCTCTCAAGGATGCTAATGACGCATTCAGGTCACATTATATAAGCGTTCACTTCAGGTCATGGCAACAACGAGTGAAGCGAATCTAGGCTTCTGGAGGGATCATAGTCGTCGCTACCTTGACCGTGAGCAATGATCAATATATGAAAGGGGCCAAGACATGAAAGCTAACATTCTACAATGAGAGGAGTAGAACGGCAGATACTTGCCACTAACTTTTGGTCTCAATGGATGACAGCTTTTGTCGCTGTGTGCCTCACTCTCACAAGTCCTTATGTTTTCAAGATAGCCAAGAGCTTTCTAGTTTGGCTTATTGGTCTTCTTAGTTGGCTCACAAAAGAGTGGAACAATGCCCATTCAGCGAAACCTCCTTCGTCATCGTCTAGTGTCGCTGAAAGCCAGACTCCATTAATGCAAAGTCAGCACGTTGACTATAGAACAAGTTATAGACCGGAGAATGATGTGGTATCGAATACGCCGGTCAGCCCAATGGAACACCAATAAGCGTAGTGGAAAGCCAATCTGATAACCAGCGTGACATTGCCAAACCTGTATCTGAGGAACAGAGCCCACAAGTTGTTGCAACATTACCAGCTGCAGAAAGTTGTCCGGACTCAGAAAGACGAACACCATCGGCCCACGGAGACCAAGGTCCCGCAGATATACTGAAGAAATCCCAAGACAGTCGCGAGACTGTATGGGAGTTCGTCGAGTCTCTACTGCATGGTGGAGCCAAGCAAGCCGACTCCCCATCCACCATAATGATCGTGATAACTACTGTTCTCTTTGGTCTCTTCATTGCACAGGCAATAGCCGGCGTGTTTTCAGCCAAGATTGCTTCCGACAGAGCTGGCCTGTCTTCGTCGCAGCATTGTGGCATTTGGCAATTCAATGAAAATGCTGGTGGAGAGCCCGCAGATCGGGATGATTTAAACAATTATCAGAAGGAAGCACGAGCAAGCCAGTACGCTCGGACCTGCTACAACTCCCCGGATCCTACAGACCCATTGTCTTGTAAGGTGTTCTACAACCAGAGTATTGCATACTCTACCAAGACCTATCAGCCGTGTCCGTTCGCGTCATCTGAGCTCTGTCACGATGGACTCTACTCTGCCATCTCCTTCGATACTGGCTATATTGACGCCAGTGTCATCGGTATCAACTCTCCAACGACTCATAAATTTCGTCGAACAACAAGCTGCTCCCCACTGAACATGTCGGAACCGTACGTCCTGCGATCTTCTCCAGGCACCAATGGCACAGCCTATCACTATTATTATGGCCCTAAGGACTATACGAGTTACACGTTCAATACATCTGGCCGACCATTTGAATGGCTTGTGCCGGTGTACTCGGTAAGGTGAGTGCTGTTGCTCCAATCATTTCTTGTCACCTATTTACATAAAGATCAGAGGTTGATCGCTAGTAGCACTTATTTCTCTTCGCTCTACCCGGAAATCGATTATTGGCACCCAATACCAGAGCTCCAGACACCAGCCAACAGCACGCTCACAATCATTTTCGTGTCTTCGATGCACATTTACCATGTCAAGCCGAGCTTTGATCCTATATTTCCCGCCAACGAACCACGCTATTTTGAGGGTTTCCGTAAACCTTACTATTACAACGCCGACCCTCGAGCCCGAGCTCTGGCTTGCGTGGACACAAGTGAGCTGTGCTCTCCCGATGGTACCACCTGTTGGTCTATGACTTCGCCTCTGCCGCCGGATATCCAGTCCTCTCCAGAATATTGGTTGATGAAATGGTCCTTGGCGAACTCGAATACCTTCGATTCGATCAAGTGGCGCTTGGGTACCGCACTTCTCGCCCAGGAAAGCGTCAGTCAGTCCGTATCAATTCCTTTGAGCCCTTATCAATGGCAGCTCGAAGCAAGCCAGCTATTTGCCACTTCTCTTGCCCGAATCCAGTACGACGCTTGGAAAATCGCCACTGGCGAAGACCGCGAGCGACCTGGATACGTCGAAGTGACCCCTGAAGAAGCCAGAGGTCGTCTTTGCAGGTTGTACAAGTTCAAAAGTTCCGACTATACTAACATCAACTTGGCTGCGTTTGTCGGACTCCCGTTGCTGGCGATCACCATTTTCGTTTTGAGCTGGGATGCGAGTGTCGTTGGATTGGGCTCCAGAAAAGATGAGAGCACCGCCTCGGAGCCTCTTATCATTGACGTTATTGTTAGATTCGTCTGTGATATCTTGCTCGTTTTCACCGTGGGCATATACACCGGTATCATTACTCTCTTTCGAAAATTGGGCCGTTGCATCAGAGATCGAAGACCTAATTCGAATCTGTCTTGATCACCTACAGATCGCGCATGAAAGCGAAGTGGAGCTCGATAAGATACTCAGCTTCTTGAAGTGTCATTCATACAATACCTCGAAGACACTCAAATGATTGACCTGATCTTTGAGAAGCTCTATACATAAAGCTTTGTATACACACAAAACCCTCTCAATGTTTCTCAAGATCTCGATACATACATCCTCTGCAGATCTACCATCTCCCTTCCCCCTGACGACGTAACGACTCTGCATCCACACAAACCCCTGCCCCTCATCCATATTGACGGCCCTATTTTCCGCATTCTTCACCCTCCTTCTCCCCTCTTCCCCTTCTCATCGATCCCATTCCAATGTCATCTCTGCGGTGGCTCTGATTGCCTCCTTCTCCTCCTCGAAAGCAAGATCCACAATCGTCCATCCCATCAACCAATCCCTTGATGTCCTTGCCATGCTATCTTGACGCCCATCACGCAACTCCATCAGTTTCGATGCCTCAAGTCGCTGAGATATGTACTTACACGTTGTATCCCTCAAAGGCTTTTCGCAACTCCTCTTCGGTGCCTGCGACGTTTGATCTGCCGACCCAAAGGCTCGTTTGGAGCGATGTGGCGGCGTCCGAGGATGTCTGAGGTGGTTTCGGGGCATTTTTGGGATGTCTGGGGCGTTGCAGTAGTTGGCGGATGCAATGTTTGAGTCGCTTGGATGTTGGTGGAGCGGTCATTCAGCGGTGAGGAGCGTGGCTTCGATGGTCCGGTGCTCGATGGAGGATTAGAATCTTGATTTGGTTTTTCATGTATAGGTTAGAAGGTCAGTGGGAACGAAGGATAAGAGGGAAAGAGCAGGAGCGAAATTAAGAAATGTTATGTAATTGCCTATTGGATAGATATATGAAATGAAGAGTAGGCTGTTTTGATTGGGAGAGAAGGAATAATGTCGAGCTCATGAAGCCTCTCTCTCCATCGGAAAGGAAAATGAAACCCTTCGTGGGCCAACGGCCTTTGAAAGGCAAGAGTGCCCAGGGCCAGATCCCATCGTATCGCCAGTCTCGTGGGGCTTCTCCCCTCAGATATCCAAGAACCCGTGGGCCAAAAGCCTTTGAGAGGCAAGAGCGCCCAGGACCAGATCCCATCGTATCGCCAGTCTCGTGGGGTTTTTCCGCTCAGATCTCCAAGAACATGCCCCTTGGCTGTCCCACTTTCGGCGGAGTGTACGTGAAAGCCTCACTCCCCAAGGCCATCCTGACGAATCTCTCCTCCCACTTCTTTCCCGTTTTCAATTCGAAAAACCCCTGAAACGCGTCCCATGCGGTTTCCCACGGGCTCCCAATCGGCGCCAGCATCTCACTTGTGGGTGCGTGGCCGGGAGAACTGTACTTGGCATAGCAGGCGTAGTACTTGGGCGTAGCGTGGGACTCGAAGAGCTGCAATCTCTGAGCGCGCGGACAGTGGATGCGGGCGCGGGCCCGAGGTGAGAGGGGAATGATGGGGAATATGGGAGTAGTGATCATGGGGTCGGGGGTGAGATGGCGTTTGTGAGGAGGTGTGTACGTTGGGGAGGAGGGATAGCACACCTTGAGGGCGAAGCGATCATTTTTGTTGACGAGGAGGTTCGTGCGGGCAAGGGTAACGTCGTAGTTGAACTTGGTGCAGTCTTGATAGATATGATAGCCATCTGAGAAGGGTTTAGTCGCGACCGTCGTGGTATTCAATGGAGTGGTGATATACCGGAGAACATGTCCTCTTTGAATTCCTTGCATCCTTTCTCGAAGTTCTCCACTGAGAGAAAGTCAGGAACCATACCCAGCACAAACCAGCGCTTCGTAACTTACTGCCTTTTCTAATGTTCTCTTTCCTGACTGCCTTCTTCTTTTCTTTATTGTCCGCAGCACACTTGACTAGAGGGGCCATAAGGTATTCGGATTCTTTCATGGGATGCTCTTTCATCAAGGTGTCCTCCAGCCAATCCCAGGAGACGATTTTGACGGTCCTGAGCTGGCGTGCCTTTTGGACTAACAATGACCTTGTATCAGTATGCTGCTAATCGCAGGTGAAGAGATCCAATGCTTGATGCTATTAGGAAGTGCAATATGCCATACCCATTGCCACATTCTTCTTGAAGTCTTCCTTGCTACAAACAAGGTGGGTAATCTTCGGAGAGACATTATATGCAAAGATGCCTCCATTGTTATGTATCCATTTGCGCATCTGTTCGGACGAGCGCTGTTCTCCGAAGTAGCCAGTAATCGCAATGGTGAAGCGTTTGAGTGGTTGTTTCCCCATTGCGGAACGGGAGGACTGGTAACGATTCCTCTTTTGCATTTTTGATGTCCTTGAGTGAGTTAAGTTGCAGGATATAGCCTGAAACTTGAGACTTGTGACTTGAGATAGTCGTGACAGGAGTGCTTGATGAGGAACGTCGGTGTGGGCTGTCTGTTCAGTAGTGCAATTGCATGCAATCCAGGGACCCAAGGGACTGTGATCGCAATGTCGTTAGGTCGCTAAGTTGGTCCAATGTGAATGCAAAGCGAGTTGATTGCAGGCAAATTTGATGCAAAGGTTGCTGGGGCCAAATACTTCTGACCTGCAGTGCACTCCTGATAAAGTCGGTGTATGAGCAATGACACTGAGACCGTCAATCTGGCGAGCCAGACGGTGTAGCTGAAGTGAAAGAGGTCTAGAAGGAGGTAAGAGACTGAGCAAAATGTCAAAAGGGGCGGGCAGTACCCCTCCCAGTGAGGCTGCCAAGACTCAGAAAGTGAGACGAACTACCCTAGGTAAAGTGTGAGGGCTGAGAGACCTCGTAGCCAGGAATGGTTCGACGTTGCCAGCCAAAGTCAGGAAGAATGAGGATTTTGCTACACAGCTTGATTCCTTTCTCAAAGCAAATTGCTCCAATGAAAGTATAAGACGAAGGATCGAAGTGCGTGGCTTCAAGATTTGGAGTAAATGTCAAACTCTATGTATCCAGAGATGATGACTGAAGACAATAACCGTATCTCTTAATGCTCACGAGAGCACTTATCTCACCCGAGCGTCTTTTGCAGCTTCGACAAATCTTTGGATTCTCTCGAGACTCTGTGACCCATTTTCCTCAACTCCACTACTTACGTCAACAGCCACGACTTGTGAGAAGCATTCGGACAAATCAGCGAGGATACTTTTCAAATTATCAGGATCCAGACCACCAGCCAGAACTACCCGAAGACCTTCATCCAGCCCAAGTACCGATTTGATCGCACTTGCGTCGAGTCTTTGCCCAGTCCCACCGGAAGCAGAGTCAAGTAACGGAAGAGCATGATAGCCTCTTCGACCTATACCTTGATCGTTAAGCCCAAAACGACGAATGACAGGGACTGGTATCAGTCTTGCCCATTCAACAGGCTCCGAACCGTGGAGTTGGACAACGTCAAGATTCAGCAGCTTTACTTGACCGAGGATGTAAGAGAGAGGCTGATTCTGGAAGACTCCCACAAGCAAGGCTCGGTCCTCTCGGCGAAAGAATTTTGTGGTATATTCAAAGTACTGACTAGCTTTGAGAGAATCCTCGGGACTCAGAACTGGACTTCGCCTCGTCCCCGATTTTGGAGTCGTGCGCACAGCCTCAGCTATTGCAAGGGCGGACTCTGTTGAGACGCAACGTTTCCGACCTTCCACCAGGATGATGCCGATCATATCTGCTCCTGCTACAGCGGCAACTTTGGCAGCTTCTGGTGTTCGTGTGCCGCAAATCTTGACCAACACATCGTGTCTTTCATGACCATGCTCAGTGGGCTCAGAAGACCCTAGTAAGCGGCTGGCGAACTCGTCAGGCCGTCCAGCCCTCATCAGTGCTTCACCAACCAAGACTGCACCCACGCCTTGTGATCGATATGACTTAACATCATCTGCACCGGATATGCCAGATAGTGCACAGACAACTGTCTCGTTTGGAACCTTGTCCATCAAACGGCTGGTGGTCTCAAGATCCACTTTGAAAGTCGTCAAATCCCTATTATTAACTCCAATAACCTGCGCACCAAGTTGAATGGCGATCTTCATCTCATCAGGGGTGTTTACCTCGACGAGCGGTTCCATTTCAAGGCTTTTTGAGAAGAGGTACAACCTCTTCAGCGTCTCTTCATCCAGCATTTTCACGATGAGAAGCACACTGTCACAGCCGGCCAATCGACCCTCGAGTATCTGGTACTCGTCGAAGACGAATTCTTTCCTCAGCACGGCAGGACGATTCGGCATCCCGTCAAGGCTTTGTCTGACAGCCCGTAGATCTTCCACGCTGCCTTTGAACCATTCCGGCTCGGTCAGGACTGAAATCACACTTGCCCCCGCCAGAGCATACTTCCTTGCTTGCTCAGCAGCGCAGATATGTGGTGCGATGTCGCCTTTCGATGGCGACGCTCGCTTGACCTCAGCCATCAGCGATAGCGAATATTGTGATCTTCGAAGTCTTTCAGGAAACGAAATCTGAGGAGGAGCAATACCTAAATCGTAAGAAGCTTGAAGATCAGACGGTCGCTGCGAAGGTATTTGCTTCTGTGCCTCGACTGCGGTTTTTCTGTGCGCAAATATCTCTTCCAATATGGAAGGTTTCTTTAGTTCATCGGACGCCGTGTTCGAAGTTCCGTCCTCAGCCGAATTTTTGCCGTCTTTGCCAAAACCATTGACGCGGACACCAGCACCTCTTTCGGCCTGAAACATATCATTTTCTTTCCACGTGCCGCCTTGCATAATGAGAAAGTTCTTAAACATGGCTCTACCTTCCGCAGTAAGGATACTTTCTGGATGAAATTGAACACCCTCAACTAAAAGCTCCTTGTGACGTACTCCCATGATAATGCTGGTTCCGCAGTCACGGCCATTAGCAACCCACGAGCTTACCTCCAAGCATTGAGGTAAAGTGGGATGTGTTCCAGCAAGAGAATGATACCTCGTGACTGGGAGATCTTGAGCAAGACCTTTGAACAAGCCTTTCGAATCATGTCGTAAAGGAGACGTTTTCCCATGTAGGATTACTCCGGTCTCCTCTACTCTCCCACCAAAGACAGAGTAGATGACCTGTTCCCCCATACAAACCCCTAACACTGGTATTTTACCCGAAAAGTGTCGAATTGCATCCTTACTGATGCCAGCGTCTGCGTCTGGATGGCCTGTTCATGACGTTGATGAATACCGAGTATCAAATCATGTGCTGGGCTAAGCTCACCAGGGCCGGGGCTCACTACCAACTGGGTAGGTCTGATCGTGATCAGTTCGTCCAGGGTGATCTCATCATTACGGTAAACCGTCACGTTGGCTCCCTCTAGTACCTGAGCGCTGGTTAGACAGACTGAAAAATGAGACCATGATATGCGTCAAAATCAGGTGGAGCTGTACGAGATACTGATAAACACTGGAATCCGCGGAGTCAGCATGTCTTGTTAAAGGTGAAAGTCATGGTCATGGGACTAGTGCTCAAGAGTGAATGAGATAACCCTAGAACGCTTCTCCCCAAGATTTGCCCCAAGGCACACGCAGCCAAATTGATTGGGAGGGTATTTTGTACGAGTAGACTCACTTCCAGGTAAAACTATCAAAATTGTCAATTAAAACTAGATTTGAAGCCGTCGGAATCCGAGGCGCAGCTTCTGCCCGGCTTGGTGAATGATCTATCAAATCGGCTCCATTCATTGTTGCAGAGTCTTCGGTAAATTTCTGTACACGATGCCACGTAGAGCGTATGTTCTTGGTGTTAAATGTGTAGAAATCTGTTGACCGATGGATATATTGTGTTGATACCAGAGTTGGTCAATGTTTGACATATAAATTGTATAATACGTTCGCTAGTGCCCATGTAAATTACAGCCGCGTCAAGTCGCGCTTAAGTTCACGAACTTTCAGAACAACAGCTTCTGTTTTAGGTAATTGCCCATTCTGTGTAGGAGCTCGGAGCTGTCGCCCAGATGCCTTGATGGCACCAATTGGAGAGGCTTACTTCCCGCCTCTCGACAGATGCTTCAGCGGGGAGCATCAATTACTGTGTGCAACCTAAGGGACCTTGAATAACATTGTGCTAAAAATGGAATACAGGTCTTGGAAGACTACTTATGTAGCGCTTTCTCAACTGAACGGTGAAGCCGACACCGGATCCCTCAGGCGACATCTTTCAGACCCACAGACGGTACACCTACTCGCGCACTCGTCTTCGCCCTATTCGGCTCCCACTTCGCAAAGCAAATCTACCTTTGACACCAAGACCTCTTCCATTCATGTTCCACCCTCTGGTAATACACGCTACGATATTGGACAGATAAAAGAAGACACTCTATGGCTCAGCAAAGAGACGAAGATTGACGAGGTCTCGGCCTTGAGGATAGCTGTCTTGGAATGGCAAACAAGGCCAGCCGTGCAGCTGCTTCGAGGCAGTCTTGTTGACGAGATCGCACCTCTGGCAAACGGGATAGGAGGAAGCGAACTTCAAGCGTCATTCTCTGATGCGGCTTCGTCGCTGTTCGGCAAGTCATCTGGGCTGCGGGCAAACGCGCCAGCTCCTTTCCACGATGCAGGCCCGCGACGACGAAGGTTGCTGGAGACATACTTGTCCGAGCGACGATACATCCTCAAATCTAGCGAATATGTCACACTCGCAGCATCCTGCAAAGCACAAAATGGATCCCCCAATAATGTCATGAACCAGGCATCTAGCTGGTTGGAAGATGTAGGGACTGCAGTTATTTCTAATTGGAAGGGTGATGGATCAGCCCAAAGCAAAAGTAAGAATTTCGTTGCTGAAGCAGTTGAGGCTTTGCGCTCCCGGATAGAGAGCTTGATGAGGGGAAGTGGATGGTTGTCAGACGAAAGCCAGCAAGAAGAAATCGAGCTTGCCTGGGCCAGAAATCAGATCCTAGAGATGATTCATATCATGCAGATCCTCCTAATTCAGCTCGATACATCCTCGACGAAATTGCTTACTCCTGACTCAATCCTTCCCTGGTATAGACTAATGAACGAATGCGGCTTCTTTAATAGCTTGCAGCTGGTGAGCCTCTAAACAACAACGTATATCTCTTGGCTACTGACGAATCTGTTAGCCACATCCTGCATTACAGGGCCCCTACGACTTGCCTCTACAATCACTCACTGCTCTTATCTCTCTGTCTATCCTCAACATTCCTTTGGCACTCGAACTGCTCGACCAGTCTTTTGCTGCAGGAGTCTCAACAGGCTCAGAGGGCAGCTCTCCCTACATCCTCATTTCCGCCGCAGTCAACGAGCTGAACGACATATTTTCTGATGCTGTTTCTCTGAAGGCGTCTAGCCCGTCCGTCCTAGCTTGGAGCATCATCCTGCAGAAACTAAGAGAACTTGCCCTTACTGCTCGAGAATCAAAAGAAGTTAGACAATCACTTCGTGCTACTGACAAGTACAACACAGCGGACTCTTCTGATACCGATGGCGCCGAGCGATCAGCAGCGAGGAATATCACAACTTCACGGCGTCGTTCATCCACAGGCAGCGATTCATCGCAGCAGTCAACTCTTCTGGAGGAGATATACGACTCGATATCATTTACGACTGCTGATGGAGGAGACCAAGCTGCTTTCTTGGCCACTAGTGCAGTCGATGAGTGCAAGGTCTTCGAGGTCATTATAACCATAGCTGTCGAATATTGCACACCTTTTGGATTCGAACATGAAGGCAAGCCCGGCCAGAGAATGCGTAGCATGCTACTTGATCTGGTCCGAGCTTGTGTTTCTGTCGTTGCATACCAGCCAACGTTGTTAATGGCGACGCTCGCATTGCTCACGGGATCAGAGCGTTACTGGGAGACCGTAGATCGATCCGCAGAATCCAAAAAATCCGAGCCGGGTGCCAAATTCATGAAAGATATTGTGCTCAAAATGATGATCTGGAAGCCGGCTTTGGTTCGATTTCCATACGAGACGTCACCATTCCTACAGCTCTGTAGAGCAGTGACTTTTCTTCGTGACGGAAGAGATCCCGAAGAGCTTCCCACATGGAATGAGCTCGAAGAGCTCGATTCCTTTACTTATCGATTACCTGCGCACTTTGACGCATATGTACCCGTTCGCACACAAGAGGATGAAGACTTTCTTCAACTAACGACGACTCTAAGCCTCGCGGTAGGTCCTGATCTTGGCAGGTCTACAGCTCAACATTATGAAAATGGCAAGGTGTTGCGCGCCATAACAGACCTCGCTCAACCCCCCAACATATTCGTTCTGCCCTCCGATACACAGGGCAGAATTATCTCGAACGGAAAGCCATTTGTTGTGATGTGGCACCATTCCTATTCTGCCCTGACATATATGGGTCGAATGCTTCAGTGCGCATCCATGGTAGACCTGCCTGCAGGCGAATCAATTCCTACCTTTTCAGCGGAAATTGTTGGAGAAGTCATCGGTCTGATCACTGCCATGCTCTCGTCGGCTGCAAGCAATGGTCCGTCAGAGCAGACTTTAACGTCCTCTGCGGAGTCGGCAGAGTCAATACTTGGAGGTGCAAGCGACGGCCTTGACAGAAACCAAGACGTCATCTCTGTAATCTTCGCAATATTCGAGAAAGAGCTGTATAAACCTCGCAAAACCTCCGAGGACAAGGAATCCATCGATCTCCTGATCCAATGCATTCAATTTACATTCGCCCTTCTGCCGTTCAAACCTGACAGAGTCTGGCCCTTTCTTGGTAGGAGTGGCCTTCTAGGCATAGGCAAAGATGAAGGTCAGCTCAGCGCTGTCGTAGCGGCTCATGAGATGCTCTTGGGTCGCTACGACTTCTTGCTCGGATGCATACGCCTCTTCGAAGCGCTCATTGAAGACGCCGTCACTCACGTTGTATCTCGTAACGCTCCTCCAAAGGCAGTCACACGCTTCGGAGATACCATGTCGTTGGGAGCCGGAGTATCTCGCGTTGCCATGGAAAAGGTTCTTGAAAGTCTAACGCGGACAATGATCGAAGTCTTTGAATCCACAATGAATTGGAAATTTGTTGAACAGTCGGAACGAATGGAGATCAATTCCCGTTTGTGTTCGATCTTTCGAAAGATATTGGATTACTGCTTCGATACCAACGATTGTCCAGAGCTTTCACAAAAGCTGATTAGGCCGCTTGCACCAGCAGCCGAGTACATTATCAGCGTCTTTTTGTCCAAATCGAATGCCGACGTCACGGTCCTGCCTCTGTTACATACTTTTGGGGAAGGTATAGCGACTCCCAGTACAACTTTACCCACACGTGGCCTACAGTACTGGACCTCTCAAGTCAGAGAGGCGCTGAAATTGACTAGCACACTGATTCGGCTCAACAGATTGCTGCTGCAACCACCGTCTCATCTCGAAGACCAAATGTTCAAGTCCGCCTCTATACTCGCGAAGGTGTACACAGCACACGAGAGCTACAGATTCCCTGTTGTGGAATTGTTGGATTCTCTTGTGCGCTCCGCAGCCGCTACCAGTCAACAGCCACCTTCACTCTTAGGCCACTTAGGTCAAGAGAATGCGAGCCACTTCCTTGAAGTGCTCTCAATGCTCGATCAACCGCTCAATGATGATGCTTTGTCATCAGCCATCTGGACACTACTTTCCGCAGTCGTAAGCAAGCGCCAGCAGTGGTTTGCCATCTTCGTTTTGACTGGTAATACTCCTCGAGAATCTTTCAAAGACAAAAAGAATTCAGCTGCTCCGAACTCGCGGCGGTCTGAGCCTATCTTGAATACCGCTTTGGACGGTCTTTGCAATATCGAGAAGGTGGAGCCGCGAAAGGCCTTGAGCATGCTCGAATTTGTGGCTCTCGCGGCAGACTTCTGGCCCTGGGTCTTGACAACTATAGCTCAGCATCCACATTTCATGAAAGCAATCTCGGAATTCGGGGCTCACATAGGTTCGATGACCGCGACCACCCGCAGCAAGACATACAGGACATCTTCAGACTACCACAGCCCACAAATGTTATCGTTTGTTGCAGACATACTCACAATGTACTCCAATTACAAACAGCAAATGAATGACCAAAAATTCCACAAGTGGATCGTCCCACATCTCGCGTATCTCATCAAGAACGCCATCTCGCCACCAAGCTATAGTGCGTCTCTGCATGCAAATCTCAATCGAAACTTCAAATCGAAGTTCTTTGGATGTAGCCTTGAAGATTTCAAAAGGACATCTTTAAATCGGACCCAGCTTGGCGACTCTTTCTTTTACAATCGCGAGCTCGCAAATAAGATGCTAGCATATGACCCGGCGTGGGTAGGGAAGAAAGACGAAGGCTTCGCTGAAGAGGTTAGGAGGGCAAACTTTGACTTATCAGTGGTGGAGGCTCAAGTAGTAAGCATATTGTCTCTCTACTGGACTGGCAATTATTAACAACTGGCGCAATAGAATCTTTTCCATAGTTGGAAGTCCCTGCTTGTGGAACTGAGCGGACCCCTAGCTACGGAACCCAAGTTCCAGAAGATAATGGCAGTGGCAGTCACCAATTGCCTCAAGGCAAACGCCGAAAATCAATTGCCGGAAGTCATCTTTGAGAGGCTAGCACAATCACGGGCAAACCTAGCCTTCACATTGCTACAGCGACTCCTCGAAGTCAAGTCGACTGAGGTTGAGGTCAAGTCCATACTGTCAGTGGCCTGGAATACTCTTCGAAGACATGACCCCAACTTGGGTTCCGCCCTGAACGGAGACGATGCAGACTATCATAGGATGCTTCTCAAGATCCTCTACCTGGCCCTTCAGCCTCATATTTTAGATGTTGGTTCGGTAGCCCCAGAAGAGCTGAAAGCGCCGACAGCTGGCGGCTCAACGGCACGATCCCAATCAAGGTCCAATGTTCAAGTTGGTCTCGAAGTCCTTAGCACAATAGTAGCCCAAGGCTTTCGTTCCTTGACTATCATTCTCCACGACTCACCTACGCTCGTCCATCCTTCTGATTTTTCCCTCATCACAGCAATCCTCCGCACCGTCCTCCACATTCCCAGCCTCTCCGGCAACACCACCCACCTTATCTCCGCCTTCTCCGACTCTCAGACAGGGCGCTGCGCGTCCACTCTTCTCAGTTGGGCAGACCAGCTCGCCACAAACGGCGACCCCATCTACGGCGAACTTAGCATCCTCTTCCTCCTCGAAATGTCCAGCGTCCCAGCTCTCGCCGAGTGTCTTGCTGTGGAAGGCGTCATAACTCAAATCCTGTCCACGAATCTCATTCGCGTGCTGCAAAGCAGACCGTTCGGACCCTTCGTCCACCCAGCGCGTATGTACGGCATCTGGGGTCGCGGTGTACTTCCCCTCCTGCTCAACCTCCTTCACGCCGTTGGTCCACCAATTGCACCGGAAGTCGCCGCTGCTCTCAATCAATTCCCAAATCAGCTTGCGCGTGCATCCAATACCTTCACTAGCAGCCCTCGCACCTCCGCCAAGGATCCGACGGGATACATTACGCTGGGTTTGGCGTCAGAAGCACTGACCCTTTCGTTAATAGTTACAATTCTCCAAACTTTCCGGGAAGCAGGCGCTAGTGCAGCTGTAATCCCCAGTGAGATTGAAGAGGTGAAGTGGGACAGAGTGCAGGTGAAAGAGGAGGTGGAGGGATGGTTGCAGAGAAAAGTGGCGTTGAGAGAGAAGGTTGTGCCTTCTGATGAGAAGGAAGAACGATGGAGCAAGCAGAAGCCTTTAAGCGGAGCCGGAGGGAATGAGAACAGGCTGGAAGAGAAAGTGGTCGAGGAGATGCAGGGGGTACTGGGTATCTTAGGAGGGAATAGCGGTGAACAATGAGAAGACTCCTTTTCTGGAGCTGGACGACGGTTAGGCATTGCGTCCGGCGTTAAATTTCCTTTAGATATTATGGACTTGCATAAAAGCGAGCTTGAAGTGGGCATTTTCTGAATGGAACGTATGGAACGGGAAAAATTCATAGCAATTCAGAACCGAAGGTCGATCCCTTGAAGTAGCTTCGATTAGAGCCTACGATTATAACTGAATGCTAGACACTGCTATACAGGTTCGAGGCAAAAAGAGTAGCATCATGGAAGAGATTCGAGCAAAAGTCATGAAAAGGTGATTGCCCCGGCGAAGATCCTGAGTCTTCCTGAGTTGATGTGAACGTTCAGTTCATTCTGGTTGATACCCACGAAAGTAAGAACTTACCTATGCAAAGACAAAAAGCTGGCAGCTCTTAGGGTTGCCACCTTTTCTGACGATTTGCCTGTGCAGATTTGGAACTTCGAGTTTGACTCTATGGATGAGTTTCGCTAAGATACATTATTCTCTGACGTTGAAGCTGACGAGGTGTCTCAAGCGGAAAGGCGGGATTCGAGCTCCCACACATCTCCGTCTCAACTTCCATCCAACGAATGTCAAATCTTGAAGTCTACTACAATTAGTCTGCTATCTACGGGATCTAATAAGTCATTTATGTTTTTCGAAAAATAGGTTCATCTCTGCTCTTTTCAAGAAAGCCAGGTGAACTATGAGCACCAACAACCCACCCTCAGCTGCTGCAACGGCAAGAGCGTTGGAAGCAACACAGAATCTAAAAAGGAGCGTAGCGGCTGCTTTCGATGGTAAGTAGCCCAAACTTTTGTTGAAATTATCCAATATCGATTTTATTCCCTTCATGTGTGCGTGAAAAAGCCTGCTAGGCGCACTTCTTCCGAACCCTTCACCATGCCTCCAAGTTCCAACAACCCATCTATACCACCCACTTTCCTCCGCAACCATTTTGACAATGGCATCACTCCTAATCACGATGATCCCATCTCCAATTCCCCCGAGCCTGATACCCCAGAGTCAGACACGACCCAGCCTGCGTACCTCGACCCTTATTATCTAGAGCCTTATTCTCACAATTTCGTATTACCCACAGAATCGTCCGAGGCGAGGAAAATGCCGCCGACTAATGGATATACAAGCAAAGTCCGCGTGCTTGATCGGTATAAGGTTGTTGGCTTTATTAGCAGTGGGACGTATGGAAGGGTATACAAGGCTGTAGGCCATAATGGGATGGCGGGGGAATTCGCTATTAAGAAGTTCGTATAAGTTTGGTTGCGTCTTACTCTGATGATTAGCTAAAATGCTACCTAGGTTCAAGCCGGACAAAGAGGGCGAGATGATCCAATACACAGGAATATCTCAATCAGCATGCCGAGAAATGGCTCTATGCTCCGAATTGTCCCATCCCAACATGATCCATCTTGTCGAGATCATCCTAGAAGACAAGTGCATCTTCATGGTCTTCGAATATGCAGAGCACGACTTGCTGCAGATAATTCAGCACCACAGTCAACCGACCCGACATCCCATTCCGGCCTCTGCGGTTAGGTCTATTCTGTTCCAACTACTTAACGGGCTGCTCTACCTGCACAGTAATTGGGTACTCCATCGAGATCTGAAGCCTGCCAACATCATGGTGACTTCGAAAGGGGAAGTGAGGATCGGTGACCTGGGTCTGGCTCGACTATTCTACAAGCCGCTTCACTCCTTGTTCAGTGGTGATAAAGTCGTTGTCACAATCTGGTACCGTGCACCAGAGCTCCTGCTTGGAAGCAAGCATTACACGCCTGCTGTAGATCTATGGGCCGTGGGATGCATTTTCGCTGAGCTCCTTTCTCTACGGCCAATCTTCAAAGGGGAAGAGGCGAAGATGGACAGCAAAAAGACCGTCCCATTCCAGAAGAACCAAATGCAAAAGATTGTTGAAATCCTAGGAATGCCTACCAAAGACAAATGGCCTGGCCTCATACACCAAGGGGAACATAGCCAGCTACAAACCCTTTCCTCGTACGTACGGGAAGGAAACAACGGCAAATCAGGCCTTGAATCATGGTACTGGAACACCCTGAGAAGTACCGGCTACCAAGATTCTCCGCCATCCGTAACTCCAGGTCAGCAAGGTCTTGATTTGCTGTCGAAACTTCTTGAGTATGACCCAATGAAGCGGTTGTCAGCTGAGCAAGCGTTACAACATCCATATTTTACCGCAAACGGGGAGAAAGTATCCGCGAACTGTTTTGAGGGAATGTCAACACAGTATCCGTCCAGGAGGGTTAGTCAGGATGACAATGATATAAGGACCAGTAGTCTGCCGGGTACGAAGAGGAATGGGTTTCCGGATGATAGTCTGGCAGGGAGGCCTACTAAGAGGATGAAGGATTAAGGTCTAATGTCTTGGAGCTGATGAGAAGATGTATACAAGAGGCAGCCCCTTTAATGCACCAGGCACCACGCCTGCTGACGAGTCCTCCAGGATGGATGGAAGTATCGGTGGTATCAGAGATGACTCTAAAAGCGAGCGCTCCAGATTCCGGTCGTTACAGTAATGTGGATTCCTGCCCCAACATGAAACGACAGCTTCGATGATTAGAGGGAGGCAACTTGGCAAGCGAGTCAAGCCAAGAGCCTGTGTGGAAGGTATCTTAGGATGGGCACGAAGGAGATGAAAGACTTGAAGGACATCCAGGGCATTCCTTGGATAACAATGCTACCACCATGATAAAATATAAGAGTCTACGACAGTCAAACAATAGTCTCATAGTAACACTCTCCGCAAACTTGCCCTCGTTCCCTTTCGTATCAAGCCACAGGGAACGGGTAAGGCCACATGTCAGACAGGGGTCACAGCAACCTCTGAAGAGCCGCATGTTTGAACATTGGGCACACCAAGATTGGAATACTTTATGACCCTATTATCCAGCTGATATAGGGATCATGAGAGGTTGAAGTGTACTACGAGTTGAATTGAAATCGAGACATTGCAAGGGTCAGGCGCCCGCCGACATCATCCCGCCGCAAGGTCACCCCCGAGCCTCGAGGAACTCAAGCCGACATACTCCGAAATAGCGATTGCGCTCCTCCATGCGTGACCTGCATGGATGTTAAAAGATAATGGTCTGTTGTCTTCATTAGGCAGTATTGAAGCCAACTATCCCTCCAGTACACCAACACCCACCATCGTCACCCCCCCATCTGGATCCTCAAGCCCGCATTCCAGGCCTCCATCACCACGAGCTTCGCCCTTCAGAGCAAAGCTGGCTAAAGCGAGAGCCTCACCTCCCCCGAGTCGAAAGGCCAGTCCTCGACCACAGCTGGGTGTTGCCTTCAACGCCCCAGCTGACCAAAGCCATGCGGGAGGAGTCGCGGGTGACTCCGACTTCTCAGACGAGGAAGCAGCGATGGGGGAGACTAGGCCTCAACTGCACCGGCCCCAAGATGAACGCTCCCAAACGCCGCTGCTGAAAGAGGAGAGAGAGCGATCCTCATATGACGGCCCAAATGGAAGTGCGCGGCCAGCTTTCGTCACGAAAAGATCTACGTTTCGCAGCCGCAGTCCAGATATGGAGGATTCATCGGCGACGAGGAAGAAGTATACTTATGCGGCTTTCTTTTTGGTGTTGAGTTTGGTTAGCTTTACGATTCAGACGGAAACGGCGGTCTATGTTCAGCATGAATTGAAATGGAATAAGGCTTATGCTATGCTGTGAGTCTGCCATCTGTGCTCTATGACGCGGGCTACGCTGACTTGCTATGACCGAAGGTATTTCACACACGGGTCCTGGTCATTACTCTGGCCAACCCAACTTCTCATCCTCCGCGTCTCGAATTGGAGAACCCCATGGAAATCATTCTGGCGCCGGCACATCTACCTCGTCCGGACCACAGCCCAAATGGTCGAATCCCATGACGTGCACCTTACAAGCCGAGAATCCCACAAATCGCCCGTTGCCTACATCTTGAAGAAGACAGCCTTCATCACAACAGCTTTGACCGTCGCCGGTGGGTCATGGTACGTGGCAGTTGACATGACCTCGGCCAGCGACCTCACAGCCATATACAACTGCTCCGCCTTTTGGGCCTACATCTTCAGCATACCTTTACTACACGACAAGCTGCGCTTCGACAAAGCGTTCTCCGTCCTTTTGGCCATTGCGGGCGTCCTGATCCTCGTATACGGAGACTCTCTGCCGACCATACATGGGGGTAAATCCGGTGGATCGGTAGGCGGTGGTGAAAACCCCGACGACAGCTCGAACCGTACCTTGGGCAATATTGTCATCGGCGTCGGCAGTGTACTGTATGGACTGTACGAGGTGCTCTATAAGAAGCTGGCCTGCCCGCCGGAGGGAACAAGCCCCGGGCGGGGCATGTTGTTTGCGAACACCTTTGGGAGTCTGATCGGCTGCTTTACGCTATTGGTGCTGTGGATACCGCTGCCAATATTGCATTATACAGGTATAGAGGTGTTCGAGTGGCCGCACGGTGAAGCGGCGTGGATGCTGCTGGTGTCCGTGCTGGCAAACGCCACGTTTTCCGGATCCTTCCTCGTCCTCATCTCCCTCACTTCACCGGTTCTGTCCTCGGTCGCTGCGCTTCTTACCATATTCACCGTGGCCGTGACGGATTGGCTGCTCACCGGGAAGCCGTTGTCGCCTGCCGCCATCGGGGGGGTTTGGTCATCGTCGTTGCTTTTCTCTTGTTGAGCTGGAGTACATATAGGGAGATGGATCAGGAGAGGCGGAAACGGTATGCTTCCTTCGCCATCCCGGTTCGATTGCAGACACTGACTTCGGATCAGGCTAGAGGAAGAAATCGTTGAGACTAGCGACGACGAGTAGACTCTTTTACCACTTTGTACTGGGTACGGACAGGTTCAGGCATGGCGATGGCGTTGAGGACGCATGATATCTAGACTCTGGGCGGTCATACGCCAATATAATAAGCGTTATCGATACCCACGCCTAAGGCTTTCTCATCCGCAGCCATCGCTCATGCTTTTCATGTGACAGAAACGCTGCCATCAAAACCTATGCACCCAAGCACTGCACTCTTCCCTCCAATTCCTCCAAAAAGATGTATCAACGCTCGTGATACACAACGAAACCCTTCCCACCAATCCCTTACACCGGTCATTTCACAACGCCATCCCCAGAACCCCCCACCCCCCCCCCTTTTGTTCCGATCAACCATCACCCCCCCACCCCTACCCCCCTACCCCTTAACCCCCCTCCCTCACCTAAAGCAACTGAACCTCCCCAACCTCAACCGCCACGGCTGGCGATGCGCGCCGTGCCTGTCGACGACGACGCCGCCGCCGAAATGCTTCCCGCCCCAGTTCTTCCGGTAGAAGAAGGGCATGGGCGCGGCGCTGGCGGATGGGTTCCGCGGTGGGAGACGCGGGGGGGGGGTTTGTTGGGGGCGGGAAGGGTCGCGCGTAGGGTGGAGGGGTTGGTTGGAGGGGGGTGTGGACGGCTAGGCTGGTTTTTTTGGTTTGCGGGAGGGGGGGAGATGGTGGGGGGTGGGGGGATGGGATGGGATGGTGGATGGGATGGGATGGGATGGGATGGGATGGGTCAAGGGTCGGATTCGGTGTCAGGTTGGACGGTGGCGTAGGAGCACACTATTGGATGTATCTTTTGATTATCGGTGCGATGGTAGTTTGAGACGCTGTGGTGGGAGATAGGAACCTTTCGCCTTGGCATCAGAAAAAGCCAGATTCCAAAGGCTCGTTCTGTTATCGCAGCAGGAAGGTGCGTGCCGAGGAGCCAAGCACGCCCCTTCCCCGTACCCGTACTCGTTGCATATGCCGCGGTGACATCTATTGCCCGAGGAAGGGTCGCGGGATGGATGGATTGCTCTTCCTTTTGATGAGGATGTGAGAGGAGTAAAGTAAAGTAGGTAGGCTGATGGATGCCCTTCTTCCTCTTCGCTGCTTCTGGCAGGCCGGAGGTGACAACCTCCGCCCCTGCGTTTAGCGTCTTCATAATCCTTTCGAATGCTTGGCATCTGAAGGTCCTACGCCAGGACGCATCTCATGGATCCGGATTATCAACTTCATGAATCCAAGCTCGGAATTTGAAAAGATTGAGGGCGAAAGGGTCGTAGGACTGTTGGATAACAGTCGTGTATATAAGAGATCTAGATTTGAAAGATTCAGTTTACAAGTATCTAGAAGTCGGGAAAAAGAGAAGCTGTCGATTTCGCTGCTCGGGAATCATTTCACTCTCCTCTTCAAATCTATAGATGAATCGTTTTCTTGTAGAACTCTTTCTATTCTAGCGGCTCAAAAGTCGCAGCGATAAGGAGTCTGATTTATGTATAGAAAATCCGACAGTTCCAATTATAGCTGTGAGGTTGTTATTTAGATCTGTGGGGTGCGTGACGCCAAGGATTCGAAAGGGTCGAGGGTTGTGAATACGCTAAATTAAGTCCTGAAAAATAGCTCCCGAGGGTCCGAGGGGTCTTCCCTTTTTAATCAACCCTCTTTCGCTGGCTGCAAAGAATTCAAAACAAAACAAAACAAAAGCAAACACCACATACCACCCTCGTCCTTCCAACCCTACCTGCCTCAATGGCCGCCTCAATGCCCTGCAAAGATTGCGCCTCCGGCGTCCTTCACGAAGGGACTCCGTCCGGCCGAGAGGAGACGATGCACGGCTTCAAGACCTACGTGACCGATCCCCCCTCGGGCGAGGCCGCCAAGGGCATCGTGGTCATCATACCCGACGTCTTCGGCTGGACCCTCAACAACTCGCGCGTGCTGGCCGATCGCTACGCGGAGAGGGGGGCGTACACGGTGTACCTGCCCGACTTCATGGACGGTACGGAACCCCGGCGTGTCGATGGGCGCGCAGAGGGGTGAGAGAGAGAGAGAGAGGGGGGGGTGTGTCGTCGGTCTTGCTGACGGTTCGGGGTTCGCCGTAGGATACGTGATGGACCCGCAGCTCCTGTCGACCATCTCCACCGTCACCGACGCCGGGACGCCCGTCCTCCACAAGATCTTCCCGGGCCTGCGGGCCATGACGCACATGCCCTTTGCCCTCTACCACTGCCGCGCCTCCGTCTGCAAGCCTCGGATCTTCGCCTTCTTCGCCGCCCTCCGCTCGTCCACCTCCCTGCCCGTGGGCGCCGCCGGGTTCTGTTGGGGCGGGAAGTATGTCACGCTGCTCTGTCAGGACAGCGAGAAAACATCGTCCGGCAAGCCGTTGCTGGATTGCGGCTTCACCGCACATCCCAGCCAATTGGTGTTGCCGACGGATATCGAAGCGGTAAAGCTGCCGCTGTGTATTAGTAATGGGTCGGAGGATTTTCAGCTCAAGCCCGAGGGAAACGAGATGATCGAGGAGATCTTTGCGAGGAAGGAACTGGAGTTGAATCCCGATGGGAAAAGGGGGAAGATGTTCGAGATGAATGTAGTGGAGGGTGCGAGGCATGGATTTGCCATTCGTGGGAACCCAGGAGACGAAGACGAGAAGAGGCGCGGGCAGATGGCAGAGGACCAAGCTGTTGATTTCTTTGGGAGATGGTTGGTACCAAATTAGGGTAGGCTCTATTCCTGGGTTGCTGGAGCGCAGGATTGAGGTGCGTCCACTTGAAGTCAATCCATCACTTGCATGTTCAACGAAGCGCGAAATACCTTGCAGTTTGTTCGATCTATGTATTAATCTGCCTTATCCTGGATTGGTAATTAGGAAAATAATAATTTCTATTGACAAGAAGCCGCTAGCATCGAGATGTTAGGAACTCGTGGAAGCATGAATTGAGATGTCCAGCTATCGATCGGAGCAGACACATATAGAGCAATCAGTGTATTTAGTGTCCCAGGGAAGGAAGGGCCGAGAGCAGAAAGCTTAGGTGTAAAAGCCAAAGAGGTGAGGAGCCTCAACTCGATCCGGAACCATCAGAGCTCTCCGATCCCTCTGAATCGCCGCTGTCGACCGGAACAAGACCGTCCAATCGCTCCTGGGCTTCGGGACTCTCCAGCTTCGTTTTTGACTCGCAATCAGAGTCTGGGCCTGCCATTGGCTCGTCGAGGGAGGCTTGATCCTCAAGCTGCCTGGATGGACTCGCCTCTCTCTTAACCTTGGTGTTTTCACCCTCCTCTTTCTTGCGAACAACACGGCCTCCATCCTCATCGTCACTGCTGTGAGCGACATTGTTATCATCCTCATCATCCTCATCTTTGACCTCCAAACCAGCAATCTTCTGAAATACCTTTTCTACGCCGTTGATGATACGCATCATCTCTTTACGCACAAGGCGTTGCGTCTTTGGTAAAATCTCGCCATTCTGAGGTACTTCACCGCCGCCCAGAACCGAGTTGTAATCGCGTCGCATCGCAATGTACACTTCGTCAGCTTTATCGTTCATGTACACTTCCAGCTCTTTGAGCATGACACTCAGCCGGGTTTTGACGTTCTCAGCGCTCGACTGGAACATGGTATGGCGCTCCTGGGCGACGTGACTATTCATTGCTGCTTTCATACGCGCAAAGCTCCCGGTACCTTTCGCAATTAGCCAGTGATCAGTCCGGTAGGAAGGTCAGGGCTCACCTCGCTCCTCGACACATGCCTCATAAGCAGCCGCCATCGCTTGCTCGATGACTGGAACGAATTCGCGATTGATCTCCTTTTGGTTAGTATTGATCATATCCTTCACAGTCGCAGAGAGGTCCTTCAGGAGATTCTCGTAGTTTCCGACCTGCTGCTGCAACATGTGGACGCCGGCGATGCCTGTACCTATTTGACGAGCTCGGGCCTCAATGTCTTTATGAAAGTTTTTCAGGGAAGCAGCTGCATTGCGGGCGAAGCTGGCCATCACCATTGGAGAGCGGCGTGAAAAGGCCCTTTCTATTGTCAACAAAGTGGGAAACAGCCGTGTTCTGGGAGCGACTTACTTCTCCCATCCAGAAGCGAGCAGTTTCATCATAGGTTCAGCGCTAACAACTGTCAGCAGAAAGTTTTAAGGGTTCCTAATTTCAGTACTTACAGCTCCACGTTCCATTCCTAGGAAATAATGACTTAGCGTTGTTTTACTTCACAGAAATAGACAAGCGATGACTTACATGCGGTCCTTGACCATTTGTATAGATTCCGTTACGTCGACAAATGGCTTTATAGGTGCTCCAGTGGAGTCCACCCGCTGCACGGTCTTCGCGATTGACAGGTGCCCCCCATTTGAGAGCAGTCGCGATTGAATCGTTCGTGGCATTCGAAATTGCGGTTTCTGCGGTCTCCGTCAGGCCTGTATCCACAATCTTGCAATTCGCACACTTACCGTATTTGTCGTAGATGTTGTCCGCGAATTCATCACCAAGTTCCTTGCAAGCGGTCTTGACGGCAGTCTCGAGGCCCTGAAGTTTTGATGCATTAGCGATGATTCAAGCAATTCTACCGTACCAGCTATGATGCTTTCCGTAGTAAATGTAACGTCTTGCTACCCTCTTTCTTTTCCTTTCCACCATCATGCAGAAAACAAGACAAATGCGAAGGAGGTCCTACTTGTACATGGAATCAGGGCCCCGTGCACTTACACTCTCAAGCGATTTCAGCCCCTTATGTAAGTATCTTGCTTCTCTTGCTCTCTGTTCGGCGGTCATATTTGCGCTAGTGCCATCGCTGGACGCCCAGAGGGTCAATGAGTTCAGGAGCTGGCTCAGCTTGTTGATGAAAGTTCTACAATTGGCTGATCGGCCCGTCTCCGTTAGCTTTTCGCAATGAGTTTGCAATTGAGGGATCTCGGTCTCCTCAATGTTTGTGAATCCGGCTATGTGAGGGTCCTTGCGAAGGCGACCCTGCAACTTCTGGTAGCCACGAGAGGAGACGCAGAAGACGGGTAATCCCCGGGCAACTTCATCATAGTCTCGGATCTCAGCATCGGGGTTGAAGTTCTCCTCGTCCTCTTCAGCGGCAAGTTCCTGGTCGAGCTCTTTGATACCAGCGGCAAAATCCTGCTGGATGGCGCCTTTGGAGTATGCGTTCCTTCCCTCAATGCACATCGCAGACATTTTGCTCTCGATCTTTTCTTCAGCATTCTTACTTTCGTCGATCTCTTTTCGCATTTGGTTGATACGCTCCGTAATCTCACCTCTCTGGGCTCGGGCTTCCTTTTTAGTTGCGCGAAGCTCTTGAAGCTTTGCCACTATTTGCTCCTCGGTCAATGGTTCTTGACTTTCAGACTCGTTTTCAGACCCTTTTCCATATTCGTCCGAGTCATCACTGTGGTAGTCGCTTTCCTCAACGTCGTCGCCTTCGTCGTCGCTTGACTTCGTTCTCCGCTGCTTCTTGCGGGCTCTGTCAGTGCCCTTGCCTTTTCGTTTCTTGCCCGCAGACTCCGATTTGGGTGGGAAGACGGTCTTTCCACCTTCAAGTTTTTCCTTCAAGCCATCCCAGATCTCTATTTGCTCGTCGATGTCGTTCATGGATTCACCGTAAACAGCTTTTGTGTCTTTCATCTCGTCCATCTGCTTCTTCATTAACTTGGTCTTTTTCACAAGCTTTTCCAGCTCTTCCCAATCGGGCTCCATTTCATCGCTCAGGCCAAGTGAGTCCTGTGCTTCTTCGAGGCTAATATCGTCTGTTTTGCTGCAAATGAAGGTGACTGAATTGAAACCCCCATCCATCTTCAGCTGTCGCTTGAACGACTCCCCAAGCAACGACTTGGCTGCCTTATCGTCCACCGCGCGGTTGATCGGAGCCACGATCCACAGTCCAGTGCATTGCTTCATATAACCTTCTGCTACAGCGGCACGGGCAGCATTGGCATCATGAACACCCGGGAGATCCACAATGACAGCACCGGTAGCAAGTGCTCGAGACTTGACATAGATTCTGACCACTCGAATCAATGGCCACACCTCCATCTCTCTGCGCTCTTTCTTGTCTTTGTCCTTGTTGCTGGTAGACTTCTCTTTGCTGTCAACGAAACTCTGCAATTTCTTGTAGAACACGAGCGAATCCTTCTCCTCAATATCTCTACTCTTACCGAGGATATGGGATACTTCTCGCAACATAGTTTGGATACTGCTGTTGGCTATGTCTTCTTTGGTCTTGCGAGGATAAACTGCTTTTATCTTTGCATACGCGATACCGGCGTCAGTATCCTCATTCGCACAATCTCGTGAGACTTTGCCATCTCCGTCCAAGAGATCCTGATATAGAGTATTAAGTTCTTTTTCCCAGTCGGCGGGCGATATGAACTCAATCTGCGCACGGTATGGCTTCTCCTCATAGTTGTACGAGATTTCAGTGACGACTGCTGTACAAGCTCTCATACAGTTGGTAGGTACAAGTCTCTCCTCGTCAAGCATGGCGTTGATCACTGAAGATTTTCCGGCGCCAGTGTTTCCAACAACACCAATGACAGTCTTGGTTCTGACAGCCTGTTTGATGAGATTGTCAATTTGTTGGATCCACTGCTCGGCATCGGGGCTGGTTCCCATCTTGTTGAGCAGAGGATCTTTGAGCTGATCAAGAAGCTTGACACCCTGCTCTACACTCGCTTCCAGCATCCTGGGTCCTGCATCTTTGAGAAGCGTTTGAAGCTGGAAGCTCTTGTGCTTCTGCTCTTCGAGTTCAGCAGCAGATAATGGAGGCTCAACCAAGGGAGGCGTCTCGTGAAATTTTGTTTCCGCAGTTGGCTCAGTCTTGATGCCGTGGACTCGGTGATCGAACGGGACTGGCTTTGCAGCGTAATTGGCTCTCTCAGATTCAGACTCATTGATCCAAATCCGGCGAAGAGCGTCGCGGAGTTGTCCTGCATTCAGGAGTCAATCATATTCAGCACTCAAAACACGAGGATATGCGTACCGTCACTGTAATCAGGGTACGACACCTGAATTCTGTCATGCAAATCGGCATAGTACCGATCGAAACCAGCCATATCGACACTTCCGCCGGCATGATCGGATGTCGATAATGGGGATGTGGCCCCCGAGTGAGGAGTCAAGCGATTTCTGACCGCAGAGTGGGATAGTGGGGTATGGTTCTCGTCTGACGCGCCGTCAAGGCTCGGTTTGATATCTGCAGCTTTATGCGAAGATCTTCTGGTAGGAGAGAGAATTTGTGCGTTGGTAGGTTGGAGAGGCTGACGAGTGACCTGATGACTGGCGTCTGAAGCCTTGATTGCCTCGAAGACGATGACTTTGTCCATGTACGTATCAAGATCCGCCATTGTCGCAGTGAGGTTGGCTAATTTAGACTCGTGCTTCAGGACCCAGCGTTCGCATGGCGGGCATTTCAGCTGGTATTGATCACGAATGGTCTTTGTTTCGATCCTCTAACAACACATCAGTGTTAAGTCTGGCTAAGTTCTTACATAAAGGGCCAGATGTCCTAGAGGAAGGCGTGATTGCGGAATACAGTGCATTGGAGGCCATGAAGCTCGTCCGGGAAAGTTGCAATAGACTTACTGAGTGGCATTTGATCCAAAGAAAATCCTCCTCTGTGCTGTCTTCACTAGGCACTTTGTCAATTCGAAGGATGGCGACCCATATTGTCGTGGGTTTGGCGGTCGCGACAGGCTTGCATTTGACCGCCAGGTCATGGAGAAAGCTGGTAAGCAAAAGTGAGCTGAAGGTCCCTCATATTGGGATTGAGAGGCAAGAAGGGATATCTTACCGTGCATCTGTCATGCTGGCCACTGTGGAGCTCTCTATGTATCACAAAGCTTGAGGTTTATACCATTACCGTTGTGGATGCAAGATTGTGGCAGAGTAGCTTGGAAGCGGAAGGATTATTTGATTGGAAGTCGCGCGGGACGCGTCTTTTGAGCTTTTCAGTGAGTAAACACAATTCTTATCGATAAGCTAGTTGCTCTAACCACATGCAATTTCATCCGCCTACCTTACGACAGTGGAATATCATCAAATCTTGCCAAATACATAAAGATTGTCTTACATATTAACAACTTTTCTGCTGCATTATATTGGTACTGCTCCTTTTGCCATACTAATTTCTCCGCAGTTATGGACCACTAATGGCTCTCACGTAGGCAATCGAATGTTCTCCTTTCTATTAGCTGCTCTGAGCCTGCACTTTCCCAACTATGCCCATAAATTATTAATCCTTAGGCCTCAATTGTCCCTATAGCCAGCAATTTACGGTTCTGCTCCTGCAGGGCTATCTTTTCCGGCCAATACCAATATTTTGGCCACCATCTGCAGCCATCCTTCCAGCATCCAGGCCAAATACCCAAAAGTCATATGTCTACTTGCCGTAGTAATCCTAATAACCACATCGCGATAGTCGTAGATCAGAGGAATGGAACCAATCAAGACAGGTCCTTAACTTACATAATTCATCATAGTCCGGCGACTGGCATCGAGGAAGATGAAATCGAAATCGACGAGGTCGAGGGTTCTGCCGTTAGATGAGACGAGCAGTACGAGAGTGGTGATTGGAATGCAAAATTGTAACGGCGCTGGAGGGAGAGGGTCGAAAGTCAGACTGTATGTCACGTGCCAGGTCGGCCATAAGAGTTCCCTCAGGGGATGCAAGCTTGCTGTCAGAACAATGTTACGATATTGGTGTCATTCCTGAGCACCGGTTAAGACCTAGCAAACAGATAAGGTTGTCTTACGCAGACGCTGAGTTAGAGGGATTTCGGTATATGGAAGCCATGGATGAGGCAGGTATATCAATGTTAAGTGAAGGATCAAGAGGGTTAGCCGTCACGGGAGCTAAATCGCATGCATGAAAGACAGCGATAACAAGATAGAAAGCATCATATAGGTATATGGCGGCAATCAGTTGCGATCAAGGACATGATGAGATACCAGAGATGAAAGTGAAGACTTGTAATTAGCGCTCAGACACCGGTCTCGACATGGCTTTGGTTCGGATATCGCAAGGGTTGGACTGGCGACTTGTTTGATGGTGTGTCGGATGCCGAACATTTGCAATTTCTAGATTGATGTGAGCTATTGCGAAGCATGATCGTCACACATGAACATGACAGGATGCTTATCTATACGATTATAGTAGAAGGAGACACAACACAAAGGCACCAAGGTACCAGGGAACGGCAGTACCCTGAATGCTGAGAAAGAGCTTATACTCGTCGAGCCCACAGCTGATTCGTATGGGCAATAGCCCTCAGGAACAGTTATTTCCTTCAAGCAATGGCACCGGACTTCTCGTTCACGCTCTGCCGCTCCCGCGGTGTATGAAGGTACTCTGACTGGAGCCAAATCTCTCCCCTGCTCTGGAGCTACAGCGCGTTGCCTGTCACCTCGAGGAGAGTAGGTATTCATGAATCTATCTGAGATTGGGGCATGCAGCAGAGAGGCAGAGTAGCAAAGCAGAGGAGATTGCAGCTGTAAAGATAAGGAGACTCGCATCGTTCAAGAAAGTGGTGCCGAGGCGCCTATGACTTGCAGACTGCAGTGAACTCTTAATCTTGATGATAGACCCCTATCATGATTATCATCTATTGGTGACTTGGTGTAGATCAATAATTGTTCTATTTTTGGAAGGGCGCTGGTGGGGCGAATCGTTGCCATATCTGACAAAGTGAGGTGCGCAAACATTTACTTTAGCGTGTGAAATCTTGGCAAAACTCCTTCCCCTGAAATTCAAGATCCTTCAAACACGCTTCTCCCAATTTTCCAATTTTCCAATTTTCTCTCTTCAACAAATCCATCTCTTCCACGACGCTCTTCTTTCTTCTCACTTCTTTCTTCATACCGCTCACTCGTTCACGCGGTCAGCTCATTTAATCAATAACGCCACAGTCACTCCCTCCACAATTGGTTCGCTTTTACAAGCACTTTCTTTGTTCCGCTCAATCAACAACATCCCAACAACTTCTACCCACTTTCACACTCTATCTATATAATACCATCCATCCATCGAAATGAAGGGAATTAATGCTATTGCTCTGGCTCTCACTGCTACCACCGCGTCTGCAAGCCTAGTCCCTCACTACTTCAAAAGAGCGTCCTCGCTCGCCTCGGTCTCTGTTCAAGGAAATGGTAGGATCGCGTCCATTTGTTGCAGGGATAGCGAACACTGACCCAGATTCAAGCCTTCTTTGCTGGAGGCAATCGATTTTATATTCGTGGTGTCGATTACCAGCCAGGTTGGCCATCACCTAAATCCTCACCTCTATCTCAACACTGACCAAATCGCGCTCAGGCGGCTCCTCCGGTGCTGTTGACCCAATTGCTGACCAGAGCACCTGCACACGAGACATCACCGAGTAAGCAAAAGAATTATCTGATGTTCGAAGCATTGCTGATAAGGGGAAACAGGTTTCAGAAACTAAAGATCAACACCGTGCGTATCTACACAGTCGACAACAGCCAAAACCATGATGCCTGTATGTCGGCTCTTGCAACTGCTGGTATTTATCTTGCACTGGACGTGAACACGCCCAAATACTCGATCAACCAGGACGATCCAGCGCCGTCATACAATGCCGACTACCTCCAGAGCGTCTTCTCCACCATAGACGCATTCCACACGTACAGCAACACCCTGCTTTTCTTCTCCGGTAATGAGGATATCAACAGCGTAGCAACAACATCATCTGCCCCATACGTCAAGGCCGTCACGCGTGACATGAAGAACTACATTAGTGCACGCAAGTATCGCTCGATCCCTGTCGGCTACTCTGCCGCCGATGTCGACACGTTGATCTATCAAACCGCCGATTTCATGAACTGCGGTGACGACGCCATGGCGCGTAGTGACTTCTTCGCTTACAACGACTACTCTTGGTGTGACCCTTCGTCTTTTGAGGGTTCCACCTGGCAAGCAAAGGCAACCTATTTTGCCAACTTCTCCATTCCGCTCTTTCTTTCAGAATATGGCTGCGTCAAGACGACCCGCCAATTCCAGGAAATCGCAACTCTCTACGGCCCGCAAATGACGCCCAGCTACTCCGGTGGTCTGGCCTATGAATACAGCAGAGAAGGCACAGCCGCCCCTGCAGATCTTTACGGTCTTGTCGAAATCAACGGCAACAGTGTTACAGAGTTGACCGACTTCGGCACCCTGGCTTCTGCGTTCTCTAACACTCCCAGCCCTACCGGAAGCGGAGGATACAGGCCCAGCGGTTCCCCAGCCATTTGCCCAACACAAGACAGCAACTGGAACGTGACGACTGGCTCCGAACTCCCCGTTTTCCCTTCAGCCGCGGCCACATACCTCAAGAACGGCGCAGGCACGGCCCCTGGTCTCTCTGGCAGTGGTTCCCAGAACTCAGGTCCTGCTTCCGTTGCTTTTGCTTCTGGATCCTCTGTCGCTGCTACCGGCACCAGCACCAGCACCTCCACCAGCACCTCTGGAAGCAAGAAATCAGCAGCAGATGGCCGTGTGATCGACTCCGCTCCCGTCATGGCTTGCGGTCTCGTTGTTGCAATGTCCACACTTCTCGGTATGGCTTTGTTGTGAGGAAAGAGATGTTGATTGATACTTGAGGAAGAACGAGTGGAGGTTGAGCGAGCTGTGGGGACAAATTGATGGACTGATCAGACGTGGAGAAGATGTCATTAGATCGATCGAGCGGTGAAGGATATGTCAAAACGGCAATAAGCATCGAGTTTTTCGTTCTAGAATGACATGCTTCTCTTATTGTTATTTTCCAGCCATTCGTTATCTACATGGATTGGATTGGGTTTTGCAATTTATAGCAGTGTTCGTAATTTGAATACTAAAACTGTGTTACCTGATACGTCTCTGTCTCGAAGCCTGCATGCACTGCTCTTCTGTCCCTCACGCTCCTAGCGCCATCGGAAGCTGTAAAGTACTCCTTTAGTGACATCTTCCTAGCACTCTCCAGAGTACTGAAATACAGTATTCATGCATTGTCTTGATACTCCAACAAAGGCCATCGAGCAGGTACAGGAAAAGAAGGAAGTCAGATACAGACGAGAGCGACAAGATGATCCTTTGAATATACACCATCGCACAGAGAGCATCAAAGAATCCTTGAAGCGTTCAACATTATCCTAACTAACCATCATTCGCAAGTGTGGCAGCACAAACCAAGCCGTAGTGAAGGTCCACGCCTGCTCGGCCGTGAAAATGCAATGGATCCCGACCTTAAGAAAGAGCTATCAGCTGGTAAAAGCGGAGAAATGTTGCACTGTGCTGGATCCGCTGTCCTGATGCGAAAGGCTCATTGTTGTAGTGACACGCATGGGGTTTTAGACATGATTCAGAAGAGCGTGAAATGTGGAAGTGAGAATTAGGGAAGAGGTGGTCTAGACAGAGGGAGGATTCATCCTTGGACTCGTTCCTGATCGCAATATGAAAGTCATCAAACGAGGGTCGCATGGCACATGCATTTTGGAGCACCAGGTTGATGTGAAGGATGCTGAGGCAAGCGGGTTCAGGATTTTCAAACAGCGGAAAGGCGCTAGGGAGCTCAACCTGGAGCCTGGCATGGCTCTTTCTGATGTTATCTTAGTTTTTGATTCTCTTCATGACGAACGAATACCGAAAATGTGAATTGGAAGTCGGAGGGACTAATAAACTTCGCCAGCAAAAGGGCGTGTTGACGCTTGAGAGTTTGAGAGAAGATCAGATTCGATAGATTCGAACGCCCTGAAACATCGAAACATTGGGGCCCACTGGTCAGCTCCACTTTCCGCTCATCGGAATCTCCCCTCTGGCATTTGGTACATCCACATTCTTTATCCGATCCGATCCATGGCTGTATCGCTTTCTGCCGTTCGGCCTTACTCTTATGCCCGGCGACTACGCCATAGGTAATGCAGAGCTCTTCCCCTTTCCTGATATGTCGGTTTGCAAAGATGTCTTTGGTGCTTCCGTTCGTACATGTACAGCTGTCGGTGGGACTCCATCCGGTGTTCGGTTCGCAGCTATGATTGAAAAACGAGTATAGTGGACTGATTGCTCGCACCTGACGGCCGTCCGGTGTCGTGTGCTCTTCTTGATTGTTGATGACGCGGGTCCAGATGGTTTGTAGTACCCAAGTATCGTAGCGGAAATCTTCTATGGGGTTGATGCCTAGTTGGTTTAGTATTCTGATGGGGGTACTGATGTTATTAGAGAGTGTCCAAATTCTGCCGCTTTTGTCGTGCAATGGCGTGAGTCTTGCAATCGAGGGGTGATCTAATGGGTGACAGTTGCTCTGCACACATGCAGCAAGTATGCGTAGCCACATAGGCCCGTTCAAGACAAACCGCCATTGCTTTCCCCTCGATTCTTCGTACACCCAGTCAAAATTCTGACCGCATAGGACTTTATGGTAAGAATCAAGTGCCATATCTCGACATCGTGCACTACAATAAGGTGTGTTACAGCATTTCGATAAGACATGCTGTCTTGATTGTGTGGGTATACTACCGTAACAATTTTCGCATATCCGAGACGAGTTTGGTATTGACTTTAGCGTTGCTGGAGCAGTAGTGCTGACTGTGCACGCTGCAAGTATCGTGGTATCCTCGACTAGGCGTTCAGCGAAATGTATGTTTCGCGTTGCAAAGACACCGAGGACGTTAGATGAGCTGTCGTGAGGAATACTCGACGAATATGCAATCGGGCTATGAGCTAGCATGCAAGTTGACGATGCGTTCCTAAAAAGGGTCTGGGTCGATTCAAAGAGATCCGTTCCACGCCTTAGAAACTTCTTAGGGACGAAGGGGTAAGGCAAATGTCGAATGTGTCCACATTCAATATATGACATGGTCTCTTCGCGGCTGACTTGATCTATCTCGATCGTTGATTTTGCCAGATTGATACGAGCGGCCTCCGCTTCCAAGATTTCGTCAAAAAAGCTCACAGAGCCGAAGACCGCTTCGCCTCTACCTTGGTATCGTCCCTTTCCTTCATTGCAGATTTTTAGCAGGCCTTTATGGTCTCCTGTCATTTGGAGAGCAGCTATCAGCCTCCGGTACACGTCCCTATGCCACTCCATTACAGGGACGAAGGGTTTCCCGCTTCGGTCCATCGGGAGTTCTGTACGCTTGTCGGAAAGTCCCTGGAGTAATTGCTGGACGATGATTTTGGCTTTGTAGGCATCACCAGCTGCTAGGTCCGGGTACCCCAGGCGCAAAAGCTCAGTAGCCCTTCGAACCCATCCCTCTGTATCGAAAGGCGTGTTTCGAAGGCTTTTCGTGAGTTCAATGACTGCGCCGGAACTGCGCCGAAAGTCCTTATTAGATCACACTGTTCAGTGCGAACTTCACTGGTGTGGGAAGGCGCCATACCTCCGTGCTATGACACTTATTGGGAATACCAGAAGAGTCAAATTCTGCACATGTTGGTTTCCAGAGTTCAGAATACCAAACACCGTCCAACCCAGGTGCTGGCGCTGGCGCCTTGATCGCTTCTTGTCTGCTTCCGTTCGAGGAGGATAAATTAGCTGAATTGATAGCCGTGACTTTGAACTGTCTGGTTCTTTCCTGAAAGGAGAAAGGGCTGTTGTGGGCGAAAGTTCCCAACAATACAAGACCAAGTCGTCGGCCGATCAGCGACATCACGGGCATTCATGAGTATCAAATGGGAAAGAAGAAAATGCCAACCCGATACGCGAGCTCCCCTTGACGCGGGTGCCTATGATTTTGACGCCAATGCAGGTCGCCCAGAATGGCTGAGGGCAACAGGCTGAACGGGGACAATGCTGAAAACTACATAGGAGACCGATAGTTGATAAGTGGTTAGAAAAGCGATAGCAAGGGGTTGGGGTTAGACGTACCAAGGAGTAAATGCGGGAAAGACGATTAAATGTCTCATGGAAGAAGTCAGTTTGATCCAAAAACACATTCAAGCTTCAGGCAAGGTCCCAAGAAGTCTACACTTCTAGGTTTCGCTGCAAATACACACGTGTCTCGATATTGCTACAGGAAGCATTCTAGATATTCGATCTTACCGTAATATTTCATTGAAGTGGAGTGTCGGGTATCATACACATTCAGCGCTGTTGTTTCATTCAGGAAGGCCTCTCATGACTCCTTCAAAGGCAACCAGGGCAAAAGCATTCGCGGGAAAGGCTCTCAAGAAGCACGGCACAAAGCCCCTCCAGAAGCCTCTTGGCCCATCTCTTCGCCATATCTCCTTCGCCGCGTCCTTCCACCTTGGGAATCGCCTTTCTCCATCTCTTAGCGCACCACCGAGTGGATCAGTCATGATTCGCTGCTTGACGACATCAGATGGGTATGAGGTAAGCCAGAAGACTTGGGCTGAAAGACCACCGGCCCAAAAGTTGATGGAAGGCGTAGAGAGTTGCGTGTGGTCAGAGAAGTAGCGGGTGAAAAGGTCATAGGAGCCCCACCAGAAGAAGAAGAAAGAGCGAAAGAGAAGGGTGGCCGAAAGACCGTGGTATATGCCCCGTATTCCGTGGGCTCGAGCCTGAAATGTTGCGTCAGCACGCGCTTATCGCTGGTGATACGACCTCTGGGCAGGAGTCACAAACTATTTTCGTGATGCAGTCGATTGGACCACTGTACAATCTCTTGCTCTTGTCTGCTGCGTACTGAACTTGTAGACGAGCCTTGATGTGCTCTACAGGTGCTGCAACGAAGCTCACCGTACCACCAGCCATTATTCCTGCTATACCATGTCCAGTCGTAGGAAGGCTGTCTTCCACCTGTCGATTGGTGTTTTCGAATTTGCGACTGGTCGCCCGAGAAATGGTCAGGATCGATGGGCTGGAGAAGACATTGTCTTTTAGGATTCGGCGGTAGAAGGTAAGTGAGCCTAGCATTCTGAATTTCATTCGTCAGCAGAGCGATCAACTATGGAAAACGATTGGTCGTACATTGAGTCCATGAACATCCATCCCACCAACGGCGGCGTAGCCCCCTTGTAGAGGCCTCGTACACCCTCATGCCGTAATGTCTGCAGCAGACAGTCCAGAGGACCTTTAAACTGCACCTTCTCACTGGTCTGAAGCCGGACTTTGATGGTATCGAAGCTAACGAACATAAGCCCTATTTCGAAGTCAAGCTTTCTCAAACTGTTTAGTGAACGTACGGATGTCCAACTAAAAGACAGAATTAGCAGTGTCTCTTTCTCAACGGATCTTGGTATTAAATATACCGCTCAACTTTGAAATGCCGGAAAATACACCAGCCACGAATCCTTTGTAGTTCTTGTGCTGAGCACTTCGAGCAGGTTGGCCTTGACCGATTGCTTCATTGGTTGCATTTTTTCTGTCCGGATTCACAATGGAAGTCTGTACTGAGGACATGAGACGGAAAACAGGTAAATAGATAGATCAGGGCTTTTCAAGACAAAGAGACTGGCTGCCTATATCATGGCAGATAGAGAGAACGTGGGAACATAGCTTTTGGCAAAGAGTACACAATGCCTCTACACACTCTACTGGGCAGTGGATGGATTGATTGTGCAGGGATGAAATATCATCGACATCATGGCACGAGGTGATCGAACCATCTCGGAGATACGCAGCTTGAGCTTGCTTAAATCCACCATTTGACTGCATCTTTGAGATCGGCAGGGTCCGGTGTCCAGCCAATAACTCCGGCCCATGTGGTCAAGATGGGGATTGCAGATTGTACGAGTAGTAATGTTTTATACGAGACTTGCCGCAGCTGTAAACTCTCCGGCAAGTACATAAACAAACACGAAGATGGCCGACTCAACCAATCCTGATACCACTCGAGTCGTTGACTCGAAAAAAGGTACCCACCGCATCCCAGGAGCCTGTGGCCAACTGCTGATACCATAAAGTATGGACAACTCTTATAACAAACACAGCTTATCTCTCCGGCCTTCTCACCCTAGACTACTCTCTCAAAAAGCATGGCTCTGAGTACCCTCTCCTTGCTCTATATACCGACACATTTCCTCCAGAAGGTCACCGCGCTCTCGAGATCCGTAAAATCCCCAAGAAGCGAGTCAAATACCTCCTTCCCGCCGTCCACAAAGATTTTACCAACGACCCTCGCTTCTATGACTGCTGGAGCAAGCTCACACCCTTTTCCCTAGAGGAGTATGACAGGGTTGTCCAGCTGGACAGCGACATGATGGTGATGAGGAATATGGATGAGCTTATGGAAATTGAGCTCGACGCTCCTGAAAGTGAGGGGAAAGGGAACAGGGTGTTTGCGGCTAGTCATGCTTGTGTTTGCAATCCGAAGAAGAAGCCGCATTATCCTAAGGATTGGTGAGTAATATATTAATTGATACCTTCAGGTCTTTGTATGAGCTGTCGACTGATTTGCCGTCCAGGACCCCAGAGAACTGTGCCTACACCTCACAACACGACCACCCCGATGCCGCCCAAACTCAAGGCGCCTCTTCTACTTCAGGCTTAGGCATTCCCAACGGCGGTCTCCAAGTCGTCAATCCCTCCAAAACCCTCTACGACCTCATCCAAGAACGCATGGCTTCAGACAGCGCGGTCATGAACTACGAATTCGCAGACCAATCGCTCCTCTCCGACCTCTTTTCAGGCAGATGGGTCGCCCTACCATACACTTACAATGCATTAAAGACCTCTCGTGAAACACACGCACCGATCTGGAGGGACGATGAGGTGAAGAACATGCATTACTTACTTAGCCCAAAGCCTTGGGATGAGAAATTGGGGGAAGAGAGTAATCCAACGCACAGGTGGTGGATCGAGGCGAATATGGAGAGACTAAGGGAGGAAAAGCAGAGAGGTATTGATGATGGTTTCTAGCTTCAGTATCGGTTTTCCTGCTAGCGCAATATTGTTGCAGAGCTTGGAGACTTCCTTCGTTACGGCGGTGTTCTGTCCGTATATAGACGGCCAGTGGTGTTCCGGCCCTATCGTTGTTCTCGTGAGAAAAGGCAAAATATTCACCTCAACGGGCCCCGCCACCGCGACTCCGACAAAGATGGCCATTTGATCCTTTCGAATCATGCTTTTCAATCCAGGTACGCCCATGTGTTGTTGCGGTTGGAAGTGTGGGCCACTGTTGAGGCAGCGGAATGTCTCTGGCGCTCCAGATTGCATGTTGCCTTTGCCAGTCCGTGCTCAGAACAGCCCCTGAACCTCTCTAGTTTTTCGAGAAACGCTGAGCAGACTCTGTAGACCTTCTCGTATCGGTCCTCTACTTTAATGACGTCGCCTACTCAGGTTTTCTCACCCTAGCCCACAAGCAATGCAAAATCATGAATTGGTCTTCTTGCCCCCTAGCCCGGTTTCCTATTCCTGGAACTGTTGAGGAATTGTTTCTCCGGAAGCACACAGCAGCATTGAGTGCAGAGGCAAGCAACCTTCTAAAAAAAGGAAAGGAGGAGAAATCGGCTTTATTGAGCGGCACTTGCGTACGGTGAGAAAAGGGACCGAGGCGGAAAGGTCAGAACGCGAGATGACAGAGCGAAAGTAGCACTTCACGCGTCGAAGGCAGAAGAGGGCCGGCTCTTCACTATGGTCAAGGTACTATACGAGATAATGTCCCGCTGCAGTCCGAAAGCCGAAAGGAAGAGCAATTAGTGAGAAATTCGGATCGAGGGATAACACGACATCAATATGAAGCCAATGCCATTGGCCAGCTCTTTCTTGATGTCACCCATGATCTCTGTCCATGCGTTGGCCGCTTCTCTGCTCAATGCCAGCCTCTTCTTGGGCTTTTGGTGGGCTCTTCTTTCGAGTCGTGACTCGTGAATGTGATCAGATGTTTCGTCAGCTACAGAACTTATTGACTACTCTAGTAGCATAATTGATGAAGCTTGATCATTCTAAGGCCCAGGGAAAGCTAAGATTTCGAGGATGAAGGATACAATATTTTCCTAGACTAACTACTGAAACAGCTCTCAACCTGTCACTCGAGAACAGTCCAGCTCCAAAGTAAAAGCATTAACTGACGGGCCTACTCGAAGGTCGCAACGAAGACAGCCACTCGTGATTGATTTCATTCACTCTGGCCAATTCCCAAGGTGTTGTGCGTATTGCGATGGCTTTCAGAACATCAAACAATGTTGGCCGAGCAGGCTTTACCTATCTCTGTCGCGTGGAACCGAGAACTGGAGAGGCTTAGCGCCATCTTTTAGCTCCCGCTCTCTTGAATCGCTAGTCACTTTTAGGCTCTAGTCGAGGAGCAATTGGACAAGTCGTTTCTGTAAGGGTACCCTTTTTGTAACCACGACGACTTGAACGTCGACGGAGCTCTCACCAGGATTCCACCAATTCGCGTAAACCTATAACATCTGATGCTATGAGATTGCCAACACTAGCATGACTTCGACACGCTGATGGTCAATCTAAAGTAAAGGCCATAACCCGCTCCGTCTGGCCTCACGAGGGAGTACCTAGCTCGGGGATCCAAGATTTCTCAAGGACCTCCAGGTAACTCCCCGGGCTACATCATGGCTCTACCCAGATCAATACGACGGACATCTCCTATAACCCTGATATTGGCAGCTGTACTGTCCTTCGGCTTCCTCGTCTTCCTCTTTGCTCCATCGTCCAATTCAGGTGCAGTCTCGACCGCCAAGCGAAAAATCGCCAATGCCGCCGCTCATCCTCTATCACCTCCCACCGCTCCATTCGTAAAGCCAGATGCCTCGCTCAATGGCCTGAGCAAACCGCCGCCGGTCGTCCATTACCACCTTAACAATGTCACGACCACCGCCGACCCTATCGGCAACCAAGAAACCGTCCTCATCCTTACACCTCTCGCTCGATTCTATCAGGGCTACTGGAACAACCTCCTCGCACTCTCATACCCACACTCTCTGATCGCGCTTGGTTTCATCATCCCTAAAACCAAGGAAGGCCATACTGCAACCGCGGCACTACAAGCTGCCATAGCAACCACTCAACAAGGCCCAGAAGGCAAGCGGTTTGCAAGCGTGACAATCCTGAGGCAAGACTTTGATCCGCCAATTTCTTCACAAGACGAGTCAGAGAGGCATAAGAAGGAGAATCAAAAGGCGCGGCGAGCGGCCATGTCCCGAGCTCGAAACTCACTTTTATTCACGACCCTTGGTCCTTCCACCTCTTGGGTTCTATGGCTGGATGCTGACATTGTCGAGACACCTCCAACATTGATACAAGACCTAGCTTTCCATGACAAACCTGTACTTGTGCCGAATTGCTTCCAAAGATTTACCAATGAAGAAAACAAGCCCGACACAAGGCCATACGACTACAATTCGTGGCAGGATAGTCAGGTAGCTGCAGATATGGCGAGGGATATGGGACCGGAAGATATTATTTTCGAAGGCTACGCGGATGTTGCGACATATAGAACATTGATGGCTATGACAGCAGACAGGTCAGAGACTCGAAATCAGCAGGCCATAATACCACTAGATGGTGTTGGAGGTACGGCACTTTTGGTAAAGGCAGAAGTACATCGAGACGGAGCCATGTTCCCACCATTTCCATTCTACCACCTAATAGAGACGGAGGGTTTCGCAAAGATGGCGAGAAGATTAGGTTGGGGATGTTTTGGTCTACCGAATTATTTCGTGAGCACTTTTCGAAGATATCCGGAGAGCCAGGCCGGGAGTGCTGACATAATTCTTTAGGTATACCACTATAACGAGTAGTGTACGGCACTGACTATTTCTTTTTGTATGAGGGCACCATTTGTCACTTCCTATTCCACCTGTCGGGCTACTACAGGTTTGCATATGCAGAAGCAAGGCCATTCCCGGAGTTATATGGAGGGACGAAAAGCCACAGGTAGAACGGCTTTGTGCATGTTATATTACCGGGACCGAATGCAGATATCATCTAAATTTTCATGCCAACGTCACTCTATATTTTGGATGACTGCAAAAATGCCCTTTTGCGTCTCGTTTCACAAAAATCACTGCGAATATACCTCTTGCGCTGTTCACACGCTATGCACACTTCGCTCGATCTTCCAGACAGTTTCTTAGTCCATTTCTCATTTTGATTGATTCAGTCGAACCCTATTCCTTTCAGAATATAAAACATCATCACCCCGATCCAGGCGGAAAGTAACCCTGGGGGAGTTCTAGCATTTGAACACTATCGGTTCCATATCCAATACTTAACGTTGTGCTCGCCCGCTAGGCACGGTATCACGAAAAGGTGACGATCAAAACGGATGGTATAAATCTTCAGAATCCTGACAATTAGCAGCATCAGCGAGGAATTTTTGCGCCATTCAATATTTCCCTTGAAGAAAATCAATCATAAACGACGATTTATCCTGGTTGATGCTATTCCTCGCCTTCCGCAATGTTGAAACCTCAAAACGAAGCCACGGTAGGGGCGACTCGCAAATGTCGCTTCAGGGTTGTGGAACCGTTTGAAGTTCTGTTTCGTCTCGTATATTCTTTGCGATGAGCTAATTGTCAATCTCGGGCAGACAAACACTCCTAGCGACCTCTTTCTGACGGGTCGCTTGTACCTCCGATCAATCTTCTATCAAAATTCGTTCTATAAGCTTCATCCCCATCAACATCTCTCCAACTCACCAAATCGTCCTCAGCCATTATCAATCTAGTATCGCCACAGCGTCAGCAATGACTTTCCCTCTATCACTCCTACTTATCTCCATCCTCACACTCATCAATTCCACTTTCTCCGCCACCATTCTGCCTGCCTCTCTCGATCATAATGTCTACAGCCATTTCAAACCTCAGGGAGAAGCTCCGCCATACGTCCCTCCCCAAACCAACTCCCGAAGCGCAAGCCTAACCTCCAGCCGAATCTCACACATCCAAACCTCCTCTGCTGCCCCTGCCAGATCCACAACCGTCTCCCACCGTGGCGCTGGTGACCCTGTACGTATTTCCGGAGCACATATTTCCCCTTTTGGAGCAAATCTTGAGTCTTGAGAAATGTCTCGAGAGTTTTCACTCTCGAAACATGTTTCAAGGCTCGATATACCTCTACATATAGGTAATACTGACGACGAAATTGTAATCTAGTGCGGTCCACAAGGCAATCAAACGGATTTCGAATCCACCCTCAATACCTGCGGCCAGATAAATACGACCTACACCGACGCCCCCAGTATATATGGCGTGCAATGCCTCAACACGAATCCGAGCTGGAATCAGAGTATTAATACTACATCCTGCGCCAGCAACATTAACGACATTTGCGCTGCGATAGTCTCGAGTCAAGTAACCGCATCACAATGGACTTGGTCGAGTGGGGTATGCCTAAATTTTCTCCTTCTTGCTCTATCAGCCCCCAAGCATGATGAGAAATAAGCTCTAAATTGAGTGTTGACACAGGGTCCTAATTGTACAGTGGGCATCTGGTTCAATCCCCGCCCCGCCGCATCACCCTTACTCCAACGGAAAAATTGCCGCACTGATATCTACCAGCTGATGCAATCGACCTGTTTCCCATCTCAAGGCAGGCAATTCAACGTCGCGGCTGTGAATTTGCGCACTCTACCCGATGTGAGAACGAAGTAAGGCACTTTTCGGAGTTCTTCCTTCCTGCTCGAGACTGCTTTGCAAGTCGCGGGACATGTTGCAGGAACTCATTCAATATGTCACCCTTTTTACTTCTCAAATATGTCATACTATCTAAAATGTTGTCTACGGGTCGGAAGGCTGACTCCGAAATGCGCTAGTGGCTCGCAGGTCGATCCGGGGTATCCAAGTTATATCATCGTGCCGGAGACGTATGATAACATCTACAATGGTACGCCCGCTGCTGACGAGCCTTCGGATGGGGATGAGGAGGGGGGCGGGGAGGGTGAGGAGGAGGGGGGTGAGGAGGCGGAATATGCAGGAGGAAATGAAGAGGGGGGAGGGGAAGGGGAGAATGCGGAGGGGAACGAGGAGGGTGAGGGTGAGGGTGAGAATAGTAACTGAATTTGGAGAAGGGTGAAAGAGACTCGAGCGTTTTCGTGGTGGTCAAGAGCCTAAGATTACATAGAAATATATATAGACGCATCCAGTGCAGTCGGCTATCGCATTCACATCACGTATCGAATTTGATGGCCTTCCTATTCTGAGCCTCTGCGCTATTTGTCCAGCTGTCCACAAACACCTTGCTCATTCGCTAAACCGCGCAATCCAATCCGCCTCTTTTGCACTATTCCCTCCTTGACCGAACACCACCCCCATCTATTTAACCGCCACCCCACCTCCTCTCCCCACACCAAAATCGGACCAAACTCTCCCCGCCAATCTTATCCCCACCCTTCAACAGCGTCGCTATATCCACATTGAACGGACTATCCACCTCCGGATACGCAAGCAACTGGTGTACAGCCTCCAATGTAGATGTGAGCGTGTACGCAGGTGACCACGACGTTTTCAAGAGGTCGAGGCAGATTTCGCCGGTTTTGAAATCCACGTTTGGGTGGCAGATGGGCGTTGTGAAGGTGATCTTGGGCGGGGCGAGCGGGTAGGAGGGCGGGATGAGGATGTCGAGGTGCCAGAGACCGGCTAGCGGGGGGGGGGAGGGGTGGTTCAGTGGTGGAGCTGGAGAAAAAATGGGTGGGTGAAGATAGATTACCTTCGTAAGCTGTACCAGGGAAACCCTTCATGACGGCTTCCCAGTGCAGTATCTCGGCTTCTGACGCGGGGCTGAGGGATTGGAGGATCGGGGATGGATCTTCGACGATGGATTTGAGCTCTTGGAGGAGGCGTTTGGTGGCGGGGGTGTGGGGGAGCGGGAGGTGGCCATTGTGGGAGCGATGGTTGGTGGATTGATCCAAGATTGATGGGAGGTGTGTTCTTTGCGGGAATGTTTTCCTCTCAATGTATAGCTCAGCTCGATCTTTTGTTTGGTCGGAATCTGGGGAAGCTTGGCGCTGGACCTCGGCTGTTTGGGTGCCCTTGCACCACTCGCTCTCGACGACAGGTAAGTCTTGATCACACGACTTTGAAGAAGAACCAAGACAAACCCATCATGCATCTATGGGTCTATGGGTCTCCAATCATCTACTCTCTCCAGGACCAGGCTCATGACAACGCTTGTTCGATGAAATCACATTCTTTAAACCATGGGAACCCAGAGCAGGCTTATGTTTTAAGTCCTTGTGCAGACTGTGTTCCATTGAACGAGGACCTACGTCTCGCTTTCTCAGTACTACCGACTTGTGTACCATAACCTGCTATCATCCTCTGCGCTTTTGTGGACCGACTGTGACGAGTCTCATTTACCTAGCTGGTTCTAGGATCTTTACTTCATGCGGAGACATACCAGCTAAGGTCGTTAAGCCTGTAGGTAGGTACTGCTAAGGCTGCAACAAGCATAATACTTGATCATTCAGTTCAGTCTGGGAAAGAGCCGCAATTTTCCAGATACATGTTGAGCACCTCTGCTGCGTGGTTTTCTTTGAAAAGTCTGATCTCCAAATTCCAAACCCCTGACTTCGCAGCACTGACTTAATTCCTGCTCCAATCATGAAGAGCAACTTCCAGCATGACCAGAGCTTCCTCACGATCAAAAGTGCCAATAGCTCTCCGGTACTTCCCATCCCAACGGTCCAAAAGCTCCTTGTTTTCCACCCTTAAGAGCCGAGAATTCATGGGCGTCGAGATAAGACCAGAAAGCCGAACCTGTTCCCCCCCGGGTATGTCCCTCCATTATTGCTCCTTACCTCGCTGGCTGGTCATGCAGCAATAAATACTGCAGTCTCCCTCCCGGCGTGGGTTATGGGCGAGGACAAGCCAAAACCTAACCATGGGTCAGTTCCTTTTAGGCTTGCGCTGGAGTGCAGAATGTATTGCACTCTTCGCGCGGTTGTGGTATAGCGGCAGAGGCGTGCAGGGGTTTTTGAGAGGCTTGCTATTTGCTATCTAGCCACTGAGGCGCGAGACGTTCATGTTTCGAGGGTTTTCCTTCACCCCTGGAAACGATTATATAGAGCTCACGATCTGATCTAGTACTTCTTGGTCCCGCTCATTTTTGAATTTCGCTGTCTCCGGAGTTCGGACTTGTCTCCAGGTGAGCTATAATTGCATGCAGATGGCGATAGTGGGGTCAGAAGGCCTGATACTACTAAAGGCTTGCCTCCCAAATCACCTCTTCCCTTTCATTTATTTCTTGATCAACTACCGCTAACAGGACTTAGCCCCCCCCCTTTCGGCCTCATCGAAGACTCAACCGGTATTCGCAAATTCTGGAATACGGTCTGGCCTATCCTCCCTCGCAAGCTTTTCCTCGGCTACAGCAATGCGCTCGTCGAACTCCTCGCTATCGAACGTGGGACACCGCTATCTTCATACACGACACTCTGCTTTACAATGGTTTCATTAACCTTTCTCCACGCACTGACCACCTACGTCTTACTCTACAGGCCGAGCCATATTCTAGGATCGATTCGCCATGTGGTTCCTCTGCATTGCCGTGGAAGCACCAGCGATCCAATTCAAGGATTTTGTCATTTGGGGTTACCAGAGAACTTTCGTAGCTGACAATAAAGCCGAGGGATCCATTTGTGATCGCACGAGAAGTAAGGAGGGGACAACGGTTCAGGACGACGGCTGGGGGTGGTACTCGATCGCAAGATTCATCTTCACAGTGTGCTGGCTGTGGTATATGCATAAGCTTCTTCGAGCCAGATGTATTTGAGACTTGAAGAACTTAGTCCGTTGCCTTTTTTGGCCTTGCGGCCGGTGTTTGAGTATCTGAAGGAAAACGTATTTCATGAGTTGAATCTTTTGTCAGAGGTAAGTAAATGCTCCTTCGCTGGTGATCAGATGGCCACCCCTGCTTTCTGGGTGAGATATCCTTGGGAGCGGCCGCTTTGCTAGTTGAAATTACTGTATGTGAATGTATCAATGAGACTATGCCATTTTGCAGTTTCCATGTCCACTTTCCGCACGGACACTACCTAGCGTGTAGAAAGTGAGCCGAGATGGGAGAAGCCTGTTGTTGTTTTTAGTGAATGCAGTATTTGGATCTTGTGACTCGGAGATACCTCTGCGGCGGTGGGGGATTTTGAAGTGCTAAAACATCGTGGAATTGCTTATGCTGATTTTTCAAATGGGAACTCCAGAGTACAGTCTCCCGAATCAGTCAAACGGCACCCTCCTCAGCCCATCCCCCTCCCCTCTTTTCTTGGCCTCCTGCGCCGCAGCAACAGTGCTCGGAATCTTGATCCCACAGCAGTCACCCCAAGCATCATCTCTATGCACATGCCCCACTCCATTCTCGCCCACCGTCAGTTCTCCACCTTCATTCTCCTCACTCTCGGGTGCGACTCCCGCGTCTTCCTCCCTACTCATGCCCTCCTCTGCAGGCACCAGACTGCCAAATAGGAAATGCTGCATAACAGGCAACTTCCCCAATACTTCTTTCACAAACATGCGGCGCATGCCTTGTTCCACTTTCTCCCAATTCTTGGCGGCTGAGATGTCGTCGAGCATTGGCTGTGTCCATTTGAGGCCTTTGACGGTTTTCGAGGCCATGGTGAAGCGGACCATGTCTAGGTAAAGGTACTCATCGCCCTCTTCTTCGAGCATGATTTCATTATGAATACTCAGCGGTCTTATGTAAGGATGATGTAGCAGCTGCGATGCGCCAAAGAGGAAGGGGAGGAAGTGGTAGTCGTCGAGACCCCAGACACCGTGCGAGCCGGCGGGCTCGAGGTAATAAGTGCTCTGTAACCTCCGCAGAGTTTTGATGTAGCGAGGGAAGACAGCCAAAGTGAGCGCTGAAAATGTGGATGTGGGGAGCAGCGAGAGTCGGTTGAGGCAGAGAAGCCACATAACGAAGTTGAGCTCATGGCCGGATCCATAATCTATGCGTTGTCTGTTTCCAAAAGAGTGATAAAGGTAAATCGAGGCTTCTTCGATCGACGACTGAGAGTGCAAACCAAGGCGTTGATGCCAGGACTGGCTCTGGCTTGAGATGCTGTCTATGAAATCACGAAAGGCAGGGTTGCCGAAGCGCGAACCACCTTGGTCGCCAGGCGGACACCGAGTTATTGTTTCCTCGATCGAGTCGAGTATGGAGAGTATCTTATGAATGCTTGGGTGTGTGGTCGGAACATCGACCGAGGAGATTTTCTTGTCTGTTGCCGACTCGGAGAGGGAAAAGACGAAGGAGAGGATGAGGGAGTATGTTGGAGATGAGAGGAAGATAGCATGGTCGTGGGAGGACAAGATACGTCGGGTGGGCTCTTGGAAGATCAGAATGGATGAGTCTGGTGGAGGTGGAAGGTTTGGTGTCCCTGGTACTGGGAGAGCGTTCTGCGAAGGAGCTTTCTTGCGGGGGATGAGACGCGGGAGCTTTCTATGGCCATCTGGGCTTATTGGATTGGGCACGGAACACGTGCCGATCGTTGAAGGCATATCCAAGATTTTGTTTGCCTACTGAAGTGGATCATTCGCGTTGTAAACATAATCATTTTGTCAGAGAGAGTCACCAGAAACTTGGGTTTGGGATCTGAGCGCTGGGTAGCCACAGTGAAAGTTTTTCAACAAGGGCAAATTTGTGACTTCACACAAACACAAAGTTTCCAACTTTCAATGGCAAACATTACGTTGTCCCCACTGTACCGCGCAGATGGCTCTGCAAAATACTCAAAAGCCGGCTACTCCGTGATCGCTGCCGTCAGTGGTCCCATTGAGGTGCAGAGAAGAGATGAGTTGCCCGAAGAAGCAGCTGTTGACATTGCGGTAAGGCCAGCTGCCGGTGTAGGTGGTAAGTATCGGGTCGCAGTCCCATGAGGGAAATATTTGCTGATACAGATCTAGGGTTACGAGAAAGGCATCTCGAATCCATTATTCAAAACACCCTCCGCCGTGTCATACTAGTCTCAGCACACCCACGCAGTCTGATCCAATTCACGCTACAAATCGTTACCAGCCCAGAAGATGGCACTGTCACTGGCAATCTGCCCCAAGCTGCTTCTGTAGGCTCTTAGCATATGTAAGGTGCTTGCTCGATCTAACGAAAAGATCCAGAATCTCCCAGTCCTACCCGCTCTCTTGCAGGCCTCGATCTTGGCTCTGATCTCGACCTCCATACCCCTTTCGATGACATTGACAGCAACGCTCGTTGCTGTCAACTCAAATGATACACTGATACCTGACCCCTCGGTGCAACAGATAAAGCTGGCATCTTCCATTCATGTCCTCGCATTTTCGTCACATGGGGAATTACTGGTCGTAGAAAGCGAGGGTGACTTTACGATGGACACGTGGGAAGAAGTCTACCAGAAAGCTAAGTTGATCTGTCACGGAGAAGAGGAATATAAAGGCGAAAGCGAAAGCGAAGACATGAGCATGAACTCGGAAGATGTCTCAAACCTGGAAAATGTCCTGAAAGACGCCGTCGAAAGAAAGATCGCCAAGTCGCAAAGATGGAAGGAGAGTATGGGCTGAAGACTAGAACAAAGATATCGATTGATGAATGGAAGCTCTTATGAGACTGTGGTGGATCCTAAGACTGACCACAAATCTCAAGGTCGGAGAGCCAATCATTGAAATGCAATAATGACAAAGACGTCGAAGAGCGTGGGCGAATTATACGCCGGAAGAGACACAGAGATAGCGATCTGTCTATCAGATCTGGACCGGCACCAGAGGCATCGATCAAACCTGATCGCCTTGGTGATATCGTTTTAGTTTGGACCTTCCATACGCATGCAGCATTATCTCGGGCCCCAGAAATGGCGTTGAATTGGAGCCAATTTGGGGGTTGCGGAAGGTTTCGCTCACAAGACGCCAGCAAAACCAGTGCAAGTACATTTCTCCAAAGACGCATCTTTACCGTGGATTGGTAGGAGTCAGGACACTATCACAAGCGTTGGTGTCTTGGTCATCTTGGTCATCATGTAGGTGCTTTTGGTGGTGAATGCGCTTAAAGTACTCGTATGCAGTCCTCCACTCAATTAGAACTCGTAATTTGTACAAATAGTTAGACCCTCTTGACCTGGCCGAAGCGTTGATATAAGGTACTCTCTCTACCTTGGTGTCAAGTCAAGTCAAGTCAGAGTCCTTCATTCATTGACATTGAATTCCCATCAAAGGTCGTGTCTGCCGGGCGAAGTTGACAGGCGTTTGCCCGAGGCCCGGCCCCGATCTTTCTTTTTTTTCTTTGGCTGCCGGATCCATCTCCGAGTGATCAAATCATCACGCATTCCTACACCATCATTTGGTAAACATCTCTCGTCATTCATCTCTATGTTGCTCCTTCAACTGTCCCATTCGCCATTTGCTGGCCACTTTGCTTTCCAAAGTGAGAGGCAGGCTTGGCCTCTCGTCTTTCAACCTAGTGCCTTTCTCCAATCGTGACACTTAATAATACGGATACTCGGGGATCTGACAGGATGCAGAACCCTGCGACGCCGCGAGCGAATTTGAACGGGACAAACATGACCCAGATGTCTTCAAGGGCGTCTGACAGATCTTCTGGTTCTCCAGGCGAGGGTACATGCAAGGCAAAGTCACCGCCGTGCTCAACATTCGGTAGCACGCTCCTGCGCGACTATCAGTTGCACCTCGATCCACTGAACACCGATGATAGGAGATGCGTAAGCCAAGAGGACATCACGGAGCCATTGAGCAGTCTGTCAAACGCCTCTACACATATCAGTGATTCTCCGCTCGATCTTGCAGTACCTATGGGTACATCCCCTTCACATCCCCTTCACGCTTCGTGGGCCTCCATGAATCAACGTAAAGGGACCTTTCCTTCAGGGCTTACGCCAGACCAGACAATGCTCAAAGCTCTGGCTTCAAGGACGTCAAAGGATCCATCCGCCCACAATGACAGTGCTGTCCAGCAGAACCTTGCTGCTTCCATGTCAGGTCTGGGAAGTAATCCAAGAGCGTCCTTCGGAACTCGGTTTGCACAGTCGCCATGTTTCTTCCACCAACGGTTCGACGATGCCGTCAACATTGAGCGAGTACTGGAGGAGATATCTGCAGAAGACGATGGCATGTCCCACTCACGCCTCATGCAAACAGCGACCAGTGTCCGAGAGATATCGAAACAGCTCCAGCGTCGACCCATCAAGCGTGCTGTCCGAACCATCATGATCATTACAAAAGCCAGAGACAACAAGCTGGTATACCTCACTCGCGAGCTCACCGAATTCCTTCTCAAAACACCCCGCTACAACTCAGACCTCGGCGTCACTGTCTACGTTGATGCCAAACTCCGCACCTCCACCCGCTTTGATGCTGCAGGCCTTCTGGCCTCCAATCCTCGGTATTCAGATATGCTCCGCTACTGGACGCCCGACGTATGCTGGGATTTTCCCGAAAAATTCGACCTAGTCCTCACGCTCGGCGGAGACGGCACAGTGCTGTTCACCTCCCGGTTGTTCCAGCGAATAGTTCCGCCAATCCTCTCTTTTGCCCTCGGCTCCCTCGGTTTCCTTACGAATTTTCCTTTCGACACCTACAGATCTACCCTGGACCGGATCATGGAAGGCTCCGGCATGAGAGTTAACATGCGCATGCGCTTCACCTGTACTGTCTATCGCGCAGCAAACAACAAGCGCCGTCCTAGCACATCCAGCCTTCCCAAGATGGCTACACCAGAGTTGATAGAAGATTCCCAATCCGAAGTCCTAAACGAATTGGTGATCGATCGCGGCCCCTCGCCCTACGTCTCAAATCTCGAACTCTACGGCGATACCCACCTCCTCACCATCATTCAAGCCGACGGTTGTATCATAAGCACCCCGACAGGCAGTACAGCATACTCTCTATCAGCAGGCGGACCTCTTACTCACCCTTCAATACCCGGTATCCTCTTGACGCCCATTTGCCCCCACACCCTCTCATTTAGACCTATGGTCCTCTCGGATACGCTATGCCTACGCATCTGTGTACCCAAGGGCAGCAGGTCCACAGCATACGCCTCTTTCGACGGCAAAGGACGCGTAGAACTCCGCCGAGGCGACGAAGTGCGCGTGGAGGCTGGACGGTATCCCTTTCCCACCGTCGTAGGCGAGGGTGGAACAGGCGGTGAATGGTTCGAAAGTGTGCGCCGAGCTTTGCGCTGGAATACGCGAGGAGCTGTACAGCGCTCTTTCGGGGGCAAAGAGCCGAACGTTCGTAGAAGGGGTGGAGGAAGGCTGGCTGATGATCTCGTCGATGAGGAGGAAGGAGAGGAAGATGGAACCGACGAGGAGGATGAGGAGGAAGAGAAAGAAGAAGAGTGGGATATCGATGCCGACCCAATCGAGAGTCTGAGCGCAACTGGAACTTTGGATAGTGGACTAGGGGCTAGTGAGGAGGGGAGTGGTTGTGCTAGTCCGTCGGGGCTGATGGGGAGGAGGAAAGATGGTGAGACTGTAGATTGATGTCAGGTGGTATGACTTTCATGATTGGTACGAGTGTATGATGAGTGAGTGTATGATTGTTTACTGAGCGGCATTATCGAGCGGCATTATCGGTTTAAGCGAAAGGTCTATAAATATTATAGAGCTACGGCTGCATACAAATACATGAGAATTAGACACTGGTACTGGTACCGGTCTTCAGCTACGAGATATAAAGAGAAAGGTTTGACAGTGGTCTTGCCTGACACGTGTTTTCGCTGATATCATTGAATTGAATTGCTACTTATGCTCACTGAAGCTAAATGGATCCGCCTGCATATACATCTCTTTTCTGATTTAGGAAAATTCCCTCCCTAACAACGCTCCTCAGCAACAGCTACATCCTCAAGAAGAGAAACTCCGAGCATCTAATCCAAATCATTCGTGTCGTCTCTTTCGGGCGGAGAGCTAATGGTAGCGCTTACGCGCTGCAAGAATTCTTAGTGGGTGGAGGAGAGATAAAGGTTTTGTTGCTGTTGGTGATGATGTAGAATGTTTTGGTTGTCCTTGCTTAGTCGAATAGAACCTAGGGGCCCATACTGAGCCACGTCTTTAGTACAGCCAACGAGGAAGGTGTAGCTTGTCGATACGCAAGAGAAGTGGAGTTGTTGGTAGTATGATGCCGCTGAGTGATGTTTTTGATATTGTCGTCTCGTCAATCGAATGAATGAAGAAAGGAAGAACTCCGTAAATGTCCTGGCAGGAATGCAAGCGTGCAAGCTGCTCCATGATATCTGACCCGTATTCCCAACTCAACCTAACCATCGCTCAAACGCCAAATCATCGCTTCCATGGAAGACGGAGCGCCGCGAGGAAGAATGTATTTTATGAAGACGATGCCTTCTCCTTTGACTTCCAGAACTTCATCAACCGACTGATCCGGTTCCCTTTCTTCTTTTCCGTTTTCTCTGGACTATCAGGCTGAACACATTCCTCGATGTTCAATTTGCTTCTATTATACGAGCCTCCACCGACCAATCGAGTAAGACTGGCAAGACTATTGCGCTTGCCTGCCGATACGGGTCGCGTACGTGCAGGAACCGGAGCCGAGAACGAGCCCGAGCGATCAGCCGACGAGCAGGTATTTGCGCTGCTCGAAATTCGAGGCGGGTGACCACTTGCCATTGTGGAGGCGCTACTTGTAAGCGAGGGCACGTCGTCGAGGGAGCTGTGCAAGGTCAGAACATGATCTCCGGCCCGAGATGAATTAAGCGTTGCTCTATCGGTGATGGAGGAAGAGGCGGTATGCATGCGAGGCATGTCAAAGGAGGTCCTGGAGAAGTCAGGGGAAGACACAGCAGATGGAGTTTCTGGTGTTCCGTCATAGGTCAAAGCGGGCGTCGGCATGGCGAAGTCGAGAGGTGCAGTAACAGGGTGTGTGTCTAATGGATCGTGAGACAATGTTGGAGTAATTGTGGACTCGTCTGACGACTTGGTGATAACAGAAAACCGAGGCTCTTCGTCCGCGCCTACAATCTCAACCAGACTAAACTCCTCAGGGATGTCTAGCTTATTGATTGACCTAGTAGCTGAATTATCATTCTCAGCAAATGTCTTGGAGGGTCGCCGCGTGCCTCGCTGCATTGGTCGATCAGTATTGCTTTCCGCTTCCACAATGTTGACACCGAGGCCCGGAGCCTGATCGTCTTGCAGCTCCTCTTGATCTGATTTTGTGGATACGTTCGTTGGCTTCGAAGTTGACTCCTCTTCGTCATCTTCTTCCTCTTCTTCCTCTATGGCCATGGTGGGATTGCTACCAAGACGTGGAAACCCAAATTTGGAGCGATCGATGGTCTCCATTTCAGGGGCACTCTCAGCTCGACGATGGTAGTGCATCCCTGGGCCTGCGAATCCTCCAGTGACCCCACTGCTGTGCATCGGACGCTTTGAACCTGAAACACCTCCGGAGATGACATCTTCGAAGGCAGGTCCTGTGCTCGGAGAATCAAAAGATTCGAGAGCGGCGTCGATATCAAGCATGGAGGCTGAGGAATCTGTCTCTGAAAGTGGACTCGTCTCTCGGGGTTTCCAAGCAGCGTAATTGGTCTGTATTCTTGGCAGCTTAGAAGCTTCGGAAGATGCGGTTTCAATTATGCAAGTGGTATCTTCGTCGAAAGTTACGTCATCGAGCGAGAACTCGGCTTCTGGTGTATGTTGTCGTAGGGGGAGGCGTGGGTGAGCGACAATTGACGAAGTCTGCTCTGGGATCATGGTGCTTTGCCTTGCGAGAGAGGAGACCAGCCCATGATCTTCCTTTCCGCTGTCTCTTAGTTACTTTGGGTTCGGGGGACGTCCTTGGTCTCATGGTTGGCGAAAATGGACGCCGCCTTTGAGCTTGAAAGTTGGCGGCTCTTGATGTCGGAGAGGAAGTGGTCTTATAGGACTTTTCAGGAGACATTGAAACTGGAGATGTCGCGAACGGATCATTGGCGGCTTGGCGGTGAGTCTCCACAATAAAGGGACCGGAAGACTCGTTTGCGCCTTTAGAAGGAGAGCCCCCGGCAGGTGCTGAAGAGGGGCGCTTCACCGAAGGGTCCAATCCCGAGAAGTCCCATTGCCAGTCATGGGATGCACGAGGGGGGAGAATTGCCAGCAGTATCTGGTCTGACTCTAGACAGATCTTGCTCTAGTGTGGGTCTGCGGCCAGACCTCGCACCGATGGTGGACTGGGGACTTGACGAGTTGCCTCCACTGATCACGGACGTGATACTGTTGGAGACCGAATGGCTGGCGCGAACAGTTGACATGCTGCTTGACGTCTCAGAAGAGATTGTTGACAATGGCCGTGGAATAAACTCTAAGACATCGGAGAACCCCACTCGAGAAGAACGTGGCAGTCCAGCATAGGGTGATTGCTCATCTTGTGATGCTGAAACTAGTGATTCCTGGGTAGAGGTCGTAGGTTCGGGCTGGGAAATGGATCTGTCAAGTTCCGGAGGAAGAGGTCGCTGGAACATAGAATCTGAAGGTGTTGTTGGTGCGCTGCCACCTTTCATCTCAGACGCAGGTTTCAGAATCATCGAGAGATCGTGACTTGATATCGCACCAGAGCGCCGATGAGCATGACCACGCCTGCTCGTGGGAGGGCCGAGTCGGGCCCCAGGCGGCGGATGCGATAATCCCTCTTTTTCCGTAGAGGTCGTACCCACAGCTGAAGGGCCACCAGTTGCACCGCCATCACCCGAAGTATTGCTTTCGCTAGGCTGTTCACTTTTTGTGGGACTCGCGCTTACCAACACCGGTCCACCATTTGTAACATCACCACCAACGTACTCGCTGTTATTTCTCCGATGTCCATGGTGGATAGGAGGGGTTCTTCTCGTCGGAGACCGTGCTGGACTTGGAGTACGATCGTCTGGAGTTGACACAGCAGGACTGAAATCGAATGCTGGCAGCTTGTTGATTGATATGCGTTGAGGTCTTGAACGACCTGGCGAACGTCGAGACCCAGTAGCATCCGCATTCGAGGGGATTCTCGCGTGAGAGCTGGCTTCACTGGTAATCTCAGGTTGCATGGGAAATACGAAACAAGGGTTTGGTAATGGCCCCGAAGTGTCTCTGCCCTTGGCTATGTCCATGCCAAGGTGAGGTTGCGTAGGCAACACCTCGGCCATTTTCTTTGGCTAGTTGTAAATTTATCAGAAGCAATGCTGTGACCGTCACATCAGGTATGGGACAGATCGGGTAGGTCTCTTGTAAAAGATTGTGGGGGGGTTGCGGAATGGTAGCTGGGTAGTAGATGGATGGTGTAGATGGGCAAGGAGTGCTTGGGACCGAGGGTATGATGAGGTTGGCTAGATTGGTTCGGCAAGATAGGTTTGGAAGGTATGCTGAAGAGCGTGTGTAAGTATCTGGACAGCAAGTCAGAGACGGTTGGCTTCTGTGACTCTTGACTTCAGTTGACAGGCAAAAGAGACTTGGATACGTACGTTGGAAGGAGTGTACAAAGCGACCGGGGGAAGAGAAAAAGCTGATTCAAAAAGGAATGGACGGCCTCAATACCGAGCAGAGTCAACTCTGACGGTGTATGAAGCCAAGTGATCGTAGATCAAGTGGTGATGATGATAATGGTGGATGGAGAGAGGGGTGGATGGTGAGTAGTGCAGGAGGATGTTCTAGTTGGAAATTGAGTCTTGGCGGATTCTCATTCATCAATTATGCTTATGCTTTGATCTCGATAATCATACAGAGGAGACAGATAATCATACAGATTATACCTAGATACATTTCTTAATTGACGCAATTTCATGTGCATGAAGTAGAGATGAACTGCTGCATATGAATGATTATGTCTCCGATTACTACTCTTGAAAGTACGGTACTGTACTCCCTACTTTTCTACTTAGCTATATGGTCACTTGGTCACATGGTGCGTGGCTTGCAGCGTCGCTCCACCAGCTCCTCACGCACGAGAGATCGGAGCATTCCAAAAACCCTGATGGACTCGTGCTACCGGCCAGTCCGATTTCGCCAGGAATCCCGTTGGTTCAAGCATGTCCACCTGCAGAATTGAGTAACAGGCCGGATGTCTGCATAACGCTCTATTTGTACATTGTTGATTTGGTGCACCGTGGCCAATTATTCAAACAACAACAGTAGCTTGGGCATCTTCACGAAGCTTTAAGTTCTTTTCTTTTCTTTTCTTTTCTTTTCTTTTCTTTTCTTCTCTTTCACATGGCAATCTTACACCTTATCAAATTTTAGCGGAGCTCGGCAAGCCACGTCTGGAATAATTTCCGTGTTTCGACGATTCCTCTCTACCGAATTTACGGATAGAGTAGTAAGGTAGTAGGTACTACCTACTAGCTACTGCTGACGGTCATAGCAGAATTGGGCATTTAGCGACCAATTGGCGATGCAGATATATGCAGATGTGCCGATCAAAGGATTGAACGCGGCTCCTATCCCGTGGGGCCAAGTGTAGGTAATAAAGTAGCTTAAGGTAGTAGGTACCCACCATGTGCGGCGAGATGTCTCACTCTCACCCATCAATCAATCTGTACTCCTACCCGTATGTCGCTCTTTCGCATGCGTAAAGTATGAGTAAAAATGTCTTTCTTTTCACTTTGCCTGACCTATCGTTTTGCCGACGGAATAGACACTCAGATTCAAACTGCGAGTCAGACTCGTTGAGCCCCTGTTCTGGCAGCATTCGCAATTTCACAACTGGTGCAAGGAGAAGAGTCTCTCACGGAACAGGGCTAGGTAGTGGATTCGACTCATCGCATGTACCTCGATATCACCATGCTGGGCGCTGGCCACCGTAGACTGAGAGTCTGAGAGTAGGGAGGTCGGCTCGCAAAGTCCTAAACGCCAAGACTCCTGCGCCAAGTAACGCCCCAACTGAATTAGAAGGTTTAAAAGATTTCGGGGATAATGCGCTTAGATGGAAGTGGGTTGAAATTGCGCCCTAATACTTTAGGCTATTACTAAAGTATTAGGCCCGACATGTCCTCCGCGAAAGGGCCGTCTTCCGAAAGTAGGGTTAGGGCTGCTGTCAGGATCGTTCAAGCCAACCTCCGTACTATATCACGGTAACCCAAATCCAGTGCCAAGTCCTTTGCACTCTCAAACCCCCATCAGACATCGAAAAGGGTGCAACAGAGTTGACAAGGAACAATTGTCGTGTCGGAATCAGACTCGTATGCGGGCAAGGGTGGACTGCACGAAAGATGCAAGCCTGATATGATAGTGCAATCCAACGCAATCGGCTGGAGGCTTCCCATATTTTCATGTGGGCTTTCAGCCCGAAAGCGGAATCCCTTCTATTCAAATTCGATCCCTCGCAGACATGGCTATGCATTTCTCTCCTCGAACTCTAGAAGAGGCACGATACTTCAGGATATCAGTAATGGTCCAGCATCCACATGCTGGTCTTTGCTGTCACCTTCTTCGTCAGTAATTGTAGGTCTCATGGACTTACTTGCTCAATCTCATCATGCTTTGATCTGATTGAAGTCTTTCTGATGTCTCCAGGCTTCGAATATTGGCTCTTTGAAACTCCGAAAAGCCAAAATCCCATTCGGAAAAACGCCACTCGTTGTACTTCTGGTTACGCCAGCTCACATTCGGCTATTAGATGATGATAGTACATTTATCCCCTCCCTTCTACGCCTGGCGGTCGAGACGACAAAGCCCTGGCAAGATTTTGACCTCTTGGCTGCGGTAATCGACGGAATACCGCAAACATGGTCAACCGCACCTTACAGACTACGAGGTAGCCATTCTGCAGATGTGGATTCTGTACCTAAAACTCGAATGGAACGTGGATTCGAAGGAATCTCTGTGGCCGTACTTGATTCTGAAACTGCCGCCCCTGATCTTTGGTCACCCAAGGATATGTTCGATGAACGAGAAACGATGACGATCCAGCAACGGTGTACATTGTCCTTCTCACTTCCTCCGAGCCCTGGCGTGCGCACCCAACTCTCTGAAAACTCAGCCTCCCAGCCTTTGGTAAAGCGGATATTACAATTGCCTGTGACTAACACTCTTTTCCAGAATGGGAAAACGTCCACTCTCTTCGCACAAAGGTGGAATGTACAACGCAGCGAAGAATCTATCTCGGAACATGTGTGCAGTAAGAAGACCTGGTTACCACAGCAGATCGTTCAAATGGGCGCTGTCTTTGCAGATGAGGGCATGCGACTCCAACTTGACCATCTCGTACATTCGCTTCTGATGCCCATTACTCCAGCTAGGACCATTACAGCTGCTGTCGGTAACATTGTTCGCAAGATCAGTGGGGGCGATGCCTTGGCCGAAGCTGCGCCAGCATCAGAAGAATTGGAAAGAGCGATATCCACTGCCATCCAGCAAGGCCAGATACCCGCTCAGCAAGCTGGTGTCTGGGCGCTCATTAGACCTCAAAGGTATGCCGCGTTGGACCGGGCTGCTCAAATTCAAGGCACCGTGCGTGAAAGAATCCAGTATGCCGTCCTGTCCGGAGGTCGACTTCACAAAGTGCTCAGTGGCGGAGGTGGTTGGGGTGAGAAGCACGGTCTTTTGGCCTTGGATCCAGACTCAGATTACAGCCACCATCATCGAGCACTTGAGCCATCGTTTGGAGACGATCAGGACGTTGAAACGAGAAAACGTGAAGCTCTCGGAGAAGTTGCAAAGCCGGGAGATACCATTACGTTCTATGTGTACAAGTCGCTTTCAGATGCTGATCCTGCTAACCTTGATACACCTGTGTTCTCGAACAGCAATCAAGCTGCTGCTGCGACTCTCATCTTTGGCTCTCTGCCGTCGACCATGGATGCCATGCCAGTACTTGACACTACCGAGGTTGAGGCCCACGCTCAATCTGAATTAACGGTGGGGAGAAAATCATTTTGGCATGCTCTCGGAGCAAGGCATGAGCTTAGAGGTGATAGGACTAGTCCCATGACATCACTTTAGTACTAACAATTACTGCAGACTTCGTTCATCAATACTAATATCACCGCGAACAGGATGCAGTATCTGAAGACCGAATTGTATAGACAAGCCTATGAAGTCCGCCGCAAGAACACAGTAACCACGAAACTGGATGCTCCTTACACGCTCCTCTCGATACGAGGGCAAGCTTCGAAAGTCCCAGTCAGCGGCGAAGTCAAGGGGGAAGAACTTCAGGCTCCCAATGTGCGTCTACAAGATCTGATGCCACAAGAGCCGTCGACGCCAACCAGTACAAGCAAATATAATACCGCACTGGTCCAGAAAGTTCCCAAACTACGCGATCAGAAACAAGAAGTTCAACGAATAATAGGACCAGGGTTTATGCAAGCTAAGTTGAATAGTAGAAGAATTGCGGAGGCGAAATTTCAAAGTGAGCGATACCCAAAGATTTCCGAAAACGTCGCGAGGAAGATTGCGAAAAAAGCAGCGAAAAAAGCAGTGAACAATCGCAATAAGGGTAAGACAGACGACGGTTTTAGATTCACGGTCAGATTCACATCCCAGGAACAAAAACCTTCTCGTCAAGTGATTTTACAACCAGAGGCGCAAGACGCACCACCAATCACAATAAAGCGACACTTCTCCCTTGCCCCAGGCAACGACTATCAAAGGCACGGGGCAACCCCAGAACAAAAACCCGAAATGAAAACCGAACCAATATCTGCGAGCAAACCATTCGCTGACGACGTTAAGTACAGAAACCAGCAGCTCCAGTCTCAAGGCTCGGTACCAATAATCAGGGAGGAAAGTGAAGGCAAAGACCCGGGTACCGCTTGTAAAGGCAAATATGGCAACGTCTTTATGCTCAGGAAACACGCCACGATGAATCCATTTGAGAGGCTACAAGCAATTCAGCAAGTAGGAGAGATAACATCCAGAGACCAAGCGATGGGGCTCCACGGCCAGTATCATTTACCACTTTTCGATGAACAGCAGGAAGGTGTGTGAAAGTCTTAGATTCGAGTCTCGCACTGAGTCTGTCGAACCATCTGCTCTATAGCAATCTCCCAAATACCCCAACCTCTCGAGAACACGTCACTGCCTGGACGTCAGCATCATTTCGACTCAGCCGAACCCTCTTCAAATACCTATGGAAGCCTCATGGACTAGGCCATTTATGCCAGCCTTCAGCGGCGCCTCGCTATTCCCCACCATCTCCTTTCTGCTCATTCGCGCGTTCACTGGGCCGCGGGCTCTCATTTGCCATCCGGCTTCGTTCTTTTCATTGTCCAGAGAGCAGTCAATCACTGAACTTCTTCGACCAACACATCAACATCGAGCTCTTCCATGACCCCCAATACGACTCCGAGACTTTCCATAAATCCGTTCACAGCCACTCGCAGCATGCGGTTGGTTGTGGCCTTGTACTCTGTGCGCAGAACTGTCAATTCCTCATCTCCTACAAATTGTGCTCCCATGGCCAAGGCTGCATCGCCGTTTAAGCGAACTTCTGCATCTGCGCTCGTTGAGCCGTTGGTGGCGAGGCCGTAGAAAGCATATGGGCATGCGAGAGAGAAAGAACGGTGAACGAGAGGCGAAAGTTCGGCGTCTACGCTGAGTGCGCGGAGTGCGGAGGATGCTAATCGGTGTGTGGGAAGCGGAACAGAGATGATTCTATATGTCGTTTAGCAGGTATAATCAAGAAGCGTAGCAAGCAAGGAAAATCACAAGGAGCACGGGAACTCTGGATCAAAAGGAGGACCTGACATGATAGCCGCAAATATTGCAGAAGGCGCTGCTGTGAAAGAGGATCGAAGGAGGATCACGATGTGGAGATCGATCGTGATAGGGCTGAGATGCGTGGTTGCCAGGTCGACAAGCCTTTCTGCCGCTAGTGGGGAGCTGCCGAAATCCAGTTCGTGTCCAACAGCAGGAGCCCCCACAGTCACATAAAGCAAAAACAACATCATTGTTCTGCATCTTGCGACGACAGCATCCCTTCCTATCTTTGAGGTGCTTATTATTACTGGCATTGGTGTATCAAACTGTCCGTGAGCTTCATTTATCTGTTCAAGTCCAGATAAACATCTAAAGTATCAAAATAAACAAGCAGCTGCCCTCATCCTCTATCGCAACTTCGCAACTACGATAGCCCCTGCAAATTTCCAGCGAGATCTCCACATCTTCTGAGCATACGGTTGCAGTTTCCCGTACAGAGTTGGTCGGCGACTGCCCTGTCGTCATGTCGCACCAGGCGGCAAGAGCACCTGTTGCTCCAGCTATGGGTACAACAAGCTATGGACAGGTGATCGAGTACATCCAGAGTAGGTAGCTGCAGCCAGCGATGGGTTCGCTGCCGGCGTACTAGTAACAGTTATCGTACATGTAAGCTGACATTGCCCCACAGACCGAGTTTACCTCGCATCCTATACTCATCCTCCCAACGAGCACACTCCATTCCCGTATCCAGCGACACCTGTCAAATCGCCTTCAAAGCGCTCCTCCAAATCATCACATCAATCCACGCCAGTACCATCAGGCCCCAAAGTACATCCTCCCTTCTACTTCACAGTCGACGATGACCTACTCTATAATAAATTCCATGCCGATTTTGGACCATTACACATCGGACATCTCTACCGCTTCGCTGTCCTCCTCCACGAGATCTTGGGAGACCCAAACAATGCAGAACGAGGAGTCGTGTTCTGGAGCAAGCCAGACTCGAGGAGCAGGGCAAACGCCGCTTGTTTATTGGCTTGTTACATGATTGTCATACAGAATTGGCCACCACATCTGGCACTAGCACCCATCGCGCAAGCAGAACCACCGTTGATGCCTTTTCGAGATGCAGGGTACAGCCAAGCGGACTTCAGCATTGGAGTACAGGATGTTGTTTACGGTGTGTGGAAGGCCAAGGAAGAGGGGTTGGTGGGATTCAGAGACTTCAGGCTCGACGAGTAAGTATCTATGACCGAATTGGATGAATGAATGCTGATGAGCCTTCAGGTACGAGAGATATGAGAGGGTAGACCAAGGAGATTTCAATTGGCTCACGCCCAATTTCATTGCGCTTGCATCCCCTCAGCATCAGCCAATAGCTCCGATACTACCTGATTCGCCATTATATGCCACCGTACCTACCAACGTCTCAGCCGTCAAGAAGTGCAGTCTCCCAGGTCCGTTTAAGAATGTCCTCTCACACTTCTCCAAGCGCAATGTCGGACTCGTCGTCCGTCTGAACTCCGAACTCTACTCGCCCACGTACTTCACTGCTCTCGGCATCAATCATTTAGACATGATCTTCGATGACGGAACGTGCCCACCATTACATATGGTCAAGAAGTTTATCAGGCTGGCGCATGAGATGATAACTATTAAGAAGAAGGCCATCGCTGTTCATTGCAAAGCTGGACTAGGTCGCACAGGCTGTCTGATCGGAGCATATCTCATTTACCGTTATGGCTTCACCGCCAACGAGATCATTGCCTTCATGCGGTTTATGCGACCAGGGATGGTTGTCGGGCCCCAACAGCACTGGCTCCATCTCAACCAAGGAACGTTCCGTGAGTGGTGGTGGGAGGACCTCTTGAAAGAAAAGCTTGCTGCAGCGCTGCCCTCAACGCCTACCAAATCGATCCGCCGTAGTCATGCCAGTATTGGTCAGACTGCGACACCACCCAACCCGAGCCAGTCAGGCAAGCGATCTGCACTAGGCGAAATCACAGCCAATGAGAGCGGTCCCTCAAATGCCATGGACGAAAACCTTCCAGCCCCCACTCCAGGACAGCCAAGGAAGACCAGCAGGATGGATTCCCGTCATCATCCGTATGCAAGAGCAGCATCAGCGGCTTTCAACGACAATACCGTGGTCGAAGATCCAGGCAATCAGATCGTGGAGATGCGCAGCCACCGACAGGACCCTGGTGAAAATGAAGAGGAGTGGGAGCTACGAGTGCTTGGCCGACGAACAAGCTCTCGTTCGCCAATGGGCAGCGAGAAGAGGCGTGCCGTCAGCTACACCACCACTACAACTACAACCTCGCGATACAGCACTGCCGGCGACGATGAAGCGCTCCAAGAGTTGACTTCAGATGTCGAGAATTGGACCCACCACGATGAGCATGCCTCTGACAAGACTTCCAGACCGAAGACACCCGGAAGCACAAAAAGTGGCAGTGGAAGCGGAACTTTGGGTGTCGCCAAGATGCGCGGGAGCCCAGTGAGGAGAAGTGCAGAGAGCAGAGAAGTCAAGAGCGGACTCAGCGGAGTAAGGAAGACTAGCGGCAGAGTGGGAAGTGGGCTAGCAGCGAGCCGGTCACGATCATGACACGCGATCAACGATACCTTTTCCTTTTCTACCATGTGTATCTCAGGTTCGACTGTACACAGCACCATGCTTCGGCGGCTCCTTGCATGGGTCTCGCAGCCAAAGTTGGCGATATTGGCGTCTTCACCATCTTCTGCGCTGCAGAGGAGCTTTTGCTTGGCAGCCACGCTGCGCTACTCCTTCACTGGCGCTTGGCTATAGGGGCTTGTTTTTACCCTCTTGAGTACTTGTTGAATATAGTGACGAGCGATGAATGGCAACGAATTGTAGTCTCAGTAGCATGCAGGTTCCACGATACTTTGAGAGAAAAAAATCCGAATGTCTCAATTCCAATGTCGGCGAGGACCATTATTCATTTTCTAGGCCAGTTTCATCATGAATAAGAAAAATTATTTTAATTTTGAAGATTTAATAGCGAATTACCGTAATAAATTCTTTATACACATGGTTAATTTACGGGTTGCTAGCCCTTGTGCATCAAAAATAGAAAACATCAAACCTTAAATTTGTGCTTTCAACTTTAGCCGAGGTTTGGGGGAACGACACCAACTTTGGGTGTCCAACAGTGTCGCGCACTTTGTAATTGCAGAATGTTTGGCCATGCCTAGGTACTGTGGCAGATGACCATCTCTTCATCTCCATCGCTGACGAAACCTTAGGGAGATCATAACCATCCAGGCTGGCCAATGCGGCAACAGCAGTGAGTCGCCCCGAACCGACGCGTCGTGAATGCAGAGTCGTGTGTATCTGGAACCGCTGTTCTGATGTGGTCGCAGTCGGTAGTCAATTCTGGCAGCAGCTATGTCTGGAACACGGAATCAGTCAAGATGGCAATCTGGAAGACTTTGCGACAGAAGGTGGTGATAGGAAGGATGTGTTTTTCTACCAGGTTGGGGCTCCCAAAAATTGCTGCATATTGACGCCAGCTGATACGTTTCAAGAGCGATGATACGCGATACATACCCCGTGCAATCTTATTGGACTTGGAACCACGAGTGGGTCAAACCCCGCACCGGTTTCGCTTGCCAGACATGCAACGACAGGCTGACCATCTGTTTCTGTTACCGCGAAGGTGATTCACGGTATCCAAAATGGGCCCTATAAAAACATCTACAATCCGGAGAACTTCTTCGTTGGATCGCAGGGGAGTGGTGCAGCAAACAATTGGGCTGCAGGCTACGCTGCTGGAGACACGGTGCAAGAGGAGGTGTTCGACATGATAGATCGAGAGGCCGATGGAAGCGACTCGTTAGAGGTAAGTCTGTCTGGGGACTCTTTTGAAACATCATACAAGGGTTGACAGTAGTCAACAGGGTTTCATGCTCCTTCATTCAATTGCTGGTGGTACAGGGTCAGGTTTGGGCAGCTACATATTGGAGCGAATGAACGACAGATTCCCTAAGAAGCTGATACAGACGTATTCGGTATTTCCGGACACACAAGGAGGCGGAGATGTGGTGGTCAATCCATACAACAGCTTGCTCGCTATGCGGCGGCTGATACAGAATGCGGACTCGGTGGTCGTGCTCGACAACGGCGCTTTGTCAAGGATAGCTGCGGACCGACTTCACGTCCAAGAGCCTTCTTTCCAGCAAACGAATCAGCTCGTCTCCACTGTCATGTCCGCCAGCACGACCACCCTTCGCTACCCGGGGTATATGCACAATGACCTTGTTGGCATTGTTGCTTCTCTCATTCCAACGCCGCGATGCCACTTCCTCATGACCTCTTACACTCCCTTCACAGGCGACAACGTAGAGCAAGCAAAGACGGTACGGAAGACCACAGTACTGGACGTGATGCGGCGACTGTTGCAACCGAAGAATCGTATGGTCTCAACGACACCGAGCAAGACAAGTTGCTATATCAGCATACTCAACATCATTCAAGGAGAAGCAGATCCCACAGAAGTGCACAAATCACTCCTCCGGATCCGCGAACGCCAACTGGCAACATTCATACCATGGGGTCCTGCATCGATACAAGTCGCATTGACAAAGAAGTCGCCCTACCTCCAGAACACACACAGAGTCTCAGGTCTCATGTTGGCAAATCATACATCTGTGGCGACGCTCTTTAAGCGAATCGTCGTCCAATACGACAAGATGAGGAAACGAAACGCCTATCTGGAAGGGTATAGAAGGGAGGCGCCTTTTGCTGAAGGTCTGGGCGAATTCGATGAAGCAAGAGCTGTAGTCACGGACTTGATCGGAGAGTATGAAGAGGCGGAGACGGAGAGCTACTTGGATCCGGATAAAGGCAAGGAAAAGGCAGAAGGCAGTTGAGCATCGGCAAGGGATAGAGATACCCTGCGCTTGGTCAAGGCGTTTGTTCGGTGCAAGAGGTCATGAGATATGAACATCGGCACATTTGCATGGATGTAAATTAGCAGGCTGGGATGGGACTGACCACATAATTGGCGTCGCCAATAGTAATAATTGGCAGCGTACCCTTGTTATCCGGCTTCGTCTCGGTGATCTCACTGGCCCACTGCGCCAGTCATACGGAGGTAATCGAGCAAAGGTTTTGATAGACATGGACTCATGCTTTGTAGAGCAAAGTTATTTTCTTCGGTGCTACGTCCGCTCCTTCCACGTGACTGCACAGCCACTGTGGCGGTGCCGAGTTCCGCGTGTTGAAGGCAAATGTCATAATAAAATAGATCGATCGCAATCTTCTTCCACACTCATCCTCAACCACCACAACCACAAAATTCCTACTTTCGAGCCGTTCAAATCATATCTCAGAAGCTTCGAGACCTCAATTCATCCATCATGGCATTCACTGCAAGGTATATACCGAGCTCTCTCATCCGCGACAGCGACAATAGTCATGCCGCTTTTCCTCCGCAGCAGTTTTCCTCGCGCTTGATCTGAAAGTCCGTCCAGTCGTACATGGGTATCATGACTAACGTTACCTTGACTGTAGCGACATCTGCAAGATCATCCTCGCCATCATCCTCCCGCCCCTTGGTGTCTTCCTCGAGCGCGGTTGCAATGCCGACTTCCTCATCAACATTCTCCTGACAATACTGGGTTACATTCCGGGTATTATCCATGCCTTGTAAGTCCCTTGGCTGTCGGTCTTTCAGTGCTCGATGAACACGATCTGTCCGCGGTCTTTCTCATTCAATCGCTTACACCTGTCTAGATACATCATCCTCAAGTACTAGGCTCCGGCCCTGTTCCATTCCCTTCGTGACGGCCCGGCATCTGGAGTTTCTTACCGTCATCATACCTTTACGCGTTCCCCACTACCAGCAGTCCCTCGAGAACGCTCTCGTTACGCCCATTGGACGCTCGGCAGTTACGGAAGAGCGTTGCATTCAGGACTCGGGCTGCGTGAAGAACGACCGAGGCAATTGTCAATACAGCAGTACGCAGCCTGCACATTTTGCGCTGCTCTTTAATACTATGTTCTCCGGCATGGTCTAGCTAGTCTGACCGTCGTGTATCATAGCACTTGAATTCAAGCATCAGTCAATATTCAAGTCCAGTTCTGTATGTGCGCATCACGAGTTTTCACAATGACCTGGGTCTGTGGCTAAAGGTGCGCCCTACTATCATCAAATCAAATGCTCGTCTATTGTAAGAGGCACAGGTTCCGTGCAGGTTCCCCGGTTCCGTGCCCTTAGAAAATTCCTATTCTTTTCTGATCATGCTCCAAGGCATACCAGCTGTGGCGAGCCTCTTTACGATCGCACCAAGGAATTGTCGAGTTAATTGAGCATACTGCTGTCATGGTCGCTGCGGCTTGGAATAGCTTCGCCTACACAATTGACTTTACTTTAGATGAGTGAGATTCGCAGGTTCTTGAGGCTTAGGAAGAAGCCGTTGACGGAAAGGGGATAGTATAGTCTATTTATACGCGCCCACGTCGGCGTTTCGCTGATGAGGGGCACTCGGCACACTTGTGTGCAGGCAAGCAGGCAGGCAGAGGCAGGCACTCTCAACCATTCATTTTCCCACATTTTCTTACTCCAGAACATGTCACAGAGTCGTCTTCTGTTGGACGACATTAACTCCCTTGATCTAAGCGCTTACCTTCAGATCTATCAATGGGTACTCGTCTACTATCCTTAACTAGCTTCCCCTTGATGACCTGCCCATTGAATGCTGCCCCTCTCCTATGGTCAAGACAACAAAAAGATAGATAGATCATGGGCGCCTGCCTCTGCAGTTCTCATGTTTCGTTGTTTCTCCTTCTTCATTTCTTTCTTGTCATTTTCATCTTCTCTCCATTTCATTGACATTTCCTGCCAAACGTTCATTCTGCGTCATTTTGCATTGCATAGGAGCTGGCTTCATGTCTTGGTGGGGTTCCGCAGTTTTTCCAGGTCAGTTATTTTTCCCCCTAAGCTTTATGTATAGACGCTACACAGCCATGATCTGTCACGCACTCTGCCATTCCCACATATGCACGTCGGACTCCTCAAGCCTCTTGCACTTCGTCACCACCCTTGCTTCTTTACTTCATCTACCACCCTGCCGATCCCCTACGTCTTTCAGTATCATCCCTCCTCGGTAGCTAATATGAATGCAGTTCTTTCACGGCATATCTATGGCCTTTTTCCTAGCCTCCTTTCTTCATTTTCTTCTCATACCATGGACACTGGCTGGCCCAGCCTCTATGGGATCTTTGACACCAACTCTTGCCCAAGTAATACCTCCCTGCGCCCAAGAGTGCCTCGTGTCATTCATTACCAGCAACTTCCCTTCTTCGTCCTGTGGGACACCTCCAGACTCCGACTGTTTATGTATTAGCAGTAGCGCATCCGGCTTGACCATTGGTGAAGGCGGGCTTGAGTGCCTGTACTCCGAATGCCCGGACTATGATTTTGACAATTCGATTGCCCTCCAGGTCTACGAGGTTTGCGCGACCGTTCAAGGAGCCAAACCAAACACACATTCTACACTTACCGCAACTTCAACGACCATCGTATCTGCGACTGGCGGGGTCAGAGCGACTCCAACGAACAGCAACAATTTTTCTTACAATTCTGACTCGGGGTCTGTTTTTCCTGGTGCATCAAGCGCGGCGTTGGGGACCAATACAATAATTGCTACAGCGACAGGATCACCTTCACCTTTTCCTAAGTCCACATCTTCTTTAGACTATGCTCGAACAACAAAGGTTGCGACTGGTGGCGTTGGACTAAATGTTACCCCTACTACAACATCAACCTCTTCTACAAGGTCAGTTGCAGCCGCAACTTCATCTTCGGCCGTAGCGGCAGCGGCAAAGCCTATCCTTACAAAGCCCCAGATCGCAGGCGTTACGGTTGCTGGTGTTGGTGCCGCTGCCATTGCATTTGGCCTTTGTTTCCTTGTTTTTTGCCTTCGGAGAAAGCATCGTAACCGGCACAGTGGTTGGTCTTTTGGTGGTGACAAGATCATAGACAGTCAGGAGACTACGCCTGACATGGCTGCCATTGGTGGTGGAGAGTTTGAAAATCATCCTCAGCCTAGCAGTCCCCCTGCAGTTGTAGCTGCACCTCCACCCCGCAGAGAGCTGAGAATAGTTACTCCCGCCAGCTCTAGCGACGATGGTTGGAATCGATATCAGAGGAGTATGGATCCGGAGGAGGAGATCGCACTTGCTGTACATCCGCCTCCCTCAAAATCATCGAACCATTCCCCCATCGACCCGGTTACCCCAGCAAGCCACCGAACATCCTCACAACTACTCCCCGATAAACCAATCTACAGCTTGTTTCCTCCACCTCTGCGTGTAACTCCACGAAACAGCTCGGCACCTGCAGGCCTCAGACCATCCGGGCCTACCGCTCCACGACAAGCCAATCCGCCCTACGGGAAATACAGCCCTCGATTTCCCAGCAACATGGACACAAGCCAAGCCCACCTCCAACCTGGATCTAGCCGGCAAAGAAGTCTGTCGGATCCATTCTATGATGATTTCAATCGCTCACCACCGCCGAATATATATCCGTATGTGCAAGCGTCTCGACCACGGTCTCCAGGCTCATCTCGCCCAGTCCCCAGAAATTTCCCAGGAGCGTGGACTACACCAATTGACATTGTCCGTAAACCAGTTCCAGCACATCAATCACCGAGTGCCAGAGGACTGCGACCGGCGCCATCAAGGACACAGCAACCGAGTCTCCCAAAGCCTTATCCTCCGCCGCCACCAATCGAACAGCACTACCTGGCAGCGATCGAACGCTCCCACAGCCGCAAGGATCCCCGAAGAAAGCAAAGTAACTCCAGCAGCAAACTCACACGTTTCTCCAACGGGTCAGAGACCAGCTTCGAAGACGCAGACGAAGATGAAGCCCCAGCTGCCCGCAAATTTCTCTCGCCCGTTGCTGAGTCTCCAGCTCTGAGATCCCCTCATCGCAGCGGAGTCACCTACCCCTCAATTCCAATATCAGCTGCCGAGAGCCCAACTCGAACAGCACAAAAGAGAGCTCCAGCTAGACCTGAGCTGCCCACTCGAACTGATTCCCTTCTCTCGAAGAGACTAGGTCCGCAGAAAGCCAGAGAAATTGCAGGCAGGTTGCAGGGGACGCACCCAGGGGTTGATGAGGATGTCAGGGATACGGCCAAATGGAAGATCCTCGTTAGTCCTGGACTCAATCATCTTGAGAGCTCTGGATCGCCACGGTCGGCTAGGGGTAATGGAAGGACACCGCCGATGAATATGTAGCCTTGAGATGGAATGAGATGTAATGACTGCACGAGTATGATTATTGTCTACATACTGCATGGTAGGACGGGTTTCGGTTCGGTCACCAGTGTCTCGAATCACCTGATCAATGATAGTACTGGGCATAGCGGGTATGAGTCTCCTTCGCGTTGTCGTTTTCACTTCTTATGGCACATTATTGCTCGCTCTTTCTTTTCTATTGTCTTGGACTTATACCATGTACGATACTAGCCATCTTTTGTTGTGACAGCGTTTTAGTTGTCTAGAGTCATAGCTCAGTCGAACATCAAACGTCGAATTTTTGATTGCTACTTCATACATAGCGACGTGATGGCCTCATTCCGAATCTCCAAGATTTTTTTTCATTTATGTGCTAGACCAAATGATGGGCGGAGCTGCTAGGACGTCTTCGAACCGATTATGAGAATCTGTCGGAAGGGGTTTTGGAAGACCTGGAGAGTGTCATTGGGGGAATGGTCCAATGGAGATAGAGATTGGGCTCGGGATTGCATGCACATCTTCGAATGCCTCTGAGTGACCGGACATCTGTTTTCATAGCATTACAAAGTAGATGGTTTACTATACCGTCTTTGGATCAATTAGAGTAAAGCCAAGTTGATTTGATGACGGTTACAAACGGCTCGATACTACTCATCCTTTCCGCAACCCTTGTGCTATTCCACCTCTTACTTGAACTCAGTCTCTTCAACCCACTCACGATAATGCCTCCAAAGCCCAAACTCAACGTGCACAACTTCCCCCGACCACCCCTCCTCGAAAAGACACCCCGCCACCTCCAGGTCAAATGGCGGGACCAGACAATCGCTGATACCAAAGACGCGTACTGGGTCCTTGAAACGACACATCCTCCTAGTACACCTTCCGAGTCGACAACTGCGCAAGGTCCCGATTACTGATCTCTCTCAGCCTACTATCTCCCCGTGACGGCCTTCACCCTGCCCCTCCACCCCTCCCCCCACACCTCCTTCTGCGAATGGAAAGGGCGCGCTACGTACTGGAACCTCCAATCCCCCGACGGCGACAAAGAGGTCGTCAGAAACAGAGCCTGGAGTTATGAATCCCCTACGAAGGGGTTCGAGGCGATCAAGGGGTATGTTTCGTTGTATGCCGAGCCCTGGGATTGCTATGTGGATGGGGAGAAAGTGGAGCCGCAGCCGGGGGACTTCTACGGGGGTTGGGTCACGGGTGATATCGAGGGGAGGGTGAAGGGGGGCCCGGGAACGTGGGGTTGGTGAAGGGCTTGGGGTTGGGGTCTGGGTATTCTATTGTGGGTTATCGTAACCTTCATGAGTGTTCGGGAACTAATGCTGCGGACAGCGTGGTAGGGGGGATAGGGTTTTCAATTGCGAACCGGGGCCCTGAGCAAATGGTTCGTTATCTTGTCCTTGCCAGTTTCTCTTGCTAAGTCATCCTCTCCTTGCAGCCTTCGAACTCGAACAAGACATTCCACATTTTTCTTTCATGCTCTTGGTGGTGGTTTTTGGCTCTTTGCCTCCTAATTAAATAGCGACCACCATCCCTTCAGCACTACCCTTCGCATGCCTGTCTTCTGGAGTTGCGGCAATTTGGATTCTCTCTGGTGTATCTCCTATGATGCTTGACACAATTGAGACACAGCCCTTTGATTTATTCAGTAGCCTCTTCCACAGCTTGCTCGGTGAGCTGCTTGATGTCAATGTTGGGACTGCTGCAATGTTTACCGTAGGAGCCCTGCGTGACGTCCCCGTCCCAGTACTCCTGGAATTTCGACAGCCCAGCTGATAAGGCGATAATGCTTGTCTTGTGACACTTTTGGGACAATTGGCCAAAGGCCAGACTTGCTGAGCTGCGCGATGTCATATCCTGTTTTGGTGAGATGGTCGCAAGCCCGATAAGGTATGTCTCCGATTGTGGTTCTTTACGGCAACACACTCATGCTCGAGCAGAGGAGCCATGATGTCCCGGCAAGTCTTGTGAAGCTCAACCAGAATGGCTTCGAGATCTTTTTTTAATGCGGTCTAAACGCCGCGTGGTTAATCGATAATTGCAAGTGATGTCGTCGAACGCAAAGCTGGGAATAAGACACCTACCAAGGAGTCTGGCAGGGAGCATGGTAGTCTGGTTCGTTCTGAAAAGCTGTACGATCCTCCGTTGTATTGAACAGCATAAGGTTCTCTCGAACTGCGCCAAAGATACTCTTCGTTGTGCCTAAAGCTTACGAGATCCAGACCATTTCTGCATGACTTTCAATGCCGTGTGAGGAGCCAGGCCATTTCTGCAACCACGCATGACTCCATTGGTTGAGTGCGCCAACTAGATCATATTTGTCGCAGAGACAGGCTAACTCTCTCAAGAGTGAGAAGTTAATATCAGCGGTGAGGTCCTGTTTAAAATGAAGAAGAGCCTTGCACAGTCAGATCATGGCTTCTGAGTTGTCGTTGGGAAGGGAGATTGACGGAGTATCCGGTGAAGTCGCGTTTACGAGAGCTTGGCCCTCGGCCAAATTTGGGACTCAGCATTCCTGCAAACACGGGTGAAGCCAGGCTCAGCACTTTGGAAGATACTCGAATCGACGACTGGGTCGGTCTTCCATCTTCATCTGTTTCGAGTATCAACAACAGGTCGCCGGCCAGATCAGCATCGTCAAGTGGAAACAAATCCGATGGCGTTCCTGCGGAATGGTCCATGGTGATGGGTGATGGGCGATGGTGAGAAGTTTCCGTTTCCAGAGGCACGGTGGAGTGAATTTTTTGAGTAAGGTGATTGTGTTTGGTGGCTATCCGACTTACCACTGTGCATGCTTAGGGAAGACATCCTTGCCGGGTTTCAATAGACTGGAACGGTCACATGGTTAGATACTCAAGAGTGTTGAGAATTCCTCCATCGGTTTGTTGGATCCGAGAGAAGGAAAGAGAAGGAGGAAGAAGGGTGAATGCAACACAACCGACTTACTCCATCTTCGCCATCAACACAGTCGTGACCCATTGCTCTCGCATTCGCCAAGATCTCTGCTTTGTGACACATGTTTCCGGTGAAGTCAACCTTATAAATATACCAGACAGACATCCTCTCCTCCTTTCCCGCAAACCCATCTGTCATCTCCTCGATATCCACAATCATGGCAGACCCTTCATTGACGCCGGCGCAAGCCACGAAGATCGATGCTGATCCCGCAGGTGACCTGGTGTTGGTCATCGGCTCTGGCGACAATCAGAGATCGATCCGAGCTTCGTCTAAGGTACTCAGCTTAGCCTCGCCTGTCTTGGCTGCGATGTTCAGTCCTCGTCGTTTCTTGGAGGGTACATCTCTGTCCTCTTCAAACCCTCCAGAGATTTATCTTCCAGAGGATGATCCCGAGGCAGTCACCATGTTTTGTCACATCGTTCACTTCCGAGAATATCATGGCAAGCAACCCGGTCCTTCGTTCAATCAGCTCAGGGATATGGCATTTTTTTGCGACAAGTATGACGCTGGGTTAGCGTTCAATCCCTGGAGCGAGCTATGGTTGCGTGCCCGCTTAGGCTCCGAAACACCTGGAGGCTACGGAACCTTGCTGGCCCTCGCGTATGCTTTCGATAACCAAGAGAATTTCTGGACCACCTCTCGTAACATGATACAGTACGACACGGTCGAGCGTTCGCGTGATACAATAGATGAGCTTTTTACATTGCTTCCTCAGGGCTTGTACGGTAAGCTGGCTGCCGACCCCTAAGTTGGCAAAACCCAGACCTGTTCAGTACTAACTGTCCTTCTTTCTATAAAGCATCAATCGACCAAGATCGCAAGTCTGGTCTACTTGACCTTTCTTCAACGGTGGAACACATCATGGCTCGATTCTTTCAGGACAGCCCTAGAAAATTATCGTCCCAGATCATTCAGGTTAGAGCCGGTTATGTCTTCAAAGAACTATATCGGCTCAATATTTGGCCAATCTCAACTCGTGTCCAAACAAGCAACTTGGACCGTATCCAGAGAGCAATTACCAATTTCAATGAGCAGGAAAACGCCGCCTTCAAACAGGAGTTGATAACTGTAGTAGACAGGGCGGTGGACGCGCAGAAAGGTCTTTGCCTCTGGTGTGTACGAAAAGGAAACATCCACTCGCACCAAGGCAATTGCCATGCCCGTCTTCGATATCTTTGTACTGGCTAGCTGCCACTTGAAAAACAGCAGCAATGGCAACATTCCGATAGCAGCTTGCGTTCTTGGGGCAAGCAGCAAGGGGTTGACCGGGAAGCATTTCTACAGCGGTCCAGGTATTTATTGACATTGTGCGAGCCCACCACTCGAATTCTTTCAAGCGGGTCAGCAATTAGCGGACTGACTCAAAATATGAAAGGTCCTGCTAAGGAGTGTTCATTAAAGCAATATACATACTTAAGTTGTCGACCTTGTTCATTGAAGATACCGGTCTCTGTACAGAAGTGCTAAGGTTCTTTCTTAACATCTCATCCCGCAGATTTTTCTTCTTTCGCGCCCACTGGAAGACGCCGGTAGTCGGACAGTACCACAATCGTCATGGGGAACACACCAAACGGGTAATCCGGAGGGTTTGTCAAGCTGCAACCATCCTCGCAATTGGGTGGTGCAATGTGTTGTAGGGCATGAGGACAAACAGCTGTTTCGAGCCGACTTGAAACGCCCACGGTGGTGTGGATATGACTGAGGGACTCTCCTTGGTCGTAATAGCTAGTATGGTTGATATTCGGTTCAAGAAGAAGTACAGTGAGCCTTGGGAAAATCGGAGATGTCAGACAGGAATCGGGGCGGTCGCTGGTAGGTGTCACGCTGGAGTGATAAGATATTAGGGCAGTTTTGAGATGTTGAAGATGGGGAATTGTTGAAGATGTAAGTGAAAGGACAGAACAGATTCAGTATAATGGCTTGTGAAGGCATTCAATCATAGCATAATTGCTTCATCAGGATGAAGCCCTCCAGACTTAAGGAATGCTCCGGGATAGAGGCCAAAGCTTCCGATTAAAATCCGGGATAGAGGCAGGCAAAAGCGGAGGCTCCCAATTATATAAGTTTTCAACCCAATTGGTCAATGGTTTAGTCCTGCCAACGTACGACTTAATCTCGGTACCTCGTGGCCAGTCAACTCCACTACATATGCCATCCGATCATCACTACCTTTTGTATCACGAACATCAGCCTCGTCACACCCAACGAAAAAGCTGATACTCCACGCAGCTCCATATTTCCACCTCAGACCATCAGTCTCTCCACTTTGTCTTTCAACGATTGTATCTGACCCATGAGGTCGCTAGCCTCGTTCGTGGTGATGCCTACTTCTCCGTCAACTTCCCGCAATTCCAGCGTTCTGATCAAAGAGGTAACATCTCATACTTGCGCTGATCACGGCCCTCGAGACTCCTATAGATAGTTCAGAGTCAGCAGTCCTCCTTCAAGGCAAATCTCGAGCAATGAGACAGCTCAAAGGAGCAGTCGAAAAGCAGTCTGAAATGGAAGGATATGCTTCAAGAATTTACATACCACAAGCCCTTCCCAACTAGAAAATGTCCAAGTCAGCATTTTTTTCTCAAAGGACTGCTTCAAGATGCACACTTACGGCAGTCTTAGAAGGCACGTATACATACGGGACCTTTTGTAGATTAGTATCTACTAGCTGTTCGTTTAAGGACAGTCACTTGCATTTTTATCTTCACCTATCGGCTGGTCAGTGCATGGCAACAAAGCACCTCACCACGATTACTTACACAACAGCGGTAGATGTAGCAAGATAGCGAGTGGAGCAGTATCTGCAGCGAGAACCTATTTTCTTTGGTGTTAGGCGCCATCCTCTGATGTCTGTACATGGTGTGACAAACAATAATTTCTGATGTGCCTCTGTTCAAAGTCTTTGTAGCCTCATTGGCTCTGCGTGTTGGATATTGTCAACGTGTTACTCTTGAAGCGTAAAAGGGTAAAGTATAGATACCCTTTCTTGAGTTGGCCTAGACGATTTTCGAGTTAGCCTCTTTGCTGTACGGAACGGCATAGAATGCACAACACAGCTTTCACGAGATATAAGACTGCCAAAATATCCTCCGACTCGGTGTATGCTTCTCGAGGTGAGGACCACTCGGAGAAGGAAGCATACTCACGGTAATGCGAAGCCTGCTGCACCAGATCCAATATTTCCTGCGCGAGCGACGACCCTGCTAACTGGAAACCCAGTATTCAGTATCAACTATTTCAATGGTGGGGAGTGTTTTGGGACGGGAATGAAGGTACCGGCCAAGCTGCACAAGCATTAGCAAATATAGTGAACGTGTAGAAGAGGAGGGCATACCAGCTGACTGGTCCGTCATTGCGAGAGCTCCAGCTGTCCGTAGTTTGCTGTTTGAGAAGGTTGGAAGAGGGTTAGACAGTAGTAGTGGTATGCGCCGGGGGTTTTGAATAAGATGCACAGGGTTTGCTGTTCGAAAAGATAGGAAGAGGCCTAGACAGTAACGGTGGTATGTGCCGGAGTTCTGAGTAAGATGCAAAGGGTTCACTGCCGTGGCTCGCCCTTTGCACTGTTCTTAAAAATGTAAAAACTCTTGACTTCGTGAAGCTCGAATTCTCGGCTCCAATCTGATCGGCGCTAAGATCGTCTAGCATCACGTGACTTGATATTAGCTCAGACCGAGGGACGGCGTCAACGTCTTCAATCTTTAGATTGTCACCACATCAATCGCCAACCATCCACCGTTCATCACAGTCGCTCGACTAATCTGTCCATACTCGCCTTCTTCTTGCGCCCAAGGAACCTCCCCACAAAACTCTCAAGATGTCTTCAGATCTTTGGTAAGTCGTGGACCTCATCCCTTTTTCTGCCTATCTGTCCGTGGGGCGACCAGCTCTATGGAGCTTGCACCCCTCCTACGACCCCATGCCTGCAGATGTATGCTTTTGAAACCATTGGGGCTGACACACACATCCCAACAGTCCCGTATATGCTGTTAGTACTCTGTCCGACCCTCAAGCCAGCCAAGCCCGGGCTCTGTTGGGATTCCTTGCCATCCATGTAAGGTCGAAGACGGCGAAAGCTAACATCTCACAACAGCCCTTTTTCGGTGCGATGGGATGCACCTCCGCCATCGTCTTCACCTGCTTTGGCGCTGCCTACGGAACGGCTAAATCCGGTGTCGGTATCTCAGCAATGGGTGTTCTACGACCTGATCTGATTGTCAAGAGTACGCCTCTTCCAAGAACAATGGCTTGATTGAATACACATCAACAGGTTGCTGAATATCATGACAGATATCGTCCCCGTTATCATGGCTGGTATCATCGGTATCTACGGCCTCGTTGTATCCGTCCTCATCTCCGATGGCTTGAAGCAAGAGATGGCCCTTTACACCGGCTTCATCCAATTAGGTGCCGGTCTTAGTGTCGGCTTGGCTGGTCTTGCTGCTGGGTATGCACATTTCTTGCTGCTGCCTTAACTGCCTTCCCTTCCAGTACCGTCGCGCGGAAACATGCTTACTCTGATGCCTAGTTTCGCAATTGGCATCGTTGGTGACGCAGGTGTCCGTGGTACCGCTCAGCAGCCCAGACTCTTCGTCGGCATGATCCTGATCCTCATTTTTGCCGAAGTGTTGGGTCTGTATGGGTTGATCGTTGCCCTACTAATGAACTCCAAGGGCACGCAGGATGTTGTCTGCAAATAGTCAAATTACTAAGGACTCGCCCAGTATGACAATGGAGAACTATGGACACCGATTCGGCCCTCGATCACCTTCACCACTATGTATGAAAACAAGGAGAGGATTGCGGTAGTAGCGGGAGGGAAAGGGGAAGTGGAAGTGGAAGTGGAATACGTCTTTTTGGCGTTGTTTGTGCATTAGATTGATGCGGTAGATAAGGGGCAAGAAAGCTGGCTCTTTTAGTAAAATACCAGTCTTTTCGCTTGGGACGTGATACATGTACTAGTACACCTCCCTCCTCAAATTGGTAGCACGTCTAGGGTACAGCTTCCGGGTACTGTCTCCGGGCACACGTATCTTGCAACCTACAGAGTGCGTCACTCGTGAACACGATCCTCTGTCCCTTTGGGGGCCCCTTCCTGTACACACTCGCTCCTGCACTCTTTCGGTGCGCTGGCTCTTTAAACAGACTAATCCTCCGGGGATTAACGGTAAAGTGAAGTGAGCAAAGGGGTAGATTATTCGTGGTTACCGGAAAGTGCCCCTAAAGATACAATTGAAGTGCGCCGGGTCTGGCACCCATCGTGGCCGAAAGATTTGGGGGGTGTACATGTATCACGTCCCTCTCGCTTGCACTCTTCCGCCATTCTAAGCCTTCTCGAGCAGGAAGATTGCTGTTTCCACCCGGAAGCATGACTACCGATCTCTATCCATTCTGCGAGAAAGTGACAGTAGCTGGTCAGGTTGACTTAGACACCAGAGCTCCTAGGTCGCGGCATGAAAGAGTCGCTCAACTCCCGCCAAATACCAGCTCCCTATGAAGGAACACAATAAATGCCGAAATCAATAAGAAAGTCGTATCAAGCCATTCTGTAGCTGCGCGGGAAAGCACCACGCGATCCTCTTTACCTCTATGACGAGCATTACATAGTGCCATTCCATGCCACGCAAGTCAACGACCAATCCAAGCGCTCATGTCCTATCCAACCTCCTCCTCAGATTCTTCGTCCTCTTCATTAATTTCTTATATTTATGCTTCTTCATCTTCAACTTCCGTTGCCTCTTCACGCTGATCACCTGCCATATTTCGCCATCACCTAACCTATCCATGTACTGTAACTGCCTTTCCCGCATCCGTCCCAGGAATGGCTGGCCGCGAGGTGCAGGTGGCAAATATACCTCTTTCTCCCTTTCTCCTGCAGAAGAGCTCGGGCCTTCGACGATAGGGGTGGTGTGCGACTCGTAGGACTTACGGCCGCTACGGTACGTGTTTTCTTGTATAGTGAGGGTCGTGGTGAAGGTTTTTTGCGTGACGACTGACTCGGATTGGAGTTCGGCTTGCTCAGAAGTCTTCCGTGGGGCTCCTTCGGGGGAGAGCAGAGTCCATCGGAACGGGGGGGTAGTGGTCTCATGTAGGGCCGGAAGTTCTTGACAAGCTCTTGCAGGTTAAGGTGAAAGGTTTTAGCTGGTAAGTCGAGATGGTGAGGAGAGGGGTGAGCGTTGGAGTGTGAGGCCTGAGTGACAGCAGCACGGAGATCGACTTCTTCTTTTGTCATTGGCTGGGAGTTCTGGTTCTGGGTGCTCGAGGCAGCATTCTCGAGTGTATTGACGGCGGATGAGAGGGTGTAGATAACATTGGTCGGTTTGTGCTTCGGGATCGGTTTTGGGTCAAAGATCGAAGAAAAGGCAGCAGCAGAAGACTCTGGCGGTATAGGCATTGTGACGGATATGGGCCTGTGTAATGAGAAGAAGTTTGACATGTGAACATCTAGGCCCTTGTTAGCCAGGCGCTTATCAACCGCAAAGGAAGGGAAGTCATACCAACGGCATGCAAGTGGTTCGTCGTGGGCACACTTGGCAGATTGAATGTCAACTCATTACTGCTCTTCCCCGCCGTGTCTTGGATGCTGTCTTTCGACTTCCGTTTGCTGATACGGGTGTTGGGGCGTTTCTCTGTGCCTTCCTTGACCGCGGCTTTAGCATCTTTGCTGGGGGCTTCAGAGGGAGTAGTGATGGCCCGGGTCTCATCTTTGGGCGCACTTGGGGTCTTCGAGGATGAGTGTTTGCGCTGGTGGTCGTGTGCTGGTAATCGATTTGGTGGGCTTGCTATCAGGGTTTGGGATGTTCTGGAAAGGGCGGAGCATGATAGGCATGTCCAGGTACTTCGGCGAACGAACTCGCTCGAGTAAAGCGACAGCATATCGATGCGTTCACAGTAAAGCAGAAAGATCTTCAGTCATGCCTCTTTCGGTGTAATGTGGCATAAAAAATATGGCATAAAGAGATTTATGGCAGAGACCGTTTTGCGGTGCGATCTACGGTGGTCATGTCAAACCAAGGCGAATCTCGGCAGATTCTAGCCCTTACATCATCTACTCGCGATGTTTGTCTACGAGGAATAGACATTTTTGAGACTCTTTGATACACTTCATGTACATACCTGCCGCTCTACCTCTCTTAGATACCCGCGTTCAGCCATGTTCCAAACCCAAAATATCTACAAAGAAGTAGACATCCTGTGCAAACCCTGAACCCTCTTCTCTCGTCTAAATCAAAAACAGTATGCGTAGAAGGAATTGGAACATGACAACGAGATTAGAGTACGCCTAAAAAGCGCCGGAGGGTATGGCATCGTAAGGGAGATGTTTCGAGTGTTTAGTCGTAAGCCATCAGTCTTATCCAGACGTCGTCCGTCATCATAGGATCAGTGTAGTGAGGTTGCTTTGTATTATAGTATCCTGCACACTTTGCATCGTAAATTTCAGCAGATTGGTGTCTGTGGCATTGGTGAAGTGGACGTATATCTCCCGGTCCTCTGTGCGGTTGAGAGCTTTGAATTTATTTGCAAAGTACTCAGAGGCGGCCTTGTCGTCATTGGACGCTCCTGTATAATCCGGAAAGTAGTCGCTGACGGGTTTTTCAGCGATCTTCTCCTTGAATAGGTCGGTTTTGTTGAGGAAAAGGATGATTGAGGAGCTCTTGAACCAAGTCAGGCTCATTATAGACTCAAAGAGAAGCAATGCTTCCTGCATTTGGTTCTGCGAAATAAGGCAGAGTCAGTCAGTATATTTTAAGGAAAACAGATGCTTCCGAGGCAATCACATACGGCGGTTTTGTCTTCCACCAGACATTGGTCGTAGCCGCTTAGCGCAGCGACAAACATGAGACAGTGGACTCCCTCGAAGCAGTGGACCCACTTCTTACGCTCCGATCGCTGGCCTCCAACATCAAACATGTGGTAATTGAGCTGTCCAAGTTCGAAGAGGGTTTCAGTAATTCCAGTTGTGCGGAGACGAGAGCGTAGGACATCTTGATCACTCGGCAGGTAGTCTCTAGCGAATAGTCGATCTATGTTGGAGTAATAGCTAGGATTTGTCAGCAGTTCAAAATAAAGAGGCACTGGAACTTTAACTTACTATTGTATATTATCGTGGAGTGCATATTCATTGCCACGTCTTATGCATTTTTGAACAGCCTCATCCTCCCACAAGCCCTTCATAGCCATTTGGCATTGCGTTGGAAACGTATCGTCAGGACCGATATCAGCGGCAGACGCTATGATCCGCTCGTACTCCTGGTCCAATATTAGCATAGAGACATACGTGGAGACTATCATTATGTAAGTACCTGTGATTTTTCCTTCTTATACTCCAAGCCAAGCTCCCGCATCTCTTCTGCAATGATCTTGAATGCGACTATCATGTTTGAGAATATGACTTGACGCACTTCCTTTCGCTCATCCAGACGAAAACCTTCAGAGTATATGATCCGCATTTGCTTCAAAATTGTTGACTTTCCAGACTCGCCAGCTCCCAGAAGTAAGATTTTGACTTGTCTTGCTTGCGTTTTCTTGTCTTTCCGAATCATCTTTTCGATCTCCATGTTCTTTTTCCTGTCTTCACTCGTTGAACGGGCGAGGACATTGCCTCCAGACTTGGGAAAGCACATGTTGAAAACCATGGAGCCAAGTTTGGTCTCAATGGTTGAATCGGCGTTTCGTGAGGACGACAAGGTTTCCTAGCTGAGGGAGAATCAGCATTAGCCAGAAGTAGATATTGTCGAGGCTAGGAATAATCGCAACAAAGAATTTGACTCGCAGGGCCTGCTTTCAGTTCCATTCGTGTGGGCCGTACCTTTACTAATGCTGCAGTATATAGTTCTTGCGCAAAGCTGAGGATCGATACCCACCTAGTCGATGTACGATGTCGGGGCAGGACGCTCTATGGCTTTCGAGCCAGGCAGCGAAGGTAGTATGGTAGACTGCAGAAATGAAGGGAGCGTTTCTCTATAGCACACGTATGACATGAGCAGGCGGCTCTGACGTTTGACTCGTATCTGTCGATGACTGCCATCGAAACTCTCCTCTGCAGGGTGTCATTGCGCATGTGGCCCCCACATGACCTAGATGATACCGCGTCTGCAATAAAAAGGATTCAGGTACGTACAAGGCGTAGTCCAATGGAAAACGATATTTTGACGATGCTGGCAGCAGCTGTCCGTGCGCTCCACGATCTGAATCTGTCCTTTCTCTTGACTGATTTGCTGGTTCGCTAGGTATATAGTCTCCCTCCGGCCTCTTTTGAATGTCTGTTAAGGGCGTGGATCCGATGTGGTCCGAGTAATGAAACGTCTAGGTACTGGAAGCAATTGCGACGTCGATAGTCGCTTACCGAACTGTTACGACTCGGCCGAGGGTTGGAATGGGAGCAAATGAGAAATTGGTGGTAGGTCAGATGATGTTCAAGAAATCAAGTCTTCTGGGCCAGGCTCCTGCTTTCCTTTTGCATGGCGATGAGTATGAAAGGAAGACCTAGAGGATGACTGTTCAGCCGATTGAAGCCATTTGCCCGCAGATGGTGATGTTATTGGGAGGTGGTGTGGCAGTGTGGTATGTAGTGTGGTAGGAGCCTGACGTGCAGTGAGCCGTCTGTGTTGCTAGTGGACGGCTTCGCTTTGGTGCAGTCAGCTAGCTCTTGCTTTGTGTTTCAGGCTTCTTTCGTCTAACAAAAGATCCCTGTCAATTCCGGCACTGCGACGGCGGGTCTTCCCTTTGGGTAAAGCGCGCTTCAAATCCAAAATCTTCTTTTTCAGCTTTACTCCCTCACTCACTCCCTCACTCTTTCTTATACTAATTTCAGATTTCTACGGTACTATGCCCTTTATATTCAATCTTGCACTATTGCTCTGCTCCATCATGAGGACTGGATCAAGGCCCAACGCTGGGTTTTCACCTCGCCAATGCCATGGCAGATCATCAGGGTTGATCCTTTCCCCCGCTTCCTTCCTCTCTCTCATGAATCGGGCGTCAACAGAGTTCGCAAGCAGAAGTCCTTCGAACTATGCTGAGCCCCCGGCGTACCAGAGATTGCTTCACTAGGTATGTCATTCAAAAGGCGGCTGTGCATGTCATTGCAAAGCTAAGAGAAAACCTTGTCGATTATGATATCTGCTCTGCGCTCCAAACACTGCATGTTGATTAGGTGCCTTTTTACTCCTGCTACCACTTTACAGTTCGTCAAGTGACTGACCTGAGATTCTGACATTGAATATTGCGGCTGCGGCTTTCGTCCCCTTCGTTTTACGTCCATTTATTTTACGTGAATTACTCCCAAGTCTTGCAATCTTTCTCGCAGCACAACATTGCTTATCACTGCCAGCAAGTATAGTAATGCTAGTTTTGGTTACTAGACCGTTTCTGGAAAATAAGGCGGCAAAAAGCGGCGTTGACTTGTCTGCTGAGATGAAGTGCGCGATGATCGCAGAAAACCCTCCTTAAAAAGAATGGAATGTACCTCAACATCGTGAAGCCCAAGGGAAGAAAGGATCGATGTTATAAAAGCAGCACGAATAACGGCAGGACTAAAACTAGACGTGCCGCGAAAACTATCATTTTCGATCATCTAAGCCCCATGCCGCCTGTGTTGGCAATGCCATTTCAGGACTCGTGGACACTGGACACTACAGCGGGAACATGCTCGGCTCCCATTACAGACCTACCAAAACCGGAACTTGGAGCTCCAGGACAGATCATTCCGATGCATTGAGTACACTCGAGACGCACCGCTATTCCGTCTATTTGATTTCAAGTTCCAATTGCCATCCGCGCTTGGATTTGATACCTCTATTCGTCCACCAAATAACGTACGCTCACGTGTGTTTCAGATCTCGAGAATGAAATAGGTGTTTAGATCTGGATGTGACAAATTACTCGCCGCTCGCGTGGCTTCGTCGTTACTCACTTTTTCTTTGTTTCAGGACTTGATCAGCACCATGGCCCTAGCCATGTTGCACCACTAGCCTTTCGATGGATCATGACGATCCAATCTCATCTACGCAGACAACCAAGAGTAGCAGGCTTTTTGGTAAGCTTCTTGCGGGGCCTGTAACATTTACTTGTACCCTCACCAGCTTTTTCGCAGAGTGAGTGTGTCTCCCCACGGACTTTCCAGAACGAATCGTGGATGTTATTCGGCTCGTCCGACGAGCCACCATTCTTGGCTGGTCTGGGCTTTTCAACTCCTCCGACAAGGCAATCTGATCGAAATTTGAAACTACGCTTCCCACGTTAGTACTGTGGTTGGAGTCTCTTTGACAGTGTGAGGCTTCCAACAGCCTTTGAAGCACCGCCCTTGGTAGTGATTGTGCAATCTCCTGGCCACCACCCTGTGTCTCCCAAAACAAGTTACAAAGGGACAGTACCTGTTTGTCATCAGGCTTCCTTTCAGTTTGGCCTACAAAGTGGCAATGCTTATCTCAGAGCCTGAGCTGCTCAGCATTCAAATCTTTATCCGCCAAGAACTTGCAATCCTTGGTTCCACCCTACCGGGATCATCCGGTGCACATAGTCGATTCTTGTGCTTCCACACTCTGAGAGAGCAAGATCATGGTTCAAGGTACTCGTACTTAAGTAGCAGGTTCCACGACGACTTATAGGTCGAATAACACCTTCCGGATCAGAAGCTTTTACCGCTTTCAGATAGATAGTCGACATGGTAGAATGGTGGAATGGTGGAATGGTGATGGTATGCGGCAAAAACTCCTTCATAAAAGCAATGCACTTATTAGATGTGTGAAACAATCTTCACCGCAATTGTTTGTCATACTCATGACCACTGGTAGCACCAAAGGTAGGGGTGGGGAAAGATTTACTTTTTTTTTGACAGGGGTGATGCCAAGGATCGCTTGCGGGGGCGCTAGCTAGGCGGGGTGCGGGCGCATGATTTGGTAAGGTAAACTGTAAAGTAAGGTAATTCGAGTAAAGTACCCTTACTTTAATTATAAGTGTGCAGGGCAGTGTGCAGCGAGTATGTAGTATGTAAGAAATTGGCTGCTGACGAGAACACCCTGCAGGGCGCTAGAGGGTCGAGTTAAAAAAACGTGCCTCGCGTGCCTCGACCGAAATTTGGATGATCCGACGTATCACGTCTCTTCCTCACCCACATCACATTGGGGGAAAATAAAAAGTAAGCCACCAAAGAGCCTTCCATTTCCTTCTTCGGCAACCATTTCACCATTTCACACGTGGCAACCCTAAGAATGGCTGTGGGGGCTTGCTTCTCTTTGCGGTATATGCTCGCACAGATCGTGGGTAGCTTGACCTCCCTTCTCGTTGGAGGATGCCGAAAGTCGGTGTAGCTGTCGACAGGCTGTGTTGGTCTGCGTCTATATAGCTATCACTTTATTAAACCATCGCTGTCGTCTGATTTATTTCGCTCATTGCTCCCAAAATCTTCCTTCAAACATCTACCATCCTCTTCTTATTCTCGCTCTTCTCTCTTCTTCTTCTTCTTCTTCCTCCACTACACTACCTTGGCCTGACGTTGCCTGACTGCCTGCCATCATCTATCTCTTATATTCCTCGATACTTGACTGCTTGCCCTTTATCCCACATGGATCAGATGTACATGACCCCTACCAGCGACTATTGCGCGTCGCCAATGTCCTTCCCAAATGTTCCTGAGCTGCTGTCTTGCTCATTCGATGACGTCTCAACAGATCCAAGCCCCAGCCCTCCGATGGTGAGTCCGCGAAACACTTTGCTCCACTAACCTCGAGTACTGACCAAACTATTTTCAGATGTATGGTAGCCTCAACAACCGATACCACACATACCCAAGTCCAACATCCTATCCTCAATACGTGGACTCTCAACCACAAGTCGTCAACTCCATCGAATTCACAGACCTCACCCAGCCTCAATTGGAAGATCGACGAAGAAGGCGATCGAACACGCAACAGGATAAAGAGAGCGTCTCGAATATGCGCATCGTAAGTGCAGCCAAACTCCGGTAACGCCGCTCGCCTCGGCTAATCCTTAACAGCGTCGCCGCGCCCAAAATCGAGCCTCTCAGCGCGCCTTCCGCGAACGCAAAGAGAAGCACGTTCAGCACCTCGAACACGAACTTGAGGAGCTCGAGGCAAAGCACCAGAACCTTTCAAGATCTTACACCGATCTTGACAGCACACACGCGAAATTGAAAATGGAGGTCAAGCAGCTACGGAGCGAGCTGGAGTCGGTCAAGTCGTCGCGAGAAGGCTCTGTCAACGAGAATCCACAGTCCAACAGCAACTTCTTCGATCCCTTCTCCTCCGACGGTAATTTTTACGGCTCAGGGACAGAAGTGCGGTTCTGATCATATCTTCTACCTCCTTCTCTCTCGGCCTTGCTCTACGAAGATTGGGCTGTTGGATTTGGCGTGTGAAGGGACTCGCTGTCAAATTTTTGGGTTACCGTGTCTTGCACTTTAGCGCCGATATCGCAGTGTGGTGGCGGCAGCGAAAGGCTGTCACACGCAAAGAACAGGGAAGCTGGGCGCTGGGGCGTTTGCAATCGTTGCCTGTGCCGTTTAATGAACTGTTTTCTAAAAAGCCTTTGGCCAACCTTTTGCTCTTGTAACTGTACAATGATACGATCAATGGAAGATAAGATGCAACCTTATCCGAGTGGGATGCATGCGGTACTATGTACCACGTACCATGTACTATGTATATCGTAAAGTATCTGCAAGGTCTCGCGTTGTTCGTTGCCCTGCAGATGCCATTTGAATCCCGCAATCTGCAATCCTGTCGCTACTGACAGTGACCATAAGGCTAGACGGGCGCCCCGCCGACGTAGAAATTACCCACACACACACACACACACACTGACAGTGACCGCTCCCAACCTTAAACCCCCACAAACCGCTTATTCTCCTTTAGCGAATGCGAGCCTTTTGTTTCTCTTCAGCCTTGTTCCCTCGGTCATTCGAGACATCTTTATGTCCGAGCGCACATTCGCTCCCCTCCAGGCTCCGACCGAGTCGATTCACTGAGGAGGTCCTGCATGGAGTCTAGTATCGCCACCACATTTTTCCTTCTCACTTATCAGTAAGCACATACGTCGGCACACGTGGAGAGAAGCCTGCTGCGTAGGAGGCGTTCTTCGCCGAAGAACGCCTCCCTCTACTATTATTAATATTACAACTCACGGACGGCCCGCCTGGGCTGGGGTACACTGTGTTGTTTTGTTTTGGTCTTCCCGCTAAAAGTTGCGAAGGTCTGAAGCGCGAACTGGTTTCCTCATGTTGGGGGTTGGCGGGGGTGTCAAGGAGGGGTCCACTGCCTTCTGAGTTGTACGGTCTTGCATGCGCCGGGTGACGTGCTTTCTTGAAGAAAGTCCGGAGAGTTCGTAAGAGCGGTCTGGAACCACCAACCACAGCGAACCATGCAGACGTTTGACTGCATATCTCCAGCCTCCTTCTATTATTTTGACTTTGATAGCAAATGCCATATCGAGTATCTGTACCCTTCGCAACGCTCCCGAGGTTCTTGCATTGTCCCAAGACAAAACTATTGATACCAAGGCCTCCACCGCCTTTTCTTTTTTTTTTCCACCAATGTGATCAAACTCTCCCGATGCAAGCTGTTGAATGACCACAATCTTTTCGACTATCTCCAGCCCTACGACAATCTTGAATTATTACTGTTCCACGTCACATGTTATATTCGAACAAGAGCGGAATGACACCGCTGAAGCACAACTTTTGAAGAGAACTCAAGCGAAACAAAGATCATATTGCAGGCTGACGGACGCCGATTGGCTTTGTACTTTGGAGGTGGGGAGTTCGAATCACGCAAATGCCACAGGTGGAACACCAAGTGGAGATAACAGATTTTGAATTGGGCTCACCTGTTCGGGATGAGACAGTCTTACCCTCCGGTAACCGGGCGAGCCCAGATTTCGGACAAAGTCAATGGTAACCTGTTCATCTTCTGGGGAGACAGAGCATGGTGGACTGCCCTTGAGTTCAGGCTACTGAGTACTGTCGACGTTACCGAGAAGCAGAATTGGACATGAACACTTGATCTCGCAGCAAGAGATCCCGCATCATCATTTTGCATCATTAGATTTCTAGTAAGGTCCGTGAAGATGATATTTAGAGATTAGACCATCTGCTGGGTAGATGGGCAAGGAGAGGTAGCGGCCAGCTCCGAGATCAACCTGTACATGGTGTTGGCTGCTAATAGGTCTCGTGGGATCCTATTCTGTTTAGTTCGATCTTGGTAGATGCTCGTTCAAGGTATTTCAGCTACTGACGATAAATAATCCAACTCCCCGCGTGTCCATACAGCATATACTCCCAAGTCTTCGCACTTCTTGAGGCCGAAATCCTCGGACATCTGACTACGGCTTCTCGAGAAATTATAACTATGCATGTACGAGTAGTGGCATATACAGAGGTGCACCGCATCGAAACCCGTACGACTTAGATCCTTCTAAGTTATGACGGTTATACAGATATCTTCGAATATCATTATATATAGTATTCGAAGGTCGAGGCTTTTGATGAATTAGTCGAATGGATCTATTCCTCTTTTGAGTATATATACTATCTATCCCCGGCTGAGAGAAACTTGTACGTTTACGGAGCGCTATACGAGGGTTCACTTTCCTTCTTCCATTCCTAGCCGAGAACAAAATAAAGATAACGCTGGAATGGGAGAGGTAACCGCATTGAGTAGAAACGAGGTAGTAGAAACCCAATGCTGCCAACGTTGATTGAAGATGTCAATTCCTTAATCATTTCGGTAGAAGGTGCGGAGACAGACTTAGCCAATCCAAGGCGAAGAAGTTGTATGATGTTTGGAATTGAAACACCTCGAATGCCAATTTCCAACCCTCGTATGTTCTTCTTCCCGTCGACGACGTACCCCTATTGAATTCGAACCTACGCTGCAGCTGTATCGAGCACAGCAGCAGTAGCAGTGCATATCAAAACACCGCTGTCGGGCTTTCCTGTGCTCCCGTCCTCGCTTTCCCGCCTTTGACTGCATAGAATCACGATCACGTGCAAGATGCAATGATGAATAATCTGCTTCCGGGTGCTCACAGGCTTGTCCTCAGTTTGTTCGGTGCGCCGTTCAAAGGGTTTTGTTACGCTGTTCGCGGAACACCCTGGGCGACATAAGGTATCGAGCTTGTCTCTGGGGAAAACCCCAGAAGAATGGGAGCGTGCTTGCGATGCAGAGTTGATACGAGCCTATCTAAAACGTGGCTGCCTTCGAATACTTCTTCCTGCTGTCACCAGTATTCGACCTCTCCGGCTGCTCCCTGTTGCCAAGCCGACACCAAGACTTCCAAGACTTCCAAGACTTCGCTGCTTGGCTCCAAGACCGCCATCTTAAAAATAAATCTCCCCTCAATGCCTGCCTTCTCTTCTCTACCAAGACCAGCCAAGGACTCTATTCCCAACATGACGCTGCCTCGTCCCCCGTCTTATCCTTTCTTTCCGACCTCGCTGCCCTTCTACCCTTGGCCCTCCTCTTCTTTGGCCTTTCTTGTGTAATACTCTCGTCATGCTTGAAAGCGTTGTGAAGCTTCACGAGATATCCTCTGTCCAACCGTCTACTACTGCTGGTGACCAAGCCATGTCCAGGCTAGTCGCCGAATGTGGACCTCTGAGACCACCTGCAGCAACATATCTAGTCCGTGGGGAAATCGAGTCCCGAGACACTTCTGCTCCAATCAGAATTAACGACTCAACCAACGCACGACCTGGCTCTCACGATCCAGAAAAAGAGCGGATTTCAACGGCATACACGCCCTTCCCGTGGTTCATCCTACCAGCACTCAAGGGTCATCTGTGCTGATGACGGGGATGACGGGGATGACAACGAGTCCAAAGAGCACGCATTTTGGATATTAGTAGGCAATCTTACCTCTAGTGAGATCTCCTCTCACTGACATGTCCGCGATCAACAGATCTACCTCTCCGCCTTGTCGCCTCTTCTTGCACTCTCAATAGCACCTTACACCCTCCTCATGGGCACGCTACTTCTGCTGCTCTTTCCACTGTGCTTCTGCTTGAAGCAGATACCTGTCTGCGCACACTGCCGTCATTTCCTTTCGCCGCTACTCGTCCTCCAGCTCAAGCTCGTATACTCTTCCTGCGACAGAGATGACACTGTCCATTCCGAGACAAGCGGTATTATGGTGCTTGTCCTTGTCTCCATGCTCTCTCCTCTGTATGCCATGGCTATAGCTGTAGCGGCTTGGGTCGCTGGTGTTTTCTGGTTCTACACTGCTATGTTGGGAAATCCAGACGGGAGAGAAGACAGAGATGATGGAAGAGAGACAGTTCTAGCAGTGAGAGGATGGTGGGAAAGGTGGTTAATCCAATGCTTGGAGCCAAAGCGAAGTTCCACATTGCGGGATGGTGGACCAGAAAGTGGCTGTTGAGAGCCAACGCCACTGAACGATTGAGTTTTGTCTGCTGCGAGGATCTAGAGCCAGCGTGAAAACAGGGGTCGAGGTCGTAGGCAAGGAGAGTTGATGCGCTGTGTTACAGCTGGGAAATCGTGATATATACGTGAGGGGCCACGCGGCGCGAATATATGAACGGTCGTCTGATTGAAGGGATCTCGAGTCACGATCACACAAGATGAACGGGCAAATCTAGTTAACGAAGGCCCTTTGGGAGGAGGAGAGCTAGCTACTACTCTATGCGTTAAGGGAGACGGTAACAGCGCAGGTGTCATGTCGATTGTCGCTTCCCCTCTGATCCTCTATATATAAAAACCCGAGGGATGTAGGAACTGTTCCAAGACGTTTTTTTTCCTGCGAGGTCGACAGCGGTTGAATACGTTCGAGGATTGTTGATCGTAAACATAACGCGGGGAGGTCTTATGTTCGATGATGATACTCCATATAGCTAGCTATGGAACTGCTCTGGGCTTTGATGCCTGCCTGTCACGCAGTATAACTGACATCATCTCTTCATCTCATCATCATCATCATCATCATGGGATCATGGGAAAGAAGCATAAAGAAGCTCAGATAGTTCATGTTGTAATTACAGAGATTCAAGGCACACTCTCGACCGCTCAAAATTGGCCCCATCCTCCCACCTGCCTCTCCGCCCTTGGACCCAGCAAGCTTCGCTCGGTTCAATACCATATACCTCCAGAACCCCGCTCGTATAAAGCACAGCGAATTCAGATCCCATGTACACACAAGCTGCATCCATGTGCAATTTTCATAAATCCGAGGTCATGCTAGGAATCGTAATGGTATCCGGTGTTCTGAGTGCCTACGCCAATGTATAAAGCTGGTCACATTGTTAGCACAGTATTGTTGCAAAGACATGAGTCAATGGAAACTTACGTATATGAATATGCATAATCACTTCTGCGCCTCGACTTTTGGCTGACCGTTCATATTGTTGTGTTGCGGACTGTTGCCTCCGCCTGATCCCTCTTTCCGTTTCTCTTCCTCACCCTCGTCATCATAATCTTCATCAACCTCCACCTTCCTCGCTGCTGCTTCGTATGCCTCTCGACGCTCTTCGCGGCCAGCATCAGAGATAGGCGTTTGAGGAGGCTCATTCGCCGTTGGCTGATGCATTGAAGGCAGCGTTGGTGGATGATGAGCGGCTTCAGACGGATGATAGGTTTCGTCGGCCCTTCTCTGCTCCTCACGTCTAGCTGTGGAAGAGCTCCGACTGTGTCTGAGTAGAGGAGATGCCGGCCTGGGATAGGGAGGAGACTGTGGTCTCCCCCGTGGAGACCCTGGTCTCGGCCGAGGAGAAGACTTCCTGTCTGGCGGCGATGCTCTACGGTGACGGTGGTCTTCTAACCTGTTTCGGCTCTCGCCGTTTGCGTGGTGCTTGTTTGCGACTTTGTACTCATCATCAGACTCATGGCTTCGCTTGAACCCAGTAGATGGTCGGTCATCTCTCTCACGAGCAGCAGCTTCAGCAGCAGCGAGCGCCGCCATTGGTGGCGGCGCACCGGCAGCGATACCTACCGATTGAGAAGTGTTGGGGTGATGTTGTTGATAATGCTGCTGCGGCGGGTAGTTGGGGCCTGGGGGGGACACTCTTGCTTCTGCAATCGGTCTTATCTCAGGTGGAGGACTATCTCCACGCCCGTAGGGAGCTCTAGGGCCTGGAGGTAGCTGACTGCCGCCCGTGGCAAGTCTCAAGCTAGGGTCTGGAGCTCCATAATTTGGATTGGGAATCCGGTTAGCGGTCGTTGGTCCAGACACAGGTAGTTGAGGCTGCGGTAACGATTGGGGAGCCGAGAACGGGAGCGTTCCATTATGATTCAAATTTGGTGGTGGTGAAGCTCGTCGTATTGGGGTATGTCGGTGTTGCTCTTGGTATTGCCTAATCTGATCCTGACGCGGGCTTCCTTGCCTTTGCGACGGTGGCGGTCTCACAGGCTCGCGCTGATCGTACATACTGGAGGGTTGGGTCTGAGGCTGAGGCTGAGGCTGAGGCTGAGGATTGGGGATGTCTGCCAAACGTCGACTCCAATCGGGTGCCGTGCCATTTTGCGCTGGACTGGGTCCATGAAGCACTGAAGGGGGGCCTGTCGGAACACCCCACTGTGGGCCCGGAGGAGCCCCAACGCCGGGGTTCTGGTATTGCTGAGGATGCACGTCTTGAGGTACTGGGGCATTTTGCTGATTAGGCATCCCGGTAGATTGACCATTGTTACGTAGAAGCTGCAAGCGAGCTTTGATATACATATTACTCGGGTCGAGGTCGAAGGCTCTTTGGTATGCGTCAAGTGCATCAGCAGTCTGATTGTTACATGACTCGTACTATCATTGGTTAGTTTGAACTTGTGTAGGTAACCGAATCTCGCGAAAGCTCACCAAAGTCCCAAGGTCATACCAAACTTCCGAGATGTACGGATTCAAACGAATCGCTCGGGAATACGCATCGAGGGCATCTCGGTACTGATTGATTTGATAATAAAGCACGCCAATGGAGCACCAGAAGGTGGGATTACGGCCATCTCGATAAACCGCTTGCTGGTAGGCTTCGTACGCCTTCGAATATTTCTGCTGGGACATGTAGCATCTTCCGAGAAGATACCAGCTTTGCGCATCCGTGTTGTCTGGACTGTTTAGTACCACGAGAGTGTACCCTAGGCTGTGCACAACTTACCAGAGCTCACAGATTTCTCCAAATACTCGATTGCTTGCTCCTGGCTGTTGAATAGCGGGCTTTCCTGGTGGTGCAACCATCCAAGCTGTTGTAAGACCTTGGCGTGATTGGGATCCCTATCAAGAACCCGGCGATACGCTGCTTTGGCGGAATCATACTGCTCATCTCGTGTTAGTCAAATGGTAATACTCAAGATCTGAGTACGTACGTCTTTGCGCTGTTCATGGACGTGACCAATCTGAAACCAAATATCCTCCTCGGTCAGTGGCCTAGGGGGATTCTGGACGATATACTTGAAGCACTTTCGTGTCGTTAGCAAGGTACGTCTACAACATGGGCGTAGGAGGTTACCTCTAAGCTTTGATCGTACTTTTGTTGCTGTTTGTATATTATCCCAAGACGGAAGTAGATCTCGTTTGCTTTCTCGAAGTCTGGCTGCATAGTCATGACCTGGGAAAAGGCCTCTTCGGCATGCTCAAGGGAGCCATAACGATCGTATAAAATGCCAATACCGTACCACAGTTTTGGTTCCTACCGAAGGTCAACCGGAGCAACTGGGACATCGCGGAGCACTTACTTTAGGGTCTCGGAGGTGGTACAGAGCCTGCTGATACGCTGCATAAGCTTGCTGGAGATCCTCCATCATGAGGAAGCAGTGGCCTTGTTCTCGTCAGCGGGATTGCGTCGATGCGCAATATGGAGGTAGCTACCCAGGCTGCCCCAGACTTCACCATTACTCTGATCGAGTTTCAGTATGGTTTGTAGGTATTCTACGGCCCTCGGGAAATTTTCCTTGGTCCTGAGGATACATGAGATTGCATTGAGGGCCTGTATGGATTGGTAGTTGTGGCGTAGAGCCTGCTCGTAGGCGAAAAGCGCGCCATCGGAGTCCCCTTGAAGCTCACAGGTACTGCCTATGTGATGTCTTAGTTTGCGATGATGCAAGTATTGATAGGCGCGATGAAGTACATACCTATTCCCAACCAAATGTTCTCACTCTGGGCATAGAGATGCGCTTGTGTAATCTTGGCGTGTGATGGTTGTTGCATTGGCAAATGGCCGTTGACTTGAGGATGTCCGGCGTGTAATCCATGATGCAGATGAACACCTCCAGGAGAGGCTGGTTGATGATGATGATTCGCCATTGGGGGGGTTTTTTTGGATGGATGGAGGGATAGAGAGGGTTTGAAAGAAGTGAGGGTGAGAGGGAGGGGGGAGAGGTGAGAGGTGAGAGGTGAGAGGTGAGAGGGTCTGCGGCGGAGCGGTCACCAATTCCCCTGGCTGGGTCGAATGCTTCCAAGACGTACCGAACCTTAAAATTATGGAGGAGCAAATATAGTAAATAAAAAGGCAGATATTGGTGTTTTTATGGAGAAGGTGTTAGTGGGAATAATATCATAATTCGCAAATGCAAATGCACATGTAAAATGCAAATGAATAAAATCAAAGTAGTAGTAACGAGGGTAAAGGGAGGAAAGGGAAAGGGAAAAAGGGAAAGGGATATCCTGGAGCCGTTCAATGTCGTGGGGCGGCGCATCGTATGTCGCACACCTATCTCACTAGCTTCCTTGTGATTTGGAAAGGACTAAACTCCCGCACTCGTGGTGGCTTTAGCGCCAAGACCCACCAACAGCCGGGATCTTACTTTAGCTCAAGTACTTTATGAGCCTACTTTACCTTTTTTATGCGATTTCATCCAGCCCACGCCTTTACTGAGCTTAATTTGATCTACACGAGTACTCATCATCACTTCACCCCAGGATAGAGAAAGAAAGGTAAGGAAGAAAAGAAAGAAAGTAAGAAAGAGAGAGAGAGAAGGAGGAGGAAGAAGAAAGAGAGAGCAGAGCCTCTCATCCCATCTCTAATCCTTTCGCAAAAGAGTGTGGTGAGGCTGACATGAGAGGGAATTCACGAACCGCATCCACATACCCTTGTAGATCTCCAACGCATCGCCTAGTAAGGCAGCTGGCTCCGATCTTTTTTATTTTGAGTGCTGACTACATTATTATTATCACTTACCTTACTACCTTTCAACTACGGTACCACACTAAAGGACAGAGACCGTGACTTATAGGCGCATTCATGGAAAAGTAAATGTGCTGCTTTGTTTCCGAGCCAAGATCGTCGCTTGTCACAAAGCGGATCGCAGGCTGCGTCTAGCCTCCCTCAACCGAGACTTGACTCTTCTGCGACGGGGGCCCTAGATCTCTTTACCACTATGTACTACAGTAGGTACTACTACTATCACCACCAACCGTATAGGCCTATGACATGTAAAACCAGTTGCGCATTCAACCTTAACAGTAAAATGTTCTCGCTTCTCCCATCTCCTTCATTACCCTGACAGCATTTCCGTGGGGTGATGTTATAAGCGCTTGATTTGGGAAGCCGCTCAGACCACTGCTCAGATGCACGATCCCTCGACAATAATAACAAGGGGAAAGGCTCCGCGCACACCCCTTGCCTCTAGCCGTATATCCCCCCCACTTCTCAAATCCTCCCCAGAAACACTTTGCACCTTGACTGCTCTTTTCACATGGCTCCCGGTGAACCCTCAATGAATTAAATGGTCAAGGTATGTAGGTACCCTCAGGGTTGATGGCATCCAAGTATGGCAGTCGGAGGGGAAAGGGTCCCGCATGGATCGGAGCAAATCTGCATTCTCGCCATGAAGAGATCGTAATACATAAGCTGTGTAGATAGAGTAGGTATGAAGATTGGATCTACTAGAGCGATCGCTATGCCTCTCCTGCCTTCTTTAATCATCCAAGTCGTCTGTCATGTCTTTGCTCCCAATGACTCTCCGCTCACGAGTCACATCATTCAACGCCGTCCAATGCAGATGCAAATGCAAATGCAAATGCAATGCAAGCCCCAAGCCCTTCCCATGTCGAACAATTTAAGCATATCGCACACTAGGCTGCACATATCCAAGCGGTGGATACTGCGGACCACCTTTGTAGCCTCCATACCCATGGCCACTGCCACCACGTCCTTGTCCTTGCTGCGCGCCACTCATCCATGCACCCTGCGGCATAGGGCCCCCCCACCCTTGGTTCATGGGTGGCATCATTGGCTGGGTTCGACGCGGCTGCCGAGGGCGTCTGCACCGTCGTACAATGCAGCTAAGGATGGAAAGCAGCAGAAGTCCGCCAATGCCACAGCATATTCCAATGACGAGGTTACGATTGTCATGAATCCAGCTACCGATTTCTTTGGCAGCGGTTGAACCTTTGCATTGACCCTGTTGAAAGTCAGTAATGGAAGCTCAGATGAGCGAAAAGCGGGATTTTACTTACGTTATTGCACTTCCCACCACCACCGCACACAGTACCGTCAAGGAAGTTCTGCTGCATACTGTAACAAACACCTGGACCGAACTCAGGGGAAGCACACGACAGCGTGCAGTCTTGGCTGTCACAAGCGTAAGTGTCGTTCTTCGTCGTGTACGAACCCATCAATGTCTTGCACTGCTGATCCCTTGACGTACATTGTCCGCTTGCGCATTGGAGGCTTTGAGAGCTGTTTCCGCAGCTCTGTCCATTGGGCGCAGAGGCATCGGGGGGACAGGTCGCGTTGGTGCCACTACAAGTCTCCTGCGGGTCGCACTGGCCGGTACTGGCTCTGCATACTGTACCGGCGCTGGAGAGTTGGCAATTAGTGCAGCAGTCCTCGTTTGAGGGATCGCAGACAGCGCCATCCTTGAATTTACAGGTCGTGGCGTCGCAGCAGGCGTTGCTACCGCAATTCGCGGTGCCCCCGCAATCGCAGTCTTCGCCCTCTTCGACAATGCCGTTGCCGCATTGTTGGCCGCTGATCGTTGTAACACCTTTATTGTCGGATAGGCAGGAACTCGAAACACTATTGCGGCCAAGGGCAGAGCAGATATTACCGACAGTGCAGGCGCTGAATGCCGATATGCCATCCACCTCATAAGGATTCATGATGTACTTGGACCCCGCATCGCAGGTAGTGGTGCTGAGAGGGCAGCATTGCTGGGAGTTGACGGTCTCGCTTGACGCACAGGTCTGCGAATCGCAGTCATGGACGGCTCCAAAGGTGTGACCGGATTCGTGGGCAATGACTTGCCATTCTGTGGAAGTCTTTGCCACCACATTGGCACCACTGACGACTTCTCCCGAGCTGTTCGTTACATCGTTCACGCAGAGTTGGCCAAGCCATGATAAACCGACCTCAGCACCAGTTTGACAAGTAGTCAAAAGGGTCCAATAAGCATTGCTATCTGGGTTGTCACCTCGCCATTGCGAAAACGTATTGAGCCGATCTGTGATAGACGTATTGCCTCCGCAGCCAGTGTTCCATGGCGTAGCAGCCGCTGGGGTGCCAGGGCATGTCGCGTCGCTGACAGTGAGATTCTGGAGCCCCAATGAGATATTGAAAGTACTCTCGTACACATTCGAAGCTGAGTTGATCTGAGTGATCACATTAGAGTGTGCAGTTTCGGATGAGTTGAACGACCCAGTGTAGGTGCAATCGGTAGCTACACCAATCAAAGCCACTTTTCGTGTTGTAGGACAACCAGCTGAATTACCGATAGTGCTTTTCAGATTGACACTTCCAGAGTTACCCCCAGCAGGGATACCGCCAGTATCAATTTGTCGCTTCCCGAATAGTGAAATGATCGGTGCAGCGCCCCAAGATCCAACGCTGCGTTTCAGCACGGTTTGCTGGGGGTCGGAGTTGAAGTGTAGTTCATGAGATCTGCAGGAACCTTGAATTTCGCCAGACCTCCGTAGCTCTGTGTGCCCGTTCAATGGTCTCTTGTCGATGTCTGAATCCCGGAATATGACCATGTACTCGTCGTCAGTTAATTCCACCTCAGGGTCCAATGCGTGCTTTGTAGAGATGTAATTGGATCGTAATTGGATGTGGTGATGGTCGTGCATGATTGTAAATGCGCCTTCAAACAACGGGTCGGTTCCATCTCTCCGAATGACTATTCTGGCCCAACCTATCTTCGTCCATCTCCCATCATAATCCTGGGTCCATGCATCTCCCTTGAAAACTTTGTGCGCTCGTCGATCGATCTCCTCTGTGCGTACTAATTTGCCGTCCTGTCCTAGATACTGCACCGACGCTCCTTTTGCAATTATATCATGGTTCGGTTCCAGAGTAAGCTTCACCTGCTGCCTTTCCTGGTGAAGGTCGAAGAAGAGGTCGAAGTGTGAGTAAGCATGTACCCGGGACGAAGGCGTGCCAATTTCAGCGTTCTCGACGAGGGTCAAGTAGTTTAGAGGTTTTCTGCTCAGGGAATGTGCTGTGGCAAGCCATTAGCTTACAGTCTGCATCTCACAGTAGAAGAGTTCGTACTTTGGACAGAGGCAAATAGAAGGCATATCGTGCTGACGACTGTGCCTATTCGGCACGGCACCTTCATAATCTGTCCAGAAGAAGTAGCAACAGCCAAAGACTGTGCTTGAAAGTTGATCCAGGAGACCGACAGTCAAGTCAAATTTGCAGGCGACTAAAGCAGATCTCTCAAAAGGTTTCTAGAAGAATAGGTGGGTGTTGATGGCAACGCAAGCTTCAATTTCGTGAGGAATTTCTATTTCACAAGGCTTAGAGGAAGAGTCAGCCCTGGTGGCCCCAAGGATCCGAGAGATCGCATGCACTCCGCACCAAGCCGAGGCACTGCGACAGAAGACCAAATGAATGGCTTGTACTCTTTGACAACAGCGAATCAACTTCAAAACTTTGGCCAGATGAGGTGAAGCAATGGAACAGGGGAAGTGGCGGTTTCGTCAAGAGCACGACAATGTGAATGAGGGGACTCGGGGAGACAATGTGAATGAGGGGACTCGGGGAGGGTCTATTGGCGTCTGGCAGCCAAAATCGGTACCCGCGGTAACTAGAGTGTGTCTATTTAGGGAAGGTGACGAATCTCCAGGGGTCTGACAGGGGGCTCCTGGATGCGACCTAAAGTAAATGTGAGCTACACACTGCTACAGTATTGTTTTGTACTAGTACTCCGTTGATTCTTCACCACCACTACACCAGCCAGCGACACAGAGTCACAGACATGTATGCAAATGCATTCGCATCCACGAATATCATCTTCATTTCTAAGAGTTGGAACCTAGCCGCAGTTTCCCCATATTTTCATTCAATTATCTTAGGCTATTGTACTGGTTAAAGACCTGCTTCTCGGTTCATATCTACTGGCGTAAATTTTTTGCTTGGCTATCAACGCTCAATGTAGGAAGCAACGCTCAATACCCTACTCCTTAAGACACTATGCAATGATCCCAAAGCAGCTTTCTACTTCTTCCGTGATGCCTGGACTATCTCGATGATCTTGTCGACCACACTTGGGTCCGAGAGCTAGGGCCAGAGAGTCAGCATGATGAGCGCAGGAAGAAGCTGCATCTAGACACTCACAGTAGAGGTATCCCCCAATGAATCCTCCTCTCCGGCTAGAATCTTACGCAAGATGCGCCTCATGATCTTACCCGACCTCGTCTTAGGAAGATCATCAACGACGAATACTGCTTTCGGAGCAGCAAAAGGACCAATGGACTTCCGAACTTGAAGCACCAAATCTTTCTTAACCTGATCGTTGCTTTCGTTGCCTTCTTTGAGGGAGACGAAGGCATTGACAGCTTGGCCTGAGAGCTCGTCGTGAATGCCCACCACTGCCGCTTCTGCAACTTGGTCTACCCAAAGTTAGCTTGTGTCTCTGTGCAAGACACTCGTTTTCACTCACGATGCTCGATGAGAGCTGCCTCGATCTCCGCTGTTGAGAGTCTGTGCCCAGAGACGTTGACCACATCGTCCACGCGGCCTCGGATCCAGTAGTAGCCTTCATGATCTCGGCCAGCGCCGTCACCAGTAAACTGCAACATGTAAGCCAAATAACAACGAGGAATACATAGCTGACTCACGTAGTAGCCCTTGTATACGTTAAGATATGTATCCATGTATCGCTTATGAGCACCCCAGATGGTTCGAGCCATGCTAGGCCATGGCTTTTTGATAGCCAGAACACCCTCTACGTCGTTGCCATGTATTTCTTCCCCAGAGACTGGATCAATAATCGCGGGCTCGATACCAAAGAAAGGTAATGATGCGCTTCCAGGTTTAGTCGGGGTGACACCACCCAAGGGTGTAATCACGTGGGATCCAGTCTCCGTTTGCCAGTATGTCTACCGTCTCGTTAGCTGTTACAGATTGCTATGCGCATGCTTTACTCACATCGACAATATGAGCCTCCTCCTTCCCAACAATCTCAAAGTACCACTTCCAGACTTCGGCTGCGATGGGCTCGCCAACCGATCCCAAAACTCGAAGATGCTTCATTGGATGCTTGGCGTGAGAATCGCCGGCTCGTTTCAATAATCTCAGAGCTGTTGGGGCTACGTAGAATTGAGTGACCTGGTGCTTGTCGATTACCTCCCAATATCGCGAGAAATTGGGATATGCCGGAGTGCCTTCGAAGACAACAGTAGCAATACCAAGGAGAAGAGGCGCGTATACGACGTACGTATGTCCAGTGATCCAGCCAACATCACCACCACAGAAGAACTTGTCGTTGTCGTGGATATCGAAAACATACTTGCCAGTCGCTGCTGCGCCTAGCAAGTAGCCGGCTGTGGTATGCATGACACCCTTCGGCTTGCCCGTTGATCCCGAAGTGTATAGGAGGAAGAGCGGGTCTTCCGAGTTCATAGGCTCGGGAGCGATGTAATTTGGATACTTCTCCGTTTCCTCATGCCACCAGAAGTCTCGCCCGCTGGTCCAATTCTTGGATAGATCGGCGCCCGTGCGTTTGAACACTAAGCAATGTGTGACGTTGGGGCATTGCTTCAATGCATCATCAACTATTTTCTTAGTGCCAATTATTTTGCCGCCTCTCTTGCCCTCATCACTAGTGATGACAACCCTGGAATTGGCATCAATCACCCGATCTCTGAGAGAATCCGAAGAGAAGCCCGCGAAGACGACCGAATGAACAGCACCAATACGGCTACAGGCAAGAAAAGATATCAAGGCTTCAGGCACCATGGGCAAGTAAAGGGCGACTGTGTCTCCCTTCTTCACGCCCATCTGCTTCAAGACATAGGCAAGCTGTGAGACTTCCCGGAGCAGCTCCCCGTATGATATTGTGCGACCTTCGTTTGGCTCGTCTGCTTCGTATATGATGGCTGGCTTATTGGGATGCTTGAAGGCATGACGATCGACACAATTGTACGAGGCATTGAGCCTGCCCTCGAGGAACCAAGCGTTGTCACCATGGGTAAAAGACCCGGAATGAACAGTCTGAAAGTCTCTGTCCCACGTGAGGAGATCCCTTGCCATCTTCCCCCAGAACTTCTTTGGCTCCTCGATGGACTCTTTGTACATCTTCTGGTATTCTTCCATGCCGCTCAGGTGGGGCTTAGCGGGGTGCTTACTGCTGGGGGTCAACGATCGCAAGGAGAGGGTTTGGGTCTGGTTTGAACTCACTCAAACATCTGCTTAGGGACATGGTATGTATCTGGGCTCCATGGTCAGCAGAGGTTCTTCATCCAAACGCTTTCTTCATTTACCAGTGTCTTTCGCCTCTGCAACGACCATGGGCGCACCAGGCGGTTGAACGTCTCCTTCGCTCATGGCTGGAGTTCGCTATGGGTTTGCGAATAGTTCGAGCAATGGACTCAGAAAATATGATGGGTGTGTGAGAAAGAGAGATATACAATGCAAATGACTGGGTATTCCTGTTATTGTTTGTCGGGAACCTTCAATTTTGCAGCTGCAGCAGTAAGGGAAGCATCATGAGATCGGAGCAATGGATGGGAGCACATGGATTTGGAGGTGTTATTGGTATTGATTAAGTCCGGAGAAACGGGATCTCGGACAGACCCCGCAGAATAGGGCTACTATCTACCGCGGGGAAACTTCGTTCGTCCACAATGTCTTTCATTAATCTTACCTGCCACCTGTGGATATACCTACGAATGATGTTTTTGACTATGGAAATGGTACATGACTTCCTGCTGCAGGTACTGGGTAGCCCAGATTTTCCGCTCCACTGAACCCAACCTCCCTACATCGAATTCTAAAACTCCTAACCTCCGTCTACGCGTTTTCCGCCTACCGCCTACGTACTTCTGCCGCGACTAGCTAGCGAGCCTATGTATATGTCCGTCCTCATACAGCTTCATACCCGTCAACCAAATTTCTTGCACCTCTCCCCAATCACTCAACACCACAAGGGCAGCCTTCCGGCCCATTTCATTTAGACCTGTCTTCGTCCTCCATAAGACTGGCAATGTTCTGGGATGTGCAACGGACTGCATCTGCGAAGGAACATCCACTCCATGCTTTGACATTTTGGACGCACTCGGCAACGCTGCTGCAATAACCAATCAATGTGTCCGTGCCATCGATCGTGACCATGAATCTCACTTCGTTTTGAGCATAGAGGTTTTGCGCATGCCCTACGTTTACTCCGTCGCGCAATCCTGCCATCTCAATAGCATCGCTGTTCAAGATGCAATTACTCTGGTCTGGGCGAAAGCCGATGTGGCAGTCGCAGGGTAAAGATGAATGCCGTCGGTGATGATTGGTGAGTAGGCTCCTTCGGACGAGATCAGGCCTGTGATGCTAGGAGATCGAATGGATTCATTGCGTTGAAAATATGCGTTGTCCTCTTTGCGCCGGATCCGAGAGCGCTCGTGCCAGTGTCGTAGTCTGTAGTGATATGTCCAATGGAAACGATGGTGCCACGCTGAACAAGATCTCGAAGAGGATGCTGCGTTTCCGGAGCTAATATGACCATCTTCAATGCAGAGGGAGCTTCCTCGTCGCCATAGACTGATCCTAAAGACAACTCTGCAGGGTTTTGCATGAGACTAGCGTCTGTTTACCCCAAATCCATATCAGAGTCCTGCAAATTTTGTTTCCCGTGGACGCAGACGCGAGCATTGATCAAAGCTCTGAAAGTAAACATCGAGGGTGCTTCAGCTGTAAAAGATATTATAACATTGGGTAGTTTGACAAGGACTATGGAGCGAAAGAGGAACAGGAAAATCTTGCAGTCCTGAGTTGGTTGTCACGATGGGCGATGAGGCTATCCTAGGTCTGTGCAACCGATTGATGAAAAGCCGGGATAGCGTCCATAGCATTAGAGAGATAAAGACGGGAAAGCACAGATCTGCGATTACTGTATGCGAGACCATGATGAGTACTTTCATAGTCAATGTCCAGGATCTAGCTTCCCTTGGCTGAAGGGGTTGACGTTCGCGACGTCAAGGCTAACAGTAACTTATGTTCCCTTGGTTCAATCTTGTATGGTCAATTTAGTCCGTTCCGAAGATTGATATCTATAAAACAGGAATATCTGAGTGCATGCACAAACGTACTCTACTATCATGTGCCTTGGCTCCGGGATTGTGGTGAAGCAGTAACCTGAGCAACGCGAGTACGCATATTCAAACAAAGCTTCAATCTCGTTTGAAGCTTTGAATCAATTCTTCTGCCGCAAGTCTATTCCGGTCCAAGACTATTCAGCCAGTGAACAAGACCCCAGAACCCGTCGCACAAAACCCCTCTCAAGACCTCTGGACCAATGGGGACGGTGGTAAAAAAGCCTCAAGAGCAGCGTTCACCTCAGCGCGCTTCGAGACCACGGTCAAAGCAATGCGAGTACCCAGGATGCGGTAAGATGATTTCTTCTAGTCATCTAAAGTATCACTACCAGCACCGACACTCCAATCAAGATTCTCAAATCCAGTGCGACTACCCAGACTGCAGTCACATGGTAAACCCCAGGTCCTTGAAACGACACTATCTGCGAGTACACTCGGAACAGCTGCGGCAATACCAATGCGAGGATCCGGAATGTGTTCAGAGCTTCAGGTTCAAGGCGAAAGCAATGCACTTTTCCAGGATGCGGTAGATTCTATGATCAAGATTACATGGAAAAGCATTTTCAGACCCAGCACTCCGGTGAGGTCATTCGTATTCAGTGCGAGTATCCAGGGTGTGACAAGATGTATCCAACCAAGGAGGGCTGTAAGAGGCATTACCGACATCAGCATTGTGGTCAACCAAGAATTCTTCATTGTGAACATTGCGAATGGGGCTTCACAGGAGCTCTGAGTGTTTACCTTAAGCACTTTCTGAAGGCTCACGACCATCGCCATCTTCTCATCATTCCGCCACGGCCAAGCATGGACATAGCAGACATCAGCAAATTTCGCCCTCACCAGAAATTGATAAATCAAGCAGAACAAGTGGTACGTCAAGCAGAACAAGTGCCAGCGACAAAGGGTCAAGAGCCAACTACATTGACTATGGTAGATGAACAAGATTCATCGTTTATCGTAGCAAAACTCGATCCTAGGCTTCGAATGGCTGAGGGGTTTCCGGCCCTCACCGTCAGAGAGAGGAATGACATAGCTTGTATTAGTCCTGCTTCAATTGATTGCCATAATATCATGCTGACTTGTTTTAGTAAAATGTGTCAGCTACTGGCTGGATATGTCAAATCTCAATGCCCCATGTAAGGGACCAGAATACCTCAGAAAAGGATCTGAGACTGCCCGCGACACTAGCTGTCGTTTCAGCATGACAATGAATCTCGACGCGGCGTTAATTCAAGCCTTCTTTACGATCCAGATCGTCAAACCTGTTCTACCGCCTGAATTTGCCGTTTACACTGTGAAACAATGGATTTTAATTCGGAGTTGGGAAACTCAAACACAATTCAACTTCTGCCTACAGCCAGACAAGTCAATCGAACCTGTCGAGCCAAGACTTGTCGTTTTTCGCCGTGGCACGATCTTGAGATATACTGCGATATGCACTATCTGATTATTCCATATTTGTGCAAATTTGCTCACAGACGCACGACCGGACGAGCTCAAGTCTCGAGAAGTCTCATTAATTGAAAACGTGAATGGTTTGAAAGTCTTGGCTGAAACATCCAATCATACTTTCGAGTGGAGGAATCCTGATCTAGCAAACATTCTTCTGGCTATCTCAAATCCAGATTCAGACGGGCCGAAGGTGTACGCTGTGGATACAGAGTTTCACCAACCTTTGTCAGGAGGAGCAATCAAAGTTTCAGAGGTGGCATTTGTCGATGTTAGGACTGGCCGGATTGTGTAAATGCCGCCCTCGGCGATGACAAGAGGGCTTTAGATACGTCCATAAAGCTCGCTCGACGAAAATTGGACGGGAAGACATTGACAGCTAAGGATGTTCCCCTAGTCCGCACAGCCGCAGCTCTATCAGAGCAAATCGAAGATTGCCACCTTGGACCGAATGATATAATCGTGGAGTGGAGCTTCAATACCAACGCTCTGCTTGATATGACGAACATTAAATGCTTTCTGAAGCAGACCGGCTATGACAGCCAGACTCTTCTCCCAAGCAGCGGTCATGCATTACTTAGACCTACCATGAAATTCCTCAGTCAAGCAGTAAAGCTTAAGAGTTGGAGACTACCAATTCTCTTTTGAATACTCTTTCCGCAAGATCCTTTGGTCGCTCAGAATCACTCCGCTGCGGTCGATGTAATACAAGTGGTGCAAATTCTTCGGCTGATGGTTGAGTTGATAAAGCCCCCAGAAAATCGTAGTCTGCCTCAAGACTTGCTTCAAGGCCTCGAAGGCTTGTTGTGGGTAGACGATGATTGCACTCAGAGCAATACTCTAGATCATTACTTTGATTTACTCGAACGCGAAATTATCGTTGATGCCCCCACGGCCCTTGGTGAAGAACAGGATGGTATGGATCTCGATGATGAGAGATCAGATAGTGAGAAAGATGATGAGAATACTAGTAACATGGAACTTATCAGCGAGGACAGCAGCGACGAGACTTGGGATGACACAGATAATATTGACTAAGATGTGGGGAGGAAGGGACGTCAAAGTAGGTTTTGTGATGCAGCCGTAAATACAGACGCCTGAGCTTCAACGACCTGACAATGATGTCTGGTTGGCTGGATGATGGGACGAACCGCTACCGAGATGCAGAGCCCCATCTTATTTCAACTTGGTCGCTTAGCCAGAAAGCTCGGTGTAATTATGGTATTTTGACGCGCCGATCTGAAAAATAACGGATGTGATAGTGCAATAGCGACCAGGTAACATTTGAGGCCCATTGACGTGACATTTGTGCCTTTCCTCTTTGTTAAATGCGTAACTCGCTTCATTAATAAGAGCGATGCGCAGTCCTTGACAGGTTGATTTTTGCCCTTTTAGAGCAGGCATGTCTGTTTAGACATCCTTCTTTTTCTTGACTCCGAAATTCTTAAGGTCACTAATTAATGCAGAGCTTGCTGCTGCGTTGGAGCGTCACGTACTTGATCGAGAAGGGGTCGTCCACCGTTGACGCTTCAAAATCAGCAATCGTGGCATATTCAAGAGGCAATGCATCAAGCCTTCTGTTAGGACTGAACCAGGGTGGATCATAGAGTCATGGTTAACGAGGATGTTATTGATGAGGATTTATCTCTAGGCATTACCATACAAATAGTGGGAGTAAGGGTGCTAGGCCCAAATAGAAAGGTAGCCAACCTGGAGTTGAGTGGCCTGTGGCTACCTATGGTTGTCACACTCGTGACACCTTCGAGCCATGAGCTTGTTGTCATCCAACAAGCCTTGATTCGCTCTCTTCGACGTGACAGAAGTCTTGATTTGTGTCATTACAAGTGGCTCCGTCTGGATCTAGCTCAAGGACCTGCCAATCGTAGTGAACATCCTGGGCTTCCGATAGTATCATAATGATAGCTTGAGCTATGGTCTCGAAATTTTGAGTTGCCAATGCCATTACAGATGGCCCGGCACCACTAAGGCAAGTTCCAAGAAGCCCAGGGTACTTGTCATATCGAAGCTCTAGTAGCACCTCACCCAACCCTGGGACTAAATTAGTCCGATAGGGTTGATGGAGCCGGTCTCGCATTGCTTCTGAGATTTTCGCCGCACGCAAAGGTTTCTCGCCAAGTAGAACGGGAAGTAAAGCGCAACGCTGGAGATTGAATATAACGTCCTCGCGGGTGTAGCTATATGGTAGCTGACTTCTTGCCTCCGCCGTATTCGAATGAAAAGTAGGAACGACTATAATAGCCTTAATATCTGAATTGAGCCGGTAATGATGGTAGCATCCAATCGATAGAGGCGGCTTATGAATGGGTAAGAGGCTGGTGTCTGTATCTCCAGAAAGCTTAGGTAAGACCTCGCTCAGCGGTATCTCTATACGGGCGATATCCATAAATGCTCCGATAAAGCCACCAAAGAGAGCAGGGGCGATGTTATCGGGATGCCGCTCAACCATTAGACAGTAGTCAAACATCCTTTCCTTAGATAGACCTAGATCGCCTGCTTCATTGCCTAGCATTACTCCAGCAACTATAGCAGCAGCTGAAGATCCCAGACCTCGCGAGAGTGGGATTGCTGTGATTAATGTGACTGTAGTAGCAGAAGGAAAGGCTTCTTTTCCATGGCAACGTAGTACATAGAGCGCAACTTGAGTGACCAAATTCTCATGGACCAAAGAGCTCAGTAGTTCCGAACCCTCGCCGTGGCATATGATTTCGCAATTCCATGGAGCCGAGCTCAAGCTTCCTTGACCCAAGTCCTTTATTTGTAGCTCAAGAAAGTTGCCGAATCGTTGAGAAGCTGACGGTGCGGACCTGAGGGCAAGACCAAGAACGTCAAAACCAGATCCAAGATTTGCCGAAGTGGCTGGGACTCTGATTATTTTCATTGTACCTGCTACCGCTACGTTAACGATTGCTAAGATAAAGACGAAATAAGGACGAGGGGAGTTGATAGTAAAAGAGCAGAAGAGCAGAGATTTTGAAAGCTCGCTAAGATTGAATGAGGAGAATTATTCCCCGGTCTGGTGGGTGTGCTTGAGAAAGTCTTGGCGGAAGAAAATCGTCGCGAGCGTGCTTAAAGTATCCGGCCGGGGTGCTGCATTAAGCTAACCCCCCTGTCACCCAGCCCGCACCTAATAGCGGCATCCTTGGCAGATTAGTGTCTTCTTCTCATGCCAAGATTTTTACCAATTGTTCCCCTTCCTAGACTTGCCTTTTCATCACAGCTGCCAGCACCTTTGGTGTTTGATTAAGCCTACGGGCTCATCATGTCTCAACAACAGGTGAATTGAAATGGGCCCTCCCTCTTTTTAGGTATGTTATCTAATCTGCAATTGGGATACAGCATGCGCCTGGGGGCTACTACAGCGGAAAAAACAAAATCCCCGACATCAAGACGTTCGTAGCAAGTCTAGATAAAGATAAGAGGGAGAGAGATGAAAAACTTGATGCTCTCCGCAAGCTCGAGCAGCAACAGGGCCAACAGGGGCAAAAGGGTACCAGCGATGCCACTCCGCACAAGGAAACCCACGCCGGCGAACCGGGTACTCTCAAGACAGTCACCGACCCGACAACCCAGAATCAAGTCCAAATTGAAGATGTCAACAAGGAATTCATGAAAGCTGCCGAGGACCCCCAGCTATCAGTCCCAAACGTGAACCTCGGCAAAGAAACCCCTGTCAAGACCGATGCCCATCAAAGCAACCCAGAATACAAACACAACCAAGACATAACCGCCCCACCTGATCCTGTGGCTGAGGGAAGTACTTCAGATGTCCCCATTCACGGGGAGAAGACGAACATCTTGTTCCACCCAACACCTTCGGTCAGCTACGAGCCCATGTTCGCAGCCCTCGAGACCAGAGCTTCAGGGTTGTGCATTGGAGTCTTCATTGCTATCGTGTTGCTTGGGAAAATGTTTGGCGGATCGTTGAAGGGGCTGATCCCCACAGCAATGTGCATTGTCTCTGGTATATTCCTCTGGATGAAGGAAGTCGTCCGTAGTGGAAGAGAAGTCGAATGGGCAAGTGAACAGTCGAGGGGAGAGACTGTAAGCGTTGAGACTCTGTTAAGCTGGAACTTCTGCATGTGGCTGACCGGTACAGGCGACGGCCAATCTCCTTCCAGAATCTGTTGAATGGATGAACACATTGCTGGGAATTGTCTGGGGTTTGATCAATCCAGATATGTTCGTTGGAGTGGCCGATACTTTAGAAGATGTGATGGGTGCATCGGTGCCTGGGATCATAGAAAATGTCCGCGTAGCAGAGATCAACCAAGGAAATAATCCGATCCGAATTCTTAGTTTACGCGCTCTGCCAGACACGCACGTCAAAGAGTTGAAGGAGAGCATCCACGAAGAGAACAAGAAGAACAAGGATCCACAAGAGGCTGCCGCCGATGAGGAAGGAGGCGACTATTATAACATTGAAGCATCATTTGCATATCATGCCAAGCCGAGCGACCCCAACGATACATCTTCTAAAGCACGGAATATGCATATGCAGCTGGTGTTCTATCTTGGTATCAAGGGGCTATTTGGCGTCCCGCTACCCATTTTCGTGGAATTACAGGGAGTGGTGGGTACGATCAGACTGCGTCTTCAGATGACACCTGAGCCCCCTTATTTGAAAAATCTGACCTTCACCCTGATGGGCTTGCCGCAAGTCCAAGCTGGATGTGTGCCGATGGTATCGAAGGGGGTCAACATTCTCAACCTCCCTCTGATATCGAACTTTGTCCATTATGCTATTGGAGCTGCGTGCAGCATGTACGTTGCCCCCAAATCGATGTCCATTGATCTTGGTGCAATCCTACAAGGCGACGAAATCGCCAAGGACGTTCTTGCATTAGGTGTCATGTGGATTCGGATCCACCGAGCGATAGGTCTGAGCAAGCAGGACAAGCGTGGGAGCAAGGGTGGAGGCTCGGATCCATATATCACCTTGACATTCTCCAAATATGGAAAGCCAATGTACTGTACACGTGTGATTACTGACGACTTGAACCCGATATGGGAAGAGACCGCAGCGTGAGTACGTGGGACTGACCTGGAAGTCCTGATGTTAATTGACGACAGATTGCTTGTCGACCCCGAGTACATCAAAGCTGATGAGCAACTCAGTGTAGAGTTATGGGACTCGGACCGCACCAGCGCTGATGACATTGTGGGCAAGGTCGAGCTTTCTATGCAGAAAATGATACAGCATCCTGGTAAAATGTACCCCCAAGTATCAAAACTTACAGGGATGGACGCCGATAGCGAGATGCCCGGAGAGTTGCACTGGGAGGTGGGTTACTTCTCGAAACCGAAGTTTAGGCCTGCCCTGCGAACTGACGGCAAAAATCCCGATCTTCCTAACTCGCTCAAAAACGACCCAGAGCTACAAGATGATAAAGGTACATTGAACAACGCAGACCAAGATGCTGTAGCTCACACTCCTCCTGACCCTTTGTGGCCAAGCGGTATCTGCAGCGTTGTTGTTCATCAGATAGTCAACCTCGAGCTTGAGAACATTCAAGGTAGTAACGGGAATAGGAAAGGCAGAGAGTATGAACCGGCAAGGGATGCTGGCGAGAACACGGAAGAAGTAGGCAAGCAGCTTCCAAGCAGCTACTGCACCATTCTGTACAATGATCAACTAGTGAGCATCTCTTACCTTTTATGCAGTATGGCTACTAACATCACGTCAGGTATACCGTACTCGAGCCAAGGTTGTCAGCAGCAAGCCAATCTTCAATGCTGGAACCGAGAGATTCGTGAGGGATTGGAGGTCTGCGATCGTTACGGTCACTGTCCGTGACCAGCGCCACCGGCAGCATGACCCTATCCTCGGCATTGTGCCGTTGAAGCTGTCCGATATTCTGCAGACTAGCTCTCAGGTGACTCGCTGGTACCCACTCGATGGTGGCATTGTATGTTGGACCAATAATTTTACATTGGAATCGCGTGCTAATTTGATCAGGGTTTTGGACGGGTCAGGATCTCTCTGCTATTCAGAGCTATCGAGACTCGCCTGCCTCCGAACATGCTGGGATGGGACGTTGGCACTTTTGAATTTACTTCCGACAGAATCCTGGCCCTGAATTATCATAGTAACTCGAAATTGAAGATGAGGACAGGTGGCAGCATTGGTCAAATTAGCAGAACACAATGCCAAAAGCTTGCAGAAGGCGACGGCATGCACTGGGACATTGCCAAGAAAGACGGTAAAAACAACGTGCGATTGCCGGTCAAATTCCGGTATCGATCACCTGTTGTCTTTGAATTACATGTTACAGGGAAACGAGGCGCGGCCGCATACGCTGTCATCTGGTTACATCACCTTGTGGACAATACCGAAGTGGACATTAACATACCCATCTGGACCACCAAGAATGGTGCCCGCTTGACCCAAAACTACATAACGGAGGATAACATTCGCGCCAAAGAAGTCCCTGGCCTGGAAGACACTGAAGAAATAGGCCGTCTGCAATTTCGTTGTCAGTTCAAAGCTGGTATAGATGAGGACCATGAGCAATTTGTTGTCGACAACGAATCGCGGGAGACGTTCGAAACTTGGGAGGCTTGTCTTGCGGAAGGCGTTCGCGAAAAGCGTGTGACCAAGGAAATGCCGCCGAAAGTGCGAGAGCTACACGATCAGTCTTTGACTGAAGGCCGCGATGTCCTCAAGCAAGCTGACCCGGAAGAGCGAAAGAAGTGGCTTGCGAAAGATGGCCAGGACTGGAGCGGTGCTTTTACGCATGATCCGAAAGCTTACATGGACTCACAGGGCCGTAAGCGAGCAGAGCCTGGTGTGGATAAGCCTGTCCATGATCCTCACGTTCCAAGCGACGACGATGACCACATAGGCGACGAGGGCGATGACAGCGATTCGGAGTCTGACATCGGCGTACAAGATGCGGAGAACAGGGGGGCAGGGAAAGACATGAATGGGAGCGCTGCTGAGGGAACGACACTACAGGACGATGAGCAGACGAGGGCAGTAGCGAACAAGAAGTCCGAAAAAAGAAAAAATAGGGGTTTGATGCAGTGGAAACCTGTCAGGGTAAGTCTTGGTTCTCAGCAGAGCGCTTTGGGCTGAAGGCATGCTAATCACGTATTGTACAGAACCTTGCATTTGCGAAAGACGAGGCTAAATTCTCAATGAAGAAGATGCAGCATAAGATCACCGGAGGGTTGGGTGGAAGAGAACCTGGAGTGGAGACAGAAACTTGAACTTTTCTGCTTCTTGCTTGCTTTTCGGCGATTGTAGTTATATCAAGGGGGACTGGCTGGTCCAAAGAGTCCTACAGTATGCGTTGTAATACCATCGTCCTCCTCTGAAACCCTCACAAACCTACTTATTTCGCCTATTGCAGCGTGTTCCTTGTTAGCAATCGTAGGTTTGCTCCTACTCATGACTTGGTTCATCTCGACCTGCCCTAATATTCCAGTGAACTTAGTATGACCTAGTATAATTACACAAAGGAGATTTTACATTTCCGATCCCGCCACGCTAGAATTGAAGATTGAAGGTATCATCCCGGTTTATCTGTACTATAGAACAAGAAGTTATGAAAGACGTAGAAAATTACCTTACCTCAATCTACTGGTGAAAAGGGAGCTAATGGTTATATTTGTATTGACACTTAGCGTTGGCTGAGGCTGAAATGTATCCTAACATGAATCATTGATGGATTAGACAGCAACACTTCGCTTCCTTCCCACTTGTGAATATTGACACAACCATGGACAGCCCAGAGCCCCAAGCTCAAGGCGGCGACGTCGAAACCCCAACGCAGCAGCAAGCTCGCCTTCGCCGCGAGCGACGTGAGGCCAAGATCAAAGCCGGAGGTTCTGCACGATTAGAGAAAATCACCAACCTCTCCGGCAGACAGAATCTACCCGGTAGGCTTCATAGTATGCTTGCCCACCCCCTGACCGATTGCTAATACTGTAGAAAGAACCTCCTCCTGGCACACTCCCCACCTCTTCGCCCTCCACGCACGGCGACCCGGAAGAAGTCGATCTCTCCACCCACCCATCCGCAAATCGTACCCCGAACTCGAACAATGGTGCTCCAACGGAAGCGGATATACGTGCGCTCCTGCGGGGCGGGGCTCCTCAGCCTGGCGCCGATGGTCAGCAACAGCAGGGGGAAGAGGATCCGATGATGAAGATGCTACAACAATTCATGGGCGGTATGCCCGGTGCTGAAGGACCAGGAGCGGAAGGAGAAGGCGGGTTGCCGCCTGGTCTGGCGGCTATGATGGGGGCCGGTGGGATGGGCATGCCTGGCACGGGTGGGACGCAGACGAAGCAGGAGGATACGTATGGGTACCTGTGGAAGATTGTGCATGCTGTCTTTGCCTTGGTACTGGGTATCTACGTTACGGCTACGTCGCACGCATTTAATGGGGATGTCTCAAGAGGTGGCGTTGCGGGAGCTGGACACGAGGGGGGTGTCAACGTATTTTGGCTATTTGCAACGGCGGAACTGGTACTGCAAAGCTCGAGGTTCTTCCTGGAGAAAGGAACCGGCAGTCAGCTGGGAGGGTGGATTGGGATTGTGGGGAACATGCTGCCGGAGCCGTGGAAGGGATATGTTAGGTTAGCAGCGAGATACAGTGGGATCTGGAGTACGGTCGTAGAAGATGGAATGGTCGTCGTTTTTGTTCTTGGGTGTGTGGCATGGTGGAAAGGTGCGGTCGGGTAGGACCGTAGGAGTGGAGCCAATCAGCCGTGTATTTCCACGAGGATCAATGAATTCGACCCCGTTCTTGCTGTCATGTCACGAAGAGGCAGCAAGCTAAGGAAACCAATAGACATCCAGGACAGCCCAAATCCCGAGAGGCTGGGGGTGAACATGTAAGCCTCTTTGGGAATAGCTAAGGTACCTTAGCAATCAATAAATGGGCAAATTGGGGAGATGTATAAGAGGCAAGGCTATATCTTGGGGTGAAGGAATATCATCTCATAGATCCTTGGCATCCACGAGCCCACGGTCTGGACGATGGTGATATGCAGTTGTGAATTGTTTCCGCATTTACTATGACGGCCCATACGTGCTTCACCTATCCTATTCCTCGCTTCGAGTTTGCCGTTCAGACCCATGATTACACTCAATGCGTACCGGCATTGCCTGCCCTCCAACCCGCTCATTGCCTGTGGAACACTACTACATGAGCCTGCCTAGTCTCTTGCATCAAGAGACCTGACCTGCGCTTCCGGCTGATTCACTTGTCTTTCTTCAACAGCGTCTTTCCATAAAGTTGTGTGTCTCGTGTTAAAGTGGTGACATCTGAAGCGCTGGTTTACAGGACTGTGATGACTCGATAGTCGGCCAGAGATATTTTCAAGGGAGCAGTTGTCAGCAGAAGATGACTTTCTACCGCCTGCCAGGCTAGCGTCTAGGCTGCAGAGCTCAAGATGCTACAGGCAGTATGGAGATCACTTAACCGTAACCGAACGCCTAGACAAAGAGACTATCGAGCACCATTGTGGAGAGATCGATGTTGATGTTTCTTCGACAGTAGTCATAAATCGGGGAGGATACCGTAGTTGCGAGTTGATTGGCTGTTACAATACCGTCAAATGCTTCTTCTTATCATACGTCGAGCGAAAATTTAAGAGCCCGACTGCCAGAGTTATTTGTCAACCGGACAAGGAATGGAAGCGCTCGTGGGCACCCATAGCGAAAGACGGCAGGGTTGCACCACATGCTTGGCACTTGTCTCCCTGGTCATTCTCATCACCCTCGCTATCCCATGCCTCATCGGCAAGAGAGCTTCCTTGCGTAGATAGGAGGGCGTGGTCGGTCCTAAGACCAGCGTGATCCGGAGGGTAATGACTGGAAATTTCACGCTCAAACTGACCAATGCCGTCTTGCTTTATCTGGCGATCCTCCGGCTCATCGTCAGAAGGCGCGACATCCACATCAGCAATCTTCCAATCCTTGAGCACATCTTCCTGTCTTCTAAGCATCCTTCCAATGTCCCTACCAGCGCTGGCCTTTCCCTCACTTGCAACCATGGACATGTTTGTTGCGCAAAGGTTGAGCAGACTGAGATTCCAGCCTGATTTTTCTGGATGTAGCTTTCGGAACAAGGGCAACACGGCTTCTTCAACAAATTTTTCGGCCAGGACGGTGATATCCTGGGCAAGACTTTGCACGAACGATGGCATGGAGCTAGATTTGGATATGCGAGTGAGGTTCCTTGAACGTGTTCCGTCAGGATTGAGAGGCGGCCGAGGGCGAGTGGAGAGTCGTAATGTATTGGGATGGGCAATCCACCTTCGGGATGCAGTGGCCTTGGTATCACGGGCAAGGCCTTCTTCTTCTCTTTCGAGGGCTATACCAATATCTCTCTCATCCACCAAAGAAGTCAGGTCCAGGCGCATTCGTTTGATGAGACTGACAGACAGCATTTTCAATTCTTTTTTGACCTGCTCAATGTCGTCTAGCCTGATGTAGCTGTCTTCCTACCCGCGGTATCAATAACGATACCCTAAGTGACATTGATCGTAGCTCACAATGCTAATTTGCTGGGGCACTTCTTTGGCTTTCGCTACCTCCGTGTCATCGACGCCATGGAGCAAACCCCAGACCTTATCTCCCAAGTCTCGTGGGACGCCCGGACCAGCAAGCAATCGGCCCAGTGGTTCCGGTCCCATACCTTCAAGTATGCGGACATCTCGCACATGTACATTCTCCATGGTACCACCATAGACAAGGCCAGCATCAAAGGCCGCTGGACGTCCTAACACGTGTTTTCTGATCTTTTGAGCAATTTTGAAGCCACTTGATGATTCCGGAGTCAGCATTACTGTTTCGGAAGGGAATCTGGGTCCAAAGACATGTCTTAGGAGCAGAGAACTCTTGAGACACGCCTGATGACTCATAAGACAGCATGAATAGGGAAGAATTGCCTCGGAAAGTATAACGTACATGCCGGGTATTTTACCAATGTCATGACCGTCAATGAAATCAATCACATTGCTCCTACCATCTCTATGATCAGGGTTATAGGGCGGAAGAAGAGTCGTCTGACCCTTTGGCTTATTGAGATTGCCTACCAATTTTGATATGAGCTTGTTGGTGCCGATGCCGACTGTACAAGTGTAACCCTGTTGCTCCTCCAATTGGTACCTCAAGTGCCAAGCAAGATAAGATCCGAGACGCAGACGGAGCAAAAGATCGACTGATTCATTGGAAGAAGAATTATTTGCGGAGACAATCCCGGATGCTGGAATCGTTGAAGCTGCAGGGAAGGTATGACCAAATACGCGCGATGCATCAAACGGGAAACCAACGGTTGGATCATTATGATCCAGGTGAAAGAAAGAAGTGGTCAAGTCATTGTGATTGAGAAGGGCAGAGTTGTAGTCGACAAGATCAGTGACATCCATAAAAACCTGCTCTGACTCAGCCATGGTGTACACGACGCCGCTCTTTGTCATTGTCGAGAGGCTTACTTCGTCGAAGCCGAGCCTCTCGACCTTATTACTCCAACTGTAGCCTCTCAAGAAATTGTAGTTATCTTTGGATGCATTCCGGAAGCGAGTCAAGTCTTCGCCGAGGACTAGTATCATATCGGGGCACATTTTCTTGGCTTCCTGCACAAGCTGTAGCTTGTAAAGGCCTCTTCGTCGAGCTTCATAGTTGCAGGTGACGATGATTTGCTTCTGTTGTACAGCCAGGGGCAGAAATTTCCAAGCCGGATTTCCTTCCTTTTCGAAGACAGCGGCATAGAAGCAATCTTGATCCTATCAGTTAGCATTGAAGAAAGGGCACCTTGTTCTTCTTACGGACCATAGTCCTGTCACAGAGATGAGCCACAGGACAGGGAGTGCCAGCCCTGAGGCCATCAATTTGGCTTACGAAATGGATGATGACTCTCCCATCGCGCCTCTTAGGAGTCTGCATGATGATCGTGATACCGTCAGCTTCAAGGTCAGAAAATTCTATCCTTGGCAACCTGACTCATGCCCGAGAGTCAGAAGCTATTTTTTTTTGGACTGGGGGGAGGAAGAACTCATGCTTGGCCTCGGAGATTATACCTATCTTACGGAGGTTGCCACCGAAAGTCCTGAACATTAGGGTAAGGGTTTAAAACCCCCTGCATTTTTTAAAAAAAAATAAAAAAAAAAATATGAAAAAAAAAAAAAAAAAAAATAGGCCCCCCCACCAAAAAACCCCCCCAAAAAAAAATTTTTTTTTTTTTTAATAAACCCCCACAAAAAAAAAAAAAAAAAAAAAAAAATAAAAAAAAAAAAAATTTTTTAAATAAAAATAAATTAATAAATTAATTTATTTTAAAAAAAAAAAAAAAAAAAAAAAAAATTTTTTTTTTTTTTATTTTTTACTTTTACCACTCAGCCCTATGGCCTAGTGCCTTGGCGGAGGCATCCCCTACCATATCATGCCTCCTTCCCACCTACATAGTTCGGTAGCCTTATTATCCTCGTTCTACCTCACCCATACTGGTATCGCACCTATACTAGTCCTGACATTATAATAAAGCTCCTTCGTACACCCCCCGGCGAAGAGAATTGACGGGTTTTCACTTTCTGCTCGAAGCAAGCGACCGAGCCTGATAAAGAAAACGCTGGGTATTTCTACCATACAGAAGCCCCACCACACATACAAATCACAAACCACCTACATCATTCGAAAGAACCTATATCAGACAACCTACATTATCAACGGTAGCCTAATCCATCAAAAAACGAGTTCCCTACATCGAATACAAGAAATTCGTCTCCGCTTCGTTCCCCGCAAAAAATCTATAACGAATAGCAAACTACCGGCGGACTTCCTACCATTCGAAAGGACACTATTTAGAGTACTCATAGTCTTTACGGCGACTTGATCGGTCAAGAAACGAGTGTTGCAGAACCCCGCGAAGAAACAAAATTTCAACACTCAATACAGAGATCTCTCCATTCCACTCGACAAAGACACTATTCGATATTGCAATAAACCTCCACGGGGAAGCCCAGCCAAAATCGCCATTTTTACGCCTATCTTCTCCGCTCCGTTCTTACCTACATTCAACACATCATGAATTCCTCAAATTCTCACTCAATTCCACCTACATCAACACCAAGATACCTCCCTCCGCATCGCCGATCACCTACATACCGCGGCTATCCCTACCTTACGTACGACGACCTACATGCGAGATATTCGCCTCCAAATTCGCCACAACTTCGTATGCCACGTATACAGCGATCTCTATCTGCTAAGGACCTTTATCAGCGATATCGAGAGACATCAAGTCATCCGAAGGAGAGGCGTAGCCAAAATCCGCCTGGCATCCCAGCTTCTTCTCCTTCGCAGGAGTTGCCAGGGCAACAAAGAGAGACACAGGCCCAAAACTCGGCTGGCATCTCTACCCTTCCACCCCCATCCCCACCTTCACCCAAACCACGAGATTTCGAAGCACTAAGAGCAAATCGACCAATCTCGCCACAGCCAGTCAGACAGCCACTTAGCCCAAGGCTGCCAGATCCACCTATCTTCACGGGCACTAATTCAATACTATTCGATGACTGGAAAATGAGAATTCAAGACAAGCTTACCCACAATGGTGATTATTTCCTCACCGATACCTTCAAAATTACCTACGTTATAGTGAGACTTAGAGAGGAAGCCAGTTAGCACGTGTCTATCAGACGACGATATCGCTCATACTCTACAGTCGATAATCTTCTAGATCATTTAAGCAACGTGTATAAGATACCCTTATCCGTTCTTAGAAGAACCTATTAATATACTTATAACAAAATAAGTTAAGGAAGTTAATTATTTCTCAAATTCTACGATAATCTTATTAAGTATATTATAAGGGCGTAGTCTACTAACGATTAACTAGCGAATATAGGCTATAAAAGACGTAGTATCGTTATAAAGTTTAATAGTATATTTAATAGTAGAACTAATCTCTAAGAAATACTAAAACTCTAAGATATACGAAGTAGACCTATATTCGCTAAGCCCCTAGACATACGAGATACGTTATTAAAATTAGATTCTAAAAGGGACTCTAATATAGTATATATGATATCGACGTCTTAATATAAGTAGCGTTAAGGCCTATAACGTATTAGGTCTAATAATTATCTTCTCTTCTAGACTCTAATTTCTAGACGTCTAAGTAAAGATAGAACGCTTATTAAAAAATCTTTAAACTCTAATAGAGAAATAAGAGAAAAGAGTTAATTTATTAAGATTATAATATTATTCTAATAACGTAATAGAACTAACTCTTACGCGCCGTAGACGCGTTACTAATATATTATATAATAATATTAATATTATCTTCGAGAATAATATCGCTTTTATAATATTAATTAATAATAATCTATAGTAAGTCGACGCGCTTAGTATTAGCGTTTTTATAGCGCTAGTTAATAGCCTCTATAGCGAATAATATTAGATTTAGAAACTTATAATAAAATCTCGAAAATCTAGTAAATAAAAGAAGAGAGAAGAGTTTTTCTATAAGTAACGTTATTTTTATAGCGTATTGCGTTTATAGCGAAGTAATATAATAATAATCTTTATTATAGAGATTCGAAGGGAGTAATTAATAGAGCGACGCGTTCGCGATAATATTCTCGATTATTAATTAATAATAGTAGAAATAATAATAATAGCTAGACGACGCGGTCTAATAGATAGTAGTAAAATATTATTACATTACTACTATTTACGTTACTAAGTACTATTTACTAATAATAGCGCTACGATAAAGAATATAAAAATCTCTTTCGAATTATTTATTTTTATTCTTTATAACTTCTAACGTCTCTCTTATAAGTACTTACTCTAGCGTTATAATATCGATATTAATACTAATATAAGTATAGTATATCTTATTATATTAGTAGTCTACTTCTCTTTATCGTAAGTATCTTATTATTATTAATTATATCGATACGTAGATTAATAATTCTATAGTACTCTTTTTTAATAATAATAATAACTTTAATAGTAAGTATATAGTTATTTTATAGGCGCGACTACTAATCCTTAACTATTCTTATTACTATCGCTTCGTATATATATCTATTAATAAATTCTAATATCTAATTTACTATATAGAACTTACTTTTATTAAAATAATAATTTATATATTTAAAATAAGTCTTCTCTCTATAATAACTATAAGATCGAAAGACGTAGTATTAGTCGCTATATTAAAATCCCTCTATATCTTTAGATATAGATAAGAAAATTAATATAACGCTATCGCTATACTAGATAATCTTAAAAGTTATCTTATTAATAGACTAAGCTTAATAAAAAGATTATTTAATAGTATAAATTATAGAAATATATAATAGCGATAGCTTTAATTATCTTTATTATAATTATAGATTTCTAAGACTAGCTTATAGCGATATATAAGTATATAGAGAAATTAAAGAGAATAAATGAGTTACTAAAGAAGAAGCTTAAGAGTCTTTATCGATATACGGCGAACGTTAATAGATATTAATACGAAGACTATACTTTAATTATCTTCTTATTAAAGAACTAAATTAATAAACTCGACTCGAGATCTAATATTAAGATAATAAAAAATATTTAAATAATAATCTTTTTTTAGTAGTAGCGCTAATATAAGATCTCTAGATAGTTCTTTAATAGCTATTCTAGATAAAAATACGTCTATATTAATAATATATATTCTAATATAATAAATCTTCTTTATAGTAGAGTTTAGTAGATAATTAAATAATATAATTATTTTATTAATCTATATCTTAATAATAGTAAATATAGAGGAATACGCGCGTAGTATAAATATTATCTAAAAATATATCTAATCTAGTCGATAATTATATTTAATTTTATCGTCTTCGCTTACTCGCCGTTAATTTATATAATTAATTAAGCTCTTTAATAATAAGAGACTTATTATTTATTACTTAATGCTTTCGTTTACTATTCGCCTACTTATAGACTTAAATTAGCTCGCTAATACTAATAAGTTTATTATCTAATAGCTATTAATTATACTTTTCGTCTTAATTAATTTATTTAACTTTATATTAAACGCCTTTCTTATATTTAATCTTATTAATAATTTCTTTAATCTTCTAAAGCTTATTGTTATTAATAAGATCGAGAGTCTATATAAAGACTTTCGCTATATTATTATAATCGCGAAGATAATAAGACTTAAATAATAATATATAAAAGATATTATAAATTCTATACGTCGAGAATAGAAGTAGACGATATATCTACGTCTCTATCTTATTTATAATCTAAAATAGTCTTATAAATTTATAAGATAACTTTTTATTTAGATATTTCTACTTTAGATTCTTAGTCGCTAGTATTATCAAATTATCTACTTTATAGCTTTAAGATTAATATATTTTATTATAATACTTAAACTAAGCCGTAACCGCGCTACGAAAATACTCTACTATCTTATTTCTTAATACTTATAACTTCTTTATCCTATTATTTATAGCGAGTATCTCCCCCTCGATAAAATTATTCTTAATCTCCTAACGAATTTTAGAATAATATTTATATATTAGAAAGAATAATATTATTTCGATAAAGAAATATCAATTATTTATATAAGCGAACTCTACTATTAATAGTTATTTTATTTAAATATTTTATTTATCATTAGTAAATACGCGTAAAAAATATTCTAGTATCTAATTTTATCGCTTAATCTATCTATCGATTTACGAGTAAAAGACGATACTTAGATATCGCTTAATTTTAAAATAAAAGTAAATAGCGAATTAGAAGCTATTAGTAAATATAGAATCTTTATTACTAATAATATCATTTAATATATTATAGCGATATACTATTTCGAAATAAAATACTTTTATTAGCTAAGCGATATCGATTATAATAGATATAGAAATATATCTTATTATTTTTATAAATCGATTTATTATAACTAGAATAGTATCGTAGATAATATTCTTATACTTACTCGCTAATAAGTCGATAATAAAGTCTATAAAAATTTTCTTTTATAGCTTAATAGCGATAAGAAGCGAGCTTAACTCGCTATATAGACGATATCGCGAAGCTTTAATTTACTAATAAACGTTATATATCTTAATATAATCGATAACTTACTTTAGACTTTTATTTTAATAATATTTATAAGTAAGTAGCTTATATATCTTCGTAGCGCTAAAATATCTTAATAATAAATCATTATAGCATTTACTAATAAGCTCTTTTCTTAAGATCTTATCTCTAGAGATATAAAGGCGACTATTATATCTTAATAGTTTCTTAAAATTTAAGATCTATATTTAACTATATATATAACGCTTAATTACTAGCTTATTAATATTAGTTTAAAAAGAGCTCATTTAATTATTATAAGCTTATAAATCTCGAATTAATATTTTTATTAGTCTTTAAAGTACGTTATAAGTAATCTCTTATACGATCTTAGACTCTCTTCTAGAAATAACTATCTAAACGCCGACAATACGAAATACGAGCGTTATCGCCGTTATAATCTCCTTATCTCTTTATAACTACTCGTTACTAATTTAAAGTATAAATTTATTCTATAATATCGATAAAAGTTTAATATTTAATAACGAAGTTCTCTTATAATTAAGACGTCGCGATAGCGAGTTAATAAAATTTAATTTATTTATTTAATAAAAAATTTTAAAGTTATAAGTAGCTAACTTTAGCGCCTAACGAGCTTATCTAAAATTTAATTTCTTCTACTTTATAAAGTCTCTAAGATTATTATAATTTATTAGAATTTTAATATAAAATATACTATCTTCTAGATAATAACGTTATTACTTTATAAATACTATAATAATAAATAGCTCTTAATTATAAATCTTATAGTTTTACTCTATATAAATTATTTTTCTAAATTAGAATATTACTAGTCGTTAGTAATTATTCTTATTCGATTATAAAAGTATAATTCTTATATCGAAGTTGAAAGCGTCGATTTTAAGATATAGCTTTAAATTTAAATCGTAGTAATATAGAAATGACGTGGTTATAAAAGTACTTTGAAGCTATTAAAATGTTAGCTTCGCGTTATCTATTTACTCTAACAATTTAGATTTTTTATTATTTTTACTTTCTTTAAGTAAGTTAGTAAGTAACGCTACTATATTAAAATAATTATAAATAAATTACTAATAGAAATTAGTAAAGTCTAAAAAGACTTATATATTTTAATAACTTTTTAATTTTAATTACTTTTTAATAATAGCGATACGTTTTTAATCTATTACGATATCTTCGATAGATATAATAAACTCTAGAAACTTAATTCGTTCGATATAGAATTAATACTTCTTTAGATTAGCGTATAGTTGAAACTAATATAAACGCTTAAGCACTTACTTAATATACTATTAATACTTCGCTAAATTAGTACTATAAATTAAAATATTATTTAAATATATTATATATATTATATTTACTAGACCTATAAAAACTCTATTAATATATACTTAAAAAGTTATTAATATATTAGCGAGTTTAAAAGATATAATTAAATATTCGAAGTAGCCGTAATAACTGCGGAACGCTATTTTCCACTTATTATCTTCTTTAATTCGAATTTAATAATAGATATTCTTAAGATTTAGCTTTATAAAGACTTTAGCTCTATATAAGCG